GGGCCCCCTGTTTCCTGCAGGGTCAGTTGGGCACATAGTAGGGCTCTTGAGAGGGGTTTGCTCCATGAGAGACAGTCTTGGAGCCTTGGGGTCCAGCACACAGTCTCCCATGCCTGGGTGGATGCAGTCAGAGAACGGGCTTGTTGACAGGTAGGGGACGCAGCATCTGGGCGAGGACCCCGGCAGCCCCCCTTTGCTTCTTCCCCATAAGTTTATTAGGGAAGCTATGGGTACACAGACGGGGCAAGAGGTCATCAGCAGATGTGAAGAACAGTTCTCGAGGGCTGGGGATGTGGCTCAAGCGGTAGGGCGCTCGCCTGGCATGCCTGTGACCCAGGTTCGATCCTCAGCACCACATACAAACAAAGATGTTGTGTCCGCCGAAAACTAAAAAAAAAAAAAAAAAATTAAAAAATAGTTCTCGCTACGCAGTGGGCTTGTGCTTATCTACGGCCTCAAATTTTCCCACATTAAAATATAAAAATGGCCAGGTGCAGTGGTGCACGCCCGTAATCCCAGCAGCTAGGGAGGTGAGGGAGAAGGATCGTGAGTTCAAAGACAGCCTCAGCAATGGCGAGGCGCTAAACAACTCAGCAAGACTTTGTCTCTAAACGAAATACAAAACAGGGCTGGGGGTGTGGCTCAGTGGTCAAGTGCCCCTGAGTTTGATCCCTGGTACCAAAAGAAAAAGGAGGGGGGGGGGAGAATGAAAGAAAGAAAAGAAAGAAGGAAGGAAGGAAGGAAGGAAGAAAGAAAGAAAGAAAGAAAGAAAGAAAGAAAGAAAGAAAGAAAGAAAGAAAGAAAGAAAGAAAGAAAGAGAAAATGACTTCAGACACACTCCCTGACCCCGGCCACTCCAAAGGGCCATCAAACAGACGGTGCAATTCTACCTTTAAACCACAAGGTGGCGGCCAAGACCAACACATCCTCCCTCTGCCCACCTTGGCCTCCAGCTTCCTCCAAGGGCTCTCGGGTCTCTGCGGTAGGGGAGCCCCCGATGCAGAGCAGACCAAGGAAGGCCCTCCTTAGTGCCAGGCCTCCCTAGTGCCCAGAAGTGGATATTGCTATCTCACCTGAAGCCTGGGAAAACCAGCCCCAGAGGGAGAAGGGACCTGCCCACTGGCACACAGCCTGAATGGGAACCTCCACGTCCCCGTTCACTGACTGATTTCACAAAGGGCTGGGGGTCACTTGGTTTTATCCGCAGTACCCAGAATGGCCTTGCAAAGACAAGGACATGGTCAAGGCCCCACAGCAACCTGGGGAAGGAGGCCAGTTGAGCCTGATCTGGCAGAGGGCTCGGGGCCTGAGCTCGTGGACCACCACAAGATTGACTCTGGAGCCAAGATCCTGCAACATCAGAGTGCAGCACCCACCAGGGACACCAGTGGACAGGGGCTGAGTGGGGTTTGGCTCTGGTCGGGAAGGGAAGGCAGGCCGCGCGGCCACCCACCTGGGAACCCGGGTTAGCAGGAGGTCCGGCAGGGCCTGCCCCATACCAGCCAGGCTGACAGCAGGAGGAACAACAGGGTGAGAGCCGCCGCCAAGGTCACTGAGGGAACCAGGTCAGAGTCCTCAGGACCAGGCATGGCATCACCAGGGGCGTCTCTGGGGGCCTGGGGGGCCCCCGACAGCTGGGTGCCAGAGACCTTCTCCCCTGGGGGTCCTGGGCGACCCATCTGTGGAAAGGAGGGATGGAGAGGCAGGTCCTCCTCTGGATGAGCCCCTTGGCCCAGCCTCGGCCTCCCCTCCTGTCCCACTATCTCAGGGAGCCCTGCTGGAGAGCATGGGCCAGAGCAAGGGCCCTACGGTTCCCACAGGTGGCCCAGGACAGTGAGACCTGAGCCTCTGCTCTGCTCTGTAAGGTGGGGATGAAGGCCACAGGGAGATGGCAAGGACCAGCTGAGACCCCCCCCCCACTTCGCTCCCACCTCCTTACCGTCCCCAGAGACAATGGAGTAGAAAGTCAGGCCCAGCCCATGGCCTCCTCCAGAGTGTGGCCCCAGCGCCAGGGTCCTGGAATGCAGCTGGGCCAGTGCCCAGCACGTAGAGGCTGTCAGACTGGTATGAGGGGACCTTTGTAGAGCCTGAGAGAGAGCTGCCTGCAACCAGTGCCCTCTGACAGCACAGCGCCCCAGGTGGCCACCAGGTTATAGCTCGGCCAGAGAGGAGGCCCCTCAGAAGCCCCGGAGGTGGGCAGAGGCCATAGTGACAGCTCAAGACCACCAAAGTGGCAGGACCCTTCTCTGGACAGGGACAGAGTTCAAACTGGGTCATGGTCAGGGATGGCCTCTGCCCCAGGACCGGGCCCTCAGGCTGGACCCCAGGCCCCTCCGTTGACCCAGGTATGTTCATAAACCTAGAAGTTCCACGCTCTGGAGGGCCCCCCCACTGCCACACTCCCCAGGGACATGCCTTGGCAGGCAGCACCCTTCTTTCCTGGATAGAACCCACCTCCTGGGGCTGAGCTGCAGGAAATGGGGGACCCAGCCAGGAGCTGCACCTCCACCTCACTGTGGTGTGTCCAAGGCAGGGGGGCAGCAGATGTCCCAGGTCACAAAGCAGAGAAAGGGGCCCTCTCCCAGGCCAGCCTCTAAACTGGGGCTCCCCACACAGGGGAGTAGAGGCTCAGGAAGGACAGAAGGCTCTCAATTCAGGTCAGTGAGGGGCTTCCAGGCGGCTGAGTGTCTGGACCTGAGCAGGAGCAGAGAGGGGGAGAAACCCCTCCCCCAGAGGCCAGGTCCCCAAGCACCCAGAATAAAAGAGGTGGCAAGCCCACCAGGGGGAGGGCATCAATAGGCCTTCAAGGCCCCCAAAAATGACCCTTGAAGAAGGAAACTACCCTTTGAGGACGAGGATGCCACCTCAGTGTTCATCGTGAACAGAAACAGCCTTGAGAGGTTCACGGGCACCAAGGGCCGCCCCCCAGCAGCCTCACAGTGGTCCATCAAAAGTAGGAAGGACAGACTGCTGTCCCCCCATGCCACATCACACTGCACAGCAGGGGAAGGAGCAAACCTGGGGACCACAACAGGGAAGAGTCCAGGACACCCAACCAGAGCCAGTCAGGAGGGAGCACTGCCTGGGGCTCCCTCCTAGGAAGCCTGGCAGAAGGACCTAAGCTAAGACAGGGGACAGCAGCCGCTTCCTGGCTTCCTGCGGAAGGAGAAGGGCAGGCGGACCTCAGGAGGCCCAGAGAACTCCAGGGTGAGGGGAAAGCCCCCATCGGGATGGACAGGCCGTCACGTCCATCACAGGTACACAAGAGGAGTTCATTCTGTCCTCTGTGAATCCCACCTCGATAAAGTTGATTTTTAAAAAATACATTAAAAAGAGCCAGGAAAAAATAATGATTCCATTTCTACAAGGTTCAAGAGCAGGAACTCTAACCCATGATGCAGGGGGAAGGACGTCTTGTAGGGGTGATCTAGGGCTTCCTCCCAGGTTACTGGAATCTCGTTCCTGACTAGGATGACCAGGGGCACTTGCCAGCCCCCTCTCTGAGCCCACCCTTGAGGTTTGTTCTCTCTTGGTTCTGAAAGATGGGGTAGCCCTGAAGAAGGCCCCAGGAGCTCACCCTTCACCAGGCTGCCTGGGCCACAGCCTGTGTTTCAGGTGAGGAAAAAACACTTAAACCATTTTTGTGAAGTGGAGACATAACCACCGTGTGCAGCCCCAGGGCCACTGGAGAGACCTGGGAAGCAGAAACTAGCGTGCCCTAGAGTGCCCGCCCGCAGGAGGGCTCGGAGGGAGGGATGTGGTTTCCCTGTGGCTACTTTCTCTATTGTTCCACTACAGTTGTGTTTCTATTATAAGAAAAGGGAATTGAAACTTTTTTTTTTGGGGGGGGGGGCACAGAGGTACCTGGGTTAGCTTAACCACTGAGACACATCCCCAGTGCCTCACCCCCCACACCTTTTTAAAAAAATTATTATTTTGAGACAAGATCCTGCTAAGTCCTTAGGGATTCATTAACATGCGGAGACTGGCCTTGAACTTGTGATCCTTCTGCCTCAGTCTCCCCAGCTGCGGGGATTACAGGTGTGTGCGGGTCAGCCAGAATTGAAACTCAAAAAAGAAAAATAGATAAATAAAAAGCTTTACTATTTTGATAGCTAAAATTTGGAAAGAACCCAACCCAACTGTTCAACAACAAAGAATCAGTTTTAAAACCTGCGCGATCACTCGTCCATCAGGAGGGGAAGTGACTCAGCCCCCCTGCTGAGAAAGTCCAAAGGGAACTAACTGGACATACCATTGCAATTTTCTTTACTTTCAATTTTATCTTTTGAAAACAGGCTCCCAAGGAAGTTTCCGTTTCAGTTTTTATTTTTAACTTTTATATTATTTCTAGGATGATTTGGAACAAGCCCAACTTATGCTTGGCTCCCTTTCTTCCTCGAAATAGAGAAACTCGCATTTTCCTTCTGTTTCTTCCATGGCTTTTCCTTGCTCTCGGTCCTTCTCCTTAGGGCTGCGCCCTCCCCGCCCCGGGCTAGGCCCCTCTCCCTGCGCTCCCCTAACTGCCTCCGCCCAGTCCCTCTTCCCCCTGCCTTCACCCCACGCATCCTCTGGCTGCCCTGGAAGCCCAGCCTGATTCACTTGGTCACCCAATGGGGAGGAAGCCAGGGACAGAGGCGACACTGCGACGCGTATGGCAGGTGGAGTGGAGAGCAGTCAGAGCGAGACGAGCGTTCGCTGTGTGACCTTGGCGAGCGGCTACGCCTCTCTGTGTTTCCGTCTCCTCTGCAGAACTCGATGCACCGCTGGGTTGGGCCCGGGACGGCTCCGCCAGGGCACCCCCACCACTCCACCCTCGCCTGCTCGGGCGCGGCTTTCCGCTGCAGAGCGGCGACCTAGCGCGGGCGGCGGCCGCGCCCGGCCGGATCGGCATCCCACCATCTACGGGCGTGCGGCTGCCCCATTGGCCGGCGCGGCTCTGCAGGGCCGCCCCATAGCCAATCGCAGCTGAGGGGGCGGGGCCTGGGCGCGCCGGCCGCGATTTGCGGCCCCCGCGGATGCTGCAGCGCTGGCCTGGCCGCGTCCCGCTGGCTGGAGCGTGCTCGCGCGGGCCATGCAGGAGCCCCTGCTGGGAGCTGAGGGCCTGGACTATGACACCTTCCCCGAGAAGCCGCCCCCGTCGCCCGGAGAGAGGGCGCGGGTCGGGTGAGAGTCGCTGGGCATGGGGGACGGGCGGGGACTGGGCGAGGTGGCTCTGGTCGCTCCAGCGGGCGCTGGCTCCACCCTGGGTCCCCACCTTTGGTGAGTTGCCACCAGGACCGTTTGGATCCTTTCTGCCCTCATGTACCTAACCTTGCTTAAGAAGCTGGTTCTCCTTAGGGAAGGGACCATCCGAAAGAGTGACAGCCCAGCTGTCATAGACAGGGAGAGGGTGAGGGACTTGCCTAAGGCCACAGAGAAAGCTTTCAGAAGCAGAGCTGGGGGCAAAACCCAAGCTTCCTCTCCTGGAAAAAAGTACCACAGCCACAGGCTGACGCCCTGGGAATTTCCAGGTGGCAGCACTCAGGCCCTGGGGAGGTGTCAATCTGACCAGTCCGGCAGCCACTGGGCTCAGGAGAGTCAGCAGCTCAGGGAAAAGAGACTCAGACCCTGATTCTTTTGTCCCACCCCCACCACCAGGGCCCTGCAGAACAAAAGGGTGTTCTTGGCCACCTTTGCTGCGGTGCTGGGCAATTTCAGTTTTGGGTATGCCCTGGTCTACACGTCCCCTGTCATCCCAGCCCTTGAGCACTCCTCAGACCCAGATCTGCATCTGACCAAAACTCAGGCATCCTGGTTTGGGGTAAGGACCATGCTTGAAGCTGGAAGGAGTGGGGTAGGGGAGCATGAACCCTCTGAGCTTTGCCCACTGCTAGGGATTCCCCAAGAGCCCTCCTTGGGGCCCTCTCCAGGGCCCCAGTCCACCCCCTCCCTCACACACTCCTGGCTGCTGGTTGGTGGGGGGAGGCCAGATCATAGCAATGAACCAGGGAGTGAAAAGCCAATGGAGAAAACCTGGGACAGAACAGGTATGGTGCCCCCAAGGTCTCCCAGAGGGTGAGGGTTCCCCAGGCCCGCAGTCAGGCTGCCACAGCAGACACCCCTCTGGATGGATGGAGGGGACAGGGGTATCAGGTGCCAGTGGGACGAGGCACCAGCTGGGAAAGATCAAGATCTCCAACAGCAGCATCCAGAGGCCATGGGCGGAGAGGAGAGGAGGACACCCTGGATTCTAGAATTAAAATCTAGATAGCCTCAGATTCCAATCACAGCTTGGTGGCTAAGAGGAAAAGACCCAGTGTTTACTGAGCACTTTGTGCCAGGTCTGTGTGGACACTTGGCCGACCTGTGAGGTGGGTTCTGTGGTTCTCCCATAATACAGCTGGAGGGGCTGGGGATAGAGCTCAGTTGGTAGAGTGCTTGCCTCACATGCACAAGGCCCTGGGTTCAATCCCCAGCACCACAAAAACAAAACAAAACAAACAAAAAACATAATACATCTGGAGAAACAGGCTGGCACAAGCTAAACCTGGTGCCCACGCCCCACTGCTGATGAGTAGTGGTGTTGAGGCTGGGTCCTAGCCACCATCTTCAGGGAATCCAGGAACATCCTGGGACCTTCAAGTCAGAGTCCCCTATGTTAAAATATTAGACTGAGAACCACTGTAGATATGTGGCCCCACCTCCTCCCTAGGGCAAGACCCCTAAAATTTAAATGGTTGTGCGCATGCTGCCTGCACACTTGCGGAGACTGGAGGCTTACCATCATAGTGGGCCTGGGTCTGGGGCTCGCTCCTGGGGTTGCCTGGGGAAGAAGCTGCCCCTGGCTCTGATGGGGTGGGGGTGCTCCCGGCCCCACACACATGCCTGCGCCCCTTCTCTACAGTCTGTGTTCACCCTGGGAGCTGCTGCTGGGGGCCTCAGTGCCATGGTCCTCAATGACCTCCTGGGCCGGAAGCTCAGCATCATGTTCTCTGCGATCCCCTCTGCGGCGGGGTACGCGCTCATGGCAGGTGCCCATGGCCTCTGGATGCTGCTGTTGGGGAGGACACTCACTGGCTTTGCTGGGGGACTCACGGCGGCCTGCATCCCGGTAAGGCCAGGACCTGTCCCGCTGCCTTGGCATGGCCACTACTTGCTTAGGTCTTCTGGCCTCAGGCCTATGGTCAGTGAGAATGTGCTTGCTGTCCCCTCTGGCTGCCCAGGGAGCCTCTGCTCACCACCCCCCACCAAGGTCCCTGATTTCAGGAAACTGTCCCCATCCTGGACTCCCCCTACTTCCTACCCTGTTTCTTGACCGCAGTCAGATGCATTTCTCAACTGGAGAAGACCCACATTGAGCAATGGGGAAGTCCCTGCCCCATACCTGCCCTGGCGTCTTGTCGTCGTCTCATCTACCCATACCCAGTCAGCACCCTGATGAGGTCAGGGTGGGGACGAAGGTCACTGAGGAAGACACACCTGCTCAGCCCCTAGGTCTGGGTGCCCCCCAGACCCATGACTGCCCAGCCTCCATCCCCACTCAGAGCTGAGTCATCCCACTGCCTTGCAGTCAGGAAGCTGAGGCTTGAGAGTATGCAGCAGTAGCGGGTCACCCCAGCAACCTCACCTCCCAAGGCTCACAGGGGCACTTGCCCTGTGAGCGTGCTCTCCAGAGCCTGGCCAGATGAGTGTCTTGCAGGTGTACGTATCTGAGATCGCCCCTGCTGGTGTCCGTGGGGCCCTGGGGGCCACGCCGCAGCTCATGGCAGTGTTCGGATCGCTGTCTCTCTACGCCCTTGGCAAGTATCCTGCACCTTGCAGACTCAGGGGAGCACTGCAGACTTTGGAAAGGGAAAGGACATGCCCAGAAGGAACCCAGGGCTTAGAGGCAAGAGACCTGGTCCCCTGTGCCAGTGGGCCACCACCCCACCCTGTCCCCATATTCATGAGGCCCAGTTCCTGGCTGGGCAGTGAGGGCATCTGGACCAGCAGTCTGGGTCACCTTCGAGCAGTAGGAGGCCTCAGTCATGAACAGCTAAGGTGGACCAGTGTAGGGGAGAGCCTCGTGCAGCAGCCTGGGCAGGTGGCGTGGAGGCCTGGGCCTGGCCTGCCCACCCTGTCCCTCCCCTCCTCTGGCCCTTCAGACCCTCCCAGGACCTCTTGCTACATGCCAGGGGCCAGGCACTCCCCACAGCTCCTCCCTGCCTCCATCACAGACCAGGGCATTCAGGGAAGGACTCAACTCACAGGGCAGATGAGGCTGTCCAGAGGCTGCAGTGCAGGGGCTGTGTGTGTCTGCCACGCTCCCCTCCTCCAGGCCTCCTGCTGCCCTGGCGTTGGCTGGCCGTGGCCGGGGAGGGGCCTGTGCTCGTCATGGTCCTGCTGCTCAGCTTCATGCCCAACTCGCCGCGGTTCCTGCTCTCCCGCGGCAGGGACGAGGAGGCACTGCAGGCACTGACCTGGCTGCGCCCAGCTGATGCAGACGTCCACTGGGAGTTCGAGCAGATCCAGGACAATGTCCGGAGACAGGTGTGTTTGGGGGCTGGGTCTGGTGGACCCACCCCAGGCACCTGTGGTTCCATGTGGCCTGAACTAGTTACTAGGCCTCTCCCAGGTTGCTTTTCTTGGAATAAGGTGGTTACAGCTGACCCAGAGCTGGGGCTGTCTCCATCAGCGGGGTCTCCCCAGCCCCAAGAGTGGCCAGTGCAGCTCCCTCAGCAACGGCCTTGTGTTCCAGAGCAGCCGAGTGTCGTGGGCGGAGGCCCGGGACCCCCACATATACCGGCCGGTGCTCATTGCCCTGCTCATGCGTTTCCTGCAGCAGCTGACAGGCATCACGCCCATACTGGTCTACCTGCAGCCCATCTTCGACAGCACAGCCGTGCTGCTGGTGAGCGCCTGCCTGAGTCCAGGTGGGCTGGCGGACCGGCTCAGCCCCGATCCCCAGCCCCAGGCCCTGCTGTGCCAGAGTTCGGGCATGCACACCCTCATGTGTGGAGGCCAAAGGGTTCTTCCTGTCTCTGGGCCACGCACCTGCTCTCAGAATTTGTTTTTAAGTAAAGTTTAAATGGTTTTAAATAAATTATGCAAGATGATGGAGGAAACTGATTTAATAGAAACGCAGCACCACCACCCCCATACCAGGATTCTGCTTAGAGCCCTGCTGGCTCCTCAGGGAGGCTGCCACTTTCCTGGGACACCAGCTGCCCCTGTGGGAGGGAGATAGCAGCAAGGCTGCCAAGACCCCTGTCCAGACGCAGTGGAGAGGATTTGAGAACAGCAGGTTTCCTGGGGCAGTGGGCTCAGTGGTGAGCATGGCAGATGTGCCCTGCTGGGAACCCCAGGGTGGTGTGCAGAGGAAGCGCCTGGCACACAGCAGGCACTCGGCACTCCAGGGTAGCTGTGACTGTGGCCTTGGGTCTGAGCACCCTGCAGGGCCTTAGGCAATCAGGTGGGATGAGAAGCAGGGACAGGAGCAGCAGGCCAGTCCTCTCAGCCTCAGGGGTCTCCTCCCCACAGCCCCCCAAAGATGATGCAGCCATTGTGGGAGCCGTGAGGCTTCTGTCCGTGCTGATCGCAGCCTTCACCATGGACCTGGCTGGCCGCAAGGTCCTGCTCTTCGTGTCAGGTGAGGCTCTCTGCCCCACTCCTCCCCTCCCACCCACAGCGTCTCTACCCATTGCCACTTGTGCCAGAGCTAGGGCACAGCCACCTGGGGCCTCCCCAGCACCTGGCACCAGCCAGCTGCTCCGGAAAGCCTGCTGGAGCTCGGGTGAGCAACGCACCGGGGGTGAGGGGAGCCCAGACCAGGGCTGGCAGTGCGTGTGCTACCCTGTGGGAGGCCTGTCCCAAGCCAGCCATGCTGCCCGGCTCAGGGTGCCACAGAGCATGACAGCTCCCCCAGGAAAGCCATGGCTCAGAGGGTCCTGGCCCCCGAGGGCCACCTGTGTCCACAGCAACCATCATGTTTGCTGCCAACCTGACGCTGGGGCTGTATGTCCAATTTGGTCCAAGGCCTCTGGCCCCCAACAGCACTGTGAGCCTCGAGACCCTGTCCTTGGCGGGCACAGAGCAGCCCCCCACCACACCCACCAGCTACCTCACTCTGGTGCCCCTCCTGGCCACCATGTTCTTCATCATGGGTAGGACTGGGATTCCTGGGGGTGGGGTGATGGCCTGGGTGAGGGGCTGTCTCACGGGTGAGGCAGGGGCCGTACTGCTGTCCTGTTTGTCTGCTGAGGGGGGAGGCTGGAGAGGTGGGGACAGACCCGGTGTGCCCCCCCCGCCACTCTCCCCTCTCCTGGCAGGCTATGCCATGGGCTGGGGGCCCATCACTTGGCTGCTCATGTCAGAGATCCTGCCCTTGCGTGCCCGTGGCGTAGCCTCAGGGCTCTGTGTGCTGGTCAGCTGGCTCACCGCCTTCGTCCTCACCAAGTCCTTCCTGCTGGTGGTGGTAAGTGTTTGCCATGGGCCCCTGTGTGGTGCCAGGCCTTCTGCGAGGTGACCCAACCCCACAGTGTTCAAGGGAGAAGAGCACGTGCCCCTTACTAGAAGGCTGAGGATGGTCAGGGCGCAGCACACCAAGGCCCCTGTGTTTTAAGATACGAGAATGAGTTGGGGAACTGTCCTGAGAAGTCAGGTCCCCTCCAGGCCAGGACACAGCCTGGAGCTCTGCCAGCAGCCGAGAGTGCAACATCCACACTCAGGCTTGCCATCCCAGGCGCTGCCCACTCACCAGCCCACCTCCTGCTGCAGCCAGCAGGCCCTGGTGGCACCAGAACCAGCCCTGCTCCAAAATCCCACGAGCAGCTGACTGGAGCGGCCTGGGCCAGGGCAGAGCACAGAGCTGGGTGCACACTGCTGCTAGAGGGTGCAGAGCGGAGCCTCCAGGAACACCTAGACCAGCCCCAAGGGGACCCCCAGGGAGGCAGGTCCTGGGAGAGGCCCCACAGACCTCCTGTGTGACCCACCTTCTGCTCCCCCCCTCAGAAAGCCTTCAGCCTCCAGGTGCCCTTCTTCTTCTTCGCGGCCATCTGCCTGGTGAGCCTAGTGTTCACGGGCTGCTGTGTGCCTGAGACCAAGGGCCGCTCCCTGGAGCAGATCGAGTCCTTCTTCAGCAGGAGGAGGTCCTTCCTGCACTAGGCCAGGGATCTACCTGCCAGGTGGCCAGGCCTCCTTGGTGGCCACAAACCCATGCCCTGCAGCCGGGACGCGGCGCAGCCGTCACTCCTATGAGCCGCAGCACAGGGCCAACCAGGACCTGCTTCTGACTGGACAGGCAGCACGCTCCGGCTCAGGCGGCCTGCAGGAGGTGGCGCAGACCTGCTGGCTCTCAGGCTGGCCCTTGGAGTGTGCCAGGCCGTGTGGAGGACAGAGCAGCACGGAGGTGGCATTGGCTCAGCACAGGAACATCGTCACTTAGCCTCCTCCAGGCGTCTTGCTGTGGACAGGAGGGTCTGTGGACATCATGCAGCAACACATGCCCTACTTCCAGAGTCCAGGGCACAGGACAGCCACTTGCCCCACATCAGCCCCACCTCAGGGATAGGGGCAACCATCTGCAAACTGTGTTCACCCTATTTACAAAAATAAATAAGTTGGGCCTGCAGCCCTATGGAGGAAGGAGTGGGGTCTTTAGCTGGAGGAGGCTCCCCACCTCTGCAGGCAGGCCAGACCAGACACCGGCCACGGCTTCAGAGCCTGCTGGCCCAGTAGGGCCCTAAATTCATGGTCACTCTGGACTTGAGCTCAGTGCAGCAGAGAGGAAGGAGGGGCAGTGTGGTGGGTCCACCTTGGGGCCTGGCTCTTCCTGGTGTGTCACCTTGGAGCCCCTTTCCCCGTCTAAGCAGGCTGACAGGGCCTTACTCCTGGGCCAGCAGCTCCTGCTCCGCCGTCATGGACACGGGTATCCCTACTGCTGACAGACGCCAGAGACAGAAGGTAACAGCAGAGAGCAAGCGGAGGAACTGCAGCCCTGCTTTACTGCTCAAAATGCAGCCGCGTGGAGGAGCCCACCAGGAACGGGCACAGAGGAGGTGTGGGGCTGGAGTCCCAGTGATGTCCCCCGCCCCCAATGCGGGCCTCCAGAGCTGACTGCAGGCCACCTGGGAATCTCCTGGCAAGCAACACCCCACTCTGGCCTGTGACCAAGGCCCTCCTGCCTCCGACCCACCCTGTGGCCTGCCCAGCCCAGCAATGGGTTTCCCCTCAAGGTGGATGTCACCTTCCTTAATAGCACAGCCAGTACCTCCTCTCCCTGCACCTGCAGCAAGGTCCCTCTGAAAGGGTTGGGGCCTGGCAGGAGTGACTCAAGCCCCACACCCAGACAAGTGAGCAGGGGGGCAGACAGGGCTGCTCCTCCCGGGAGGTAGACGGGTCTTACCACTGCACACACACGCATAGCCCTTTGAGCCCAGCATGGGCCTGAGGATGGTAGCCCTTAAGGAACCCTGAAGGCACGTGTCCCACCAACCTAGGACTGAGCCTGGCCGGGATCCTAGAGGGCCAAGGCCCACTCCAGACCCCACTGACGTGTCCTGGGGCAGTGCTGGGCAGAGGCCCTGCTCCCAGCCCCAAACTCTGCAGGCCTGCATGTTCCCCCTGGGAAACAGACCTGGGGCTGCTTTCCTGGGAGCAAGAGCCAGTCCCTGAGTTCTGGGGGTCCACTGCAGGCCCACCTGGGGGTCCACTGCAGGCCCACCTCTGTTTGGGAGGGAGGGAGACAGGGAGCTGGGCCCAGAAGCAGCGTTTTCCACAGCAGCCTATTCTGCCCAGGCCCGTCCAGGCATGGCCAGACCTTGTCAGACATATGCTTAGTGGCCAAGAGCCAATCTGCTAATCAAAGCAGGGTCAAGGCCAGAGGGCAGGAGGAAGAGTCAGCAGTGTGGCAGGAGGATGAGGGCCATGAACGGATACATCCAGGAGGGGTCCCCGCTTCCCCATGCGCCTGCATAGGGGCTTGTGCCTGGTGGCCTGGCACTGGGACAGGGGATACAGCTCTGTGGGGGAGATGGGCTCTGGCTTCTGCCCAGCTCTGCAAAGGCAGGAAGCTCCCCAGGGGCAGGCTGGCAAGCATACCTGAGGTGGACCAAGCTCAGTCCCTACTACAGGCTGCTGCAGCTGCTACCACCAACAGGACCACAGCAGAGGAGTGGGTGGGACCCTATAAGCACCCCTCCCCACCCCCTTAGCACCAGGGCCTGAGGTGGAGTGAGAGGCAGAAGCCAGCAGCCTGGGTCAGCTGAGAAGGCAGAGCAGCTAGGGTACCTGGAGGAGCCTGTCCAACATGCCAGGGACTGGGAGTGGGTCCACCTGACCAGCCAGCCACTGCCAGGCCTGCTGTGGGGGCAGGGGTGCATCTTGGGAGCACTATGGGCTCCCTCCCAGAGGACTGGCCATGTCCCTGGGCAGCAGCAGTCAGCTTGGAGACATTGTTCTCCCCAACCTCTGCCCTGAGGACAGGGAAACTGGGCAGGATTGGAACTCCACCTGCCAGGAGAGCTGGGAGACTTTCCCTATGCTTCAGTGCTCAGGCCTCAGGGACCTGGTTGGGGAGTCCAGAGCCCAGGTGACATGCCCCTCAACTCCCAGCCAGGGCCAGTGTGTCTGGGGGAAGCTGCTCCTAGGCTTGGGGTGGACCCTATCACGTGAGGCCTGCAGACCCACCAGAAGCCCAGTCCACTAAGCCAGGCTGGCAGGATCAGGCCAGGTGGCCACCCCCACTGCACTGAGATGGGCCATACAGCCCAGGCCCTGAGCACCAGCCAAGTCAGGGCCCCAGGCTTGGAGAACAGGCTGGCAGAAGAGGGTCAGGCAGCGGGGGGTCCTCTCCCAGGCTGTCCCATAGGGCTGGTGCTCTGCCTCCTCCATAGAAGCTCATGGACCCCACTGTGGACTCGTCACAGCTCCCCCTCCAGGGTCTCTGCCAGCTTCTCTTCGTCTGCCTGCTGCCTCTGCTGCTGGATCCGGGCATAGGAGATGGCATCACCCCTGGGGAGAGAGCGGGGGTGTCCTGCAGGGCCCAGCCTCAGGCCCAGCCCTCCTGGCTACCACCCAATCCAGGCATGACTGCAGGCAGAGCCTACTGGGCCTCTGGTTCCCCAGACAGAGGCTACTGCTAGGGGACAAAGGGCTGGTCACTTCTGAAACTGGCACAGGCTACCTGGATGTTGAGTTGAGAAAATCTATTCAGTCTGGGCTCTGCAGGGGGAGGGTGGCAACGGGATATGAGGAGTCTATACACTCTGGATGGACAGAGGCCAAGCAGAGTGACACGGGCCACCCAAAGGCCACCCAGTGGTCTCGCCTGCATTCCCTAGAGAACTGATGAGCCACTGGCAACCCCTTTGCCTCAACTCCCACAGCTGAACAACAGAGTCCACCCTCAGCCCTCCCCCCTGGACAGCAGGAGGCAGGAGGCCCACCCAGACGCACTTTTTGCCCAAGGCAGAGAGTCCATACAGCACCCCTGTGGCAAAGGCGATGGCATTGCCCAGCAGTGTGGTCAGGCTCAGGCTCATGATGATGGGGACGACGGCCATCCTAGGGAAGAGACAGAGGTCAAGGGGCACTGCCACTCTGTGCCACCACCATCCCTCCAGACTTCTGGTGGGGGGATGGGGAGAAGGATCCTCAGAAACCAACAGGGACACACATTCAGGTGGGGCTTCTGAAGCCATGGGGTAGCCCCAACAGGCTGCCAACACCTGTGCCTTACTGGGGTGAGGAGCCAAAGCTCTCATCAGATTCTCAGCAAGGTCTGTGACCTACAAAGAGTCCAAAGCCCTCCCTGTTCATAGAGAGAGGCTGTGCCCAGAGAATCTGTTCATAAAAACCCTGTGACCAAGTTGCTTAGTTCTAAGGCTCAGTCCTTTGCTGTGACATAAGGTCAGGCCTCAGCTGACCTGGGGCCTGGAAACCATAGGCACTGAGCAAGCACTGTTGTTAGGACAGTAAAACCAGCCGAAGCTTGACAGGTAGGGTCCCCACCTCAGACCCCTGGCCTCAGGCTCCTCAGTGCAGACCTGTGCAAGGCACAGCCCAGGCCAGTTCCCACCCAGCTGGGTGCCACCTGCCCTGTGGTCTGCTCTGGCTTTAAAATCCCAGCAGCTGATTCTTGATCCTGGCCACCAGAGCAGCAGTGACTCCTGGGTCAGCCAGGAAAATAGCTGTCCCACCTTCCTGAGAGGAGATCAGACTCCACCAGCTGCATGCCACCTGAGTTTCCATTCTAGATGTTACTGCAGCTGCACATTTAAAGTTACAGACTGTCTGACCTTGGCTTGCGATGGTTCAACTTAGGGTGTTTTTTTTTTTTTTTAATTTTACGATGGTGCAAAAGGGTTGCAGGCTCAGTGGAAACTGTGCTTAGAATCTGGGTTTTGATCCTTCCTAGGCTCTGGACACATGTCAGGGCATCATCTCATAATGTTCACATGGATGGCCACAAGGCTCTGCGCACACATGACGTCACTGAGCTGAGTGGTGGCACCTGGGTGCAGAACAGTGCATGCACACCTGACGTGCAGTGGATGTGTGGGCCAAGACCCCATCGTAAGTCCAGGCACCTCTGCAATAAAGTAGCAACGGAAACCACAGGAAGGGACAGCCCAGGGGAGACCTTCAAAATAAAACTCAAGGCAAACAACAGGCCAGAAAATATGTGCAGGAAATGTAAGGAGGTATGGGATCTTTAATAAAGAAACACACATAACCTGCTAAGTGATTCACTAACAGGCTGTGAAGTAACCAGAAAGTCCTCAAATAAGAAAATGCAGCTGGGCACAGTGGTGCACGCATGTAACCCCAATGGCTCAGGAGGCTAAGGCAGGAGGATTGCAGGTTCAAGGTCAGCCTCAGCCACCTAGCAAAGCTGTTAATAACCTAGTGAGACCCTGTCTCAAAAAAAAAAAAAAAAAAGGCCAGGGACATGGCTCAGTGGTTAACCGCCTCTGGGTTCAATCCCTAATACCAAAAAAAGGAAAAAAAAAAAAAGGGGTGGGGTCTCTGATCCTGTCATCCTTCACCATTCAGACATGGGAGGGCCTGCAGAAACCAGCGTTTGTGCTCTCAGGGGCAGGCTGCCAGGCAGCACTAGTCTGCACTTATCTTAAAGATAATCAGGAAGAATAACCAGCCTCCCGTGCAAAGGGCCTGCTCTCAGAGCTCCCGCCTAATGAGTTACTTGCAGGCAGTTCTGTCTGGTGACTCTGATGTGAAGAGCCACATACTGAACTTGTGGGAAACAGGAAAGTAGAAGCAAAGCACATTTAGAGGCCATGATGATTTCCAAGCCCCATCCTGCGTTTCCAGCTCTCATCAGGACGCCTAGGCCAACCAAGCTGCTGTGAAAGGCCACACAGCAAGGCCCCTTCAGATCCACATCTGCTAACTCCCCACCAAGGGACCGAACCCCCAGAGCCTGCTACTGTCTCACTGCACACAAAGCTGCAGGCACTTCAATCCCATCCATCTTTGACCCTCACAGACTGGATGCCCAGATGTGGGACCGCTAGGCCACACTCTTCAGCAGCCATCATGTAGTCATTCCACCCGAGGCCACCAAGTCCCACTCCAGAGAGGAAGCCCATGCACCAGCACCTGCCCCATCCACCCTCACCAGCGGCCCTTCTGGTCCTGTTGCCAGCAGGGTTTTGGGGAGCCGTGTCAGGGGCTCTGCCCAGCAGTCCCTCACCCACAGTAGAAGAGAGCCTTCTGCCAGGAGCGCAGCCGGTCCACCCTCTCAGCCACTGTGTTTGCAAACTCCACGAACTGGCAGCAGAAGGGCGCCTCACACAGCAACAGCACGAAGGCGTTCATGCTAGGGCAAGGGCGGGAGAGAGGGACAGCTGGGTGACAACCCGCAGCCAGGGGCAAACCAGCACCATGAGGAAGACCACCCTTCCCACCCAACCCAGGAAGTGCCCAGCTACTCCAGGGCAGGGAGCAGCTATCCCCAGGGAGCCTCTTCCAAGCACTTCACCCCCAGCTGTGCCCGCACACCCACGCCCCTGTCTGAACTGAGCACTCATGACGGAAGAGGCTGGCCGTCTGGCTCCGTCGTCCTTCTTGGCTGTGACAGAGGAACAAGACCCTCTCAAGTGGCACTGAGCCCGTAGCAAGCTCAGCCATGCAGAGTACCCACAGCTCCACCAGCTGGCAGCACTATCGCCACCATCACCTACATCACCACCCCAGGGAGGACAGACACCAGGCCACCCACAGTCAGGCAGGCGTGATGATGGGTGCCCGACCCCATGGAGTCCTGAGCCCAGGGACAGGTAGGCTAGGCAGACGCAGGGCCGTGGGAGCCCACACTGGGAGGAAGGTGCTCAAAGGCCTTCTACCCCAGCACGCTCACTGGGAGCAGCTGACCCCTGGGGCTTCTGCCCTGTCCCGTGGGTAATGGCCGGCTACCAGGCACTGAGCCCTGCGTGCCAGGCTGTCTGCCCAAGCCTGAAAGGAAAGTGCCATCAATACCTCTTTTACAGAGATGCAGCCTCAGGACCGGAATCCCGGGCAGGAATTTTCTTTTAACTCTTAGTCGCTGCCCTGGCCTCCAAGACAGCCCTGCATCCACCCAGGCCTCTGTGCCCAGTGGACCCTCCCATGCCCCACTCACCAGCCTCCACCCCTGCTGCTTCAGGCCAGCACAGGCCTCTGTCCCCCCCCCCACCTGCCCGAGTCTCCCCCAGGCCTGAGGTCTGAGGGCAGGGCCTGCCTCTCGTCCCGAGTGCCCCTTGCAGCCCCTCGTGGATACCAGCAAGTATACAGCACAGTGCCACACCATGTGCCAGAGCTGCACTGCGCCAGTCCCCACCCTGCCTGTGCCTGTCCGTGGGCAGGGGCTCGCCCGTGGCGTGGCAGCCCTGGCTCCTGCACAGCACAGGGCTGCTTCTCCCGCCGGACCGCCTCTGGCACTGCTCACCACCTCCCAGCAGCGCCGCCCTCTCCCAGCTCAGGCCAGCTCCCTCCTGGCCACCCTGACCACAGCCCTTCCATACTATAGCCCAGGAGCTCCCAGGGGGCAGGAACATCACGCTGGAAGAGGGGTCTGAAGAGCCCGACTCAACGGACGCTCAAGGACTGTTGACCATCTCAATTCTGCACCCAGGAAAGGCACAGGCAGGCATCCCCCGACTCCTCATTAAGAAACCTGAACGAGGGTGAGTGGGAAGGAGGACAAGGCCCGCGCAGTACCTGAAGTCCGCAGGCCCCAATCCCCGCCAGGCAGGACAGCCACGTGCTACTCACATCATCCACACGCCAGCGGCGATTTTCAGAGGGTAGATAGTGATGCAGCTGAAGAGTCCGGAGATGGCACAAGCTTGAAAGAAGCAGCACAGCAGGAGTCAGCAGGGAGGTGGCAGAGCTGATGGAAGGGCTGCCTGGGAGGCGCGGGGCGGCCCTGAGAACTCGGCTAGAGCTCAGCCGCCACTCAGCTCGAGGCTCCCTCTAAGCCAGGAGGCTGGAGAGGTGAAGCAGCTCGTCCAGGACCTCGGAGCTGGCCAGCTCCCGGCACTCGAGAGGACGTCCCCCACCTTCATTCTGAGGCCCGGAGGGACCTGTCCTCTGAATCCAGCCACCTCACGGGTGGTTAGGATTAAAGAATAAAGTCACTCAAAGGCTCAGGACAGAGCCTGAGTGAGGGCCACCTGTCTCCACTCATGGGCTGGCCATATAAGGAGTCCTCAGACTTGGAGTCCTTGGCTGGGACTTTGGGACAAGGGGCTCCTTCTCCTGTGTAACAGCCATCAGGACCAGAGAGACAGAAGTCGGCTCAGCTCTCTCTAGCAGCTGAGTGGCCTTCCCTGTATGTAGCCGACCTACCCGATGTGAGAACACCACAGGGCCAGAGGGGATGGCGTGTCCTCCCCTGCCCCGAATGTGGATCCCTGACGCCCCTCTCTTCCCATCTGCACCTCAGAGCAGAGGCTGTTGCACCCACTCACTCCTCTACCACGGCCCAGCTGCAGCAGGAGCTTCAGGAGCTGCCAGGCCATTCCAGGGAGCTGGGAGCTGGGTGGGAAGCAAGCCCAAGTGGTGGTCAGGAAAGGGCAGGAAGGGACACTAGCCCTCTGACACAGCAATCAGCAACCAGCTCATTAAACTTGCAGCAGCTCCTCTGCACCTGATCCCTCCACCTGGCCCTGGAATTCTGCCGTTTTCCATTTTCCCGTGTAACCCTATGCAGACGGTAGGCGATGCAGGAAGAAACCGGATAAGTGACCGGAACTGAGTGGGACTGCCTCCTGTGCCACACACTCAAAAGTGGCCCTTGGCATTCTTATCAACGTGCCTCAAGCAGCAAGGTTCCCCTAGGTCACAGATGCAGGGGACTGACTGCCCCTTCAGAGAGCCAAAGGATGGCATGGCTTCTGCCCAGGAGTAGCTGGGCTTGGTCTCACCTGAGCAGCCTGCTGCAGTCAGCATCCCCGCCTGCAGCCTGATGCTGCCCCCACTGCCCTTACAACACAGGCTTTGGGGAGGACCAGGTCCAAGACAGACAGACGGCTCCAGTCAGGAGTCCTTGACAATGTGCAGTTAATGGGTGTCCATCCAGGATTGCCAATGCCCACGTCTTCCGTGTTAAGGGGATGTTGCCACGCAACCCTCTCTCCTCCTGGCTAATCCCTCCAGATGGCCTTAGGACCGGGGTTAAGGCCCCTCCAACTCCCCAAGGCCTCTCAACTCAGGGAGGGCAACCCTACCCCAAAGTGACCAGCCAGGTGCACAGCCCTTGTAGAAACCCGTTACATCTCTAAAACAATCCATGTTGTATCTCTCCTTCCCCACTCCCTCTCCCTCTCGGGTGTGTGTGTGAGATGGGGGTAACGGGGGGATTGAACCCAGGGGTGCTCTACCACTAAGCCACATCCCCATTCCTTTCTTAATTCTAAGACAGGGTCTCCAACGTTGCAGAGGTTGGTCCCAAACTTGTGATCCTCCTGCCTCAGTGCACTGAGTAGCTGGGAGCACAGGTGTGCAACACTGCCACTCTAGAACACCTACATGTGTGCATTCTGCCCTGTGGTATACTATTTGGTACTCATAAGACAATGTCCCCCTCAAAATACACAGGTGCAGCAGACCCTTCAGGGTGTGGCACAGGTCTCCTGAAGTTTACTTGTGGCCCCAACACAGCACCAGTACTCTTGGGGCAACCCCACTTTGAGAAGAACAGGATTGGATGGGACTCCAGGGTCAACCTGGGAGTCAGGTAGGCCACGCTGACCAAGATGGAGGGAGGATGGCAACCTGCAAGCCATGATCAGGACCTTTCCTTTCTCCACCAGTGACCACTGCCACCCTCAGTAACGCCCACCTGATCTGCCAGGAAACAGCTAACTATCCTTGAGAGAATCTGACCTCCACCCCACCAACCTCTCCCAAATGGACAGGAGCTATGCCTTTGGATAGGAACTACCTTGCCTGCAGCAGGCTCCTAACCCTGCCTCATCCTGCCAGAACTTCCACCTCGCTCACCACAAGGCTGGGGCTTGCAGATGCCCAGGTGCTCCTTCTGGCAGGAGAGCAAAAGAGTTTGCCCCTGTAAGCCTCCAGCCCCCTGTGCCAAGCAGACACTGGAATCCCAGCAACTCCGAAGACCAGCCCAGCCCTGAAGCTCCAGGAAGTGACAGTGTTGATAGCAGACATGCCAATGGACTCCTATTTGCTTTGGAAGGCTGGCAACATGATCTTCACCTGTGTGGCGGATCTTCGCTCCTTTTGTCTTCTCTGAGCCTGTGCTAAGACAGCCCATTCTCCTGGTAACCTGAGGTTGGGGTGTGTGCCTGGCAGGTCTGGAGGGTAGAAGGAGGGCCACCGAGAGGCAGGGAGGACAGCATGAACAGAGTGGACCGCAGAGAGAATGGAGAGTGAGGATCCAAAGGAGAGGTTGCCTCCTTCTGCCCACTGTCCAGCCGCCCTCAGGGAACACCTGTCCCCTGCACAACATGACCCTCAGCAAACTTCCCAGTCAGTGCCTTCCTGCCACAGTCTGACCAGATCTGCACCCGCCCCACTTAGGAACAAGCTTTGCTCAAAGGTTGGGAACAGGTGTCCCACCTCGCCCAGGTGGGAAAGGGCAGGGCGACTTCAGGGAGACTCTGCTCCTCTTTTGATGGCCCCAGAACAGCCAACTCAGTCTCGGGGCCAAGCCCAGGCCCGAGGCCGGGAACCACCGCAACCCCGAGGGCGCCGGCTCCCAGCGGCTTCGCCACGTCTGGCGAAAACCTGACCCGCGCGGGTTCCTCCCCCGGCCGGGTACTCACAGATGGCCCCCAGCACGCCTGACAGGCGACACAGCCAACGGTACCACCAAGTCATGCCCTCCTCCTGCGCGGGCGGCGCGGGGCTGGCCGACGCCCCCGCAGCGCCTGAGCCGCTCATGCTGCCGCCGCGCCTCGGTGGAGCCCCGGACCGGCACAAAGACCGGTCCGCCCGCGCGCTGCCTTGTGGGAGAGGGTTCATTAGCATAGGAGGCGGGCCCGCCGGCGAGGTAGAGGGTTGGTGGATATTAGCATAGGGGCGGAGCCTGCCAGACAGGTGAACACTGGCATAGAGGGCGGGGAGAGGGATGGTTGCTCTTTACAAGGTGGGCGGGGCCTTCCAGCAATACAGGGTAGTGGAGATTGATGGATATTAGCATAAGGGGCGGTCCCGCAGAAGAGGTTGGCAGTTGACGGACATTAGCATAGAGGGCGGGGCTCGCAGGTACGCACGAAGGGCTGGGTATTCATTACGTGGGGGCGAGCCTGGCGGCAGCTGCACCTATACGTACCAAATCCTCCCACCTGGACTGACCTAGGAGGGAGGAGTGGGTCTTTGCGGAGTTGGGAGTGCGCCAGCCTCAGGACCCAGTCCAGACTCCACTCTCCCTGGCCTTTCCTGTTCCCTGAGTAGGAGGAAGACAACTGAAGGTGGCGAATGAATCCCCACCTTGGGGGTTTTCAAACCAGGTTTAGACAGATTACATGAAGAAAACATCAGGTCAGGCCTCCCATTTCCTTTATTGACATCTGAAGGGCTGGGAACTGCTTTCCCAAAGAGTCTCCACCTCCTACACCTAAAGCCAAGACCCCAAAGAAGAATCCCTAAGATTGATGGAAGTCCTAGTTGGAAGGCACTCTGAGACCAGAGTTAAACCCTACAGGTTGCCCAGACATCTACTAGTGTTCAGTAGGTGTTGGGTTGGTTCTCTTTCCTTCCAAAGCTTGGAGAGAAATCTAGGGCAGGGCCTGGCTGTGCTCCGGGCTCTTCTGGCATTCTGGGATTGAGGGTCCAGTACTGACCCTGCAGGCTGGCATGTGCCTCCAGGAAGCCCTGGCTAAACTCCACCTCAGCCTCACTGCCCTCTGACTCCCAGTAGAGCGCCTGCTGCCCATGGAATGTTGTGGTCCTCAGGCTGTGGGCATCCCGAATCTGCAGGAAAGAGGACAAGCAAAAGGAACAGCCCTGAGGGATGACTAGCCAGTGTTTCTACAGGCCTGTGTATGCAAATTACCACACATACAGGATCACATCTAATCCTCACAAGAGCCCTGTCAGGTGGCCACTCCTGTTCTACTCAGGAGAATGAGACTCAGGGATGTTACACCATTCCCCAGAACACACAGCCAGAGTGCCAGAGCTGGGACGGGACCAGGCCTGATTCAGAGGCCAGGCTGCCTCCTCTGTGGGAGCTGAGGTCTTGCACAGCACTGTTCTCCCAAAGACAAAAAGCCTCCCCCCACCTGTGCTCTCCTGGCAAATTACATCAGGCTGGGAAACGGGAACCCATGCTTCCACTCCAGGTTAACTGGCTGTCTACACAGAAGGGATCCTTCCTACTTCCCTTTTGCAGGTAGTGCAATAAACATTTCTTGGTGAATAAATGGAAGAAATTCCTCCCATTCTTTCACTAATGATTCTGAGGTTTTGATCTGAAGTAAATGAAAGGGGTCCCCTAAGCTCAGCAATCCCATCCTCAACCCAAAGGACAGCTGTCCAGAATCAGCAAATTCCCACATGGACTCACTGAGACATAGCTGGCGTTGGTTCCCTTAGTTCTAGGGTCCATGTGGGTGACCAGAGCATGGATAGCAATCCGGGCCTGTGGAGCCACACTGATGAAGACCCGGCAGCCCCCTACACCCATCATCTCTGAACTCAGTAGGGGGCTCACGATTTCACCCTGGGGTCCAAAGAGCTGTAAGTCACATTCTGCAGGGGAGAGCAGGTGGGTAGACCAAGTGTGGGTCTCAGGGACTCAGGAGCCAGACAGGCTGCTGATGTCGGGCAGGTCACAGTTGGGAGCAGTGAAGGGATTTGCAGCACTGGCTTAAGGTCAGGCTCCCAGGAAAAGCCCCCATGGAACCCCCTCCACCAATCCTAGCTGAGCGACTTTAGCAAATGCTTTCAATGCTCCCAGCTTCCATCCCTCCTTTACAGTGGAAGGCATTTGTCAGGAGGGCTTGATGCACTTATGCTACACAAGTACTCACCAGTGAAACTGGCACAAAAGAGGGCCCAATATGGCAGCCACTTGTGCCCCAACTGCTGCCCCTCTGGAGCCTCCCTAAGGCTCAGATGCTTATGTAGGGGGGAGGGCAGGAAGTGAGCAGTGAGACCTTGACCCAAGCAAGCTCACTGCTGAGGGGCAGGGAGGGACTTGAACTCCCCACAACACTTTCACATTCGATGGGGGGACCAGCAATCTCTGGAGCCACCTTGGGCTGCTGGAAGACAGCAAGTCCCTGAGGCAACCAAGGTCATTAGCAGACCATTGCAGTAGGACCACGGGTAAGGCAGGAGTCCCTGCGATGCCATCCTCTGTCTGAGAGGTGTGTGGTAGTGTGCATTTTTGCACAAGCAGGTGTATGAGAAGAGGACTGAGGGAAAGCAGCTCACAAAAGGACCTTGAAGAAGCTGAATGTCCAGTGAAAGGCAAGGGCAACGGCCTGAGGAACTGGGCAAGGATGTGGACCAAGTCCCATGTCTCCCCGTCCAGCTGCATGGCCCAGAGAAAAAGGGCTGCAGCCCCCTCCGGAACCCACACTGTGCACATGCAGAGCAACACTGAATACCCGGGTTCCTTCGTGGCTGGCTCCCCATCTTGCTCACTGCCCCACTGGAACTAGCCCCATTCCTGGCCAGCAGCACAGCCCCAGTCGCCCTCTGAGGAGGTAGCACCTTGCTATACCTCTGTAGAAAGTTCCAGGGGCAGGCTGGCTCCTGTACCCCAGCAGCACTCCACTTCCGGGCCACACAAGGTGCAGCTTAGCCACCAGAATGTTGGTCCTGGAGCTGAAAGTCAGGCCAGACAGCTTCCCACACAACTTCTTCCACATGAACCGGCCCCAAAGCAGCAACTTCTCTCCTGGAAAGTAGCAGGCAGTGAGGGCCCAGCACTCCTACTCCAGGTCTGCCGCTGTGCTCCTGGTGGGCTGAGTTGAGTTCAAGCCACCACTTTCTTACTGTGTGACAAGTGGGGCATGTTATTCAATCTCTCCTAGCTTCGGGCTCCTCCTCTGCAAAATGAGTACTCACCCCGCGGTCATTAGATGACTCCGAGCATGAAAAGCAGGCATGCAGGTGGAGCACCCCACCAACAGCAAGAGCGCTAGAGTCATGCCGGCCCCTGGCAGGCCTGTAACTGGCAGCAATTGCCCACACAACCCAGATGTACCTGCACTGCAGTTGAGGGTGCTCTCAAGGACTTGGAGTATTACCACCTCACCCAGGGGCCGCCCGATGGCCACCACACAGTCCGCCTGCCCTGGGCCTCGCATGTCAATGGTTCCTGTGGGCTCCAGGTGCTGCCTGCCACAGGCACCTACAGAGGGAGGAGGAGCATGGTGAGCATAGCCACTGGGGGTCCCAGCAGCACAGGGCCCAGCTCTCCCTGCTGTGCAAGGAGCCAGGACAGGGTGGCCCAGCAAGAAGTCACCTCAAGTCAGGAATGGGACTGCATGGATCAGAGTATTGTGATCTAAGGCAGAGCCGCTTCCAGCTGCTCCAGGGAGAAGGAGGCAGTGCAGGGCACTGGTGTTGTATCACAGGGACCTGGGCTCTAGGCTGCACCCAGCAAGTCACTAGATGGTGACAGTTATGAATAAAAGTGTGGTTTCCCTTGGCCAAGCAGGAAGGGAGTCTACCCTGAGCCCAGTAGCATATGGTCCAGAGGACAGAGGGCTTGTCTTGGCTTTCCCAGGTAGAGGTGGCTTTGCCCACCCTGCAGCCAGCCTCCCACAGAGAAAGGAGGAAGGAACCTAACTGGACTCCACCAGGCTTTCCTGGGGCCAGTCCAGAGAAGCACCAGCAACAGCAGCTGTGGTCTGGCTGGGGTCAGTGGCTTCTTTGTGGGGCACTGAGCGGAAGGTCCCGTGCTCCTCACAGGGCCCAGCTTGGCAGCTGCGCACTGTTGCTGGCTTGGGTGAGTGCTGGCAGAAGCTGGCTGGCACAGGTGCCTGGGCTCCATGGCAGGTGACATGCCGGCGCTGGATGCCATCCCCACAGGAGACAGAGCACTGCAAAGAGGAGGCAGGAGTCACGCTGGCCATGAGGACAGCAGTGCCACAGCCAGATGTATCTGATATTGTCCTCGCACAACCTGGGAGTGACAAGTATCTCCATGCTATGTGTTGGGAGACTGAGGTCCAGTGAGGGCCCTGGAGTGAGTCATGTATGTAGCAAGAATTAGGATTCAAACCCATCTCACCCCATCACCCTCACAGCCTTTACCCCCCAAAGTCTATGAGTCCATGAGGACACCCTTGGGGTGTCCTCCTCCACATTCCATCAGACCCTGCCCAACTCTGGCCCTCACCTCTGCCCAGCCCAGATGCCCAGGATCCTGCTGATCAAGGTGGGAAGTGGCCCTGGAGGAGGCCTCTGGGGCTGTGGATCGTCTCATCTGTTCTACCCCTGTACACCCCTGTACCCCCACTGAACCAGGCCCTCCTGGGCATTCTGAGTCCTCTTTGCCTTTGTCTTTCTGGTGCTTGGCACAGGGTGGCCGTGGCTCTCCGTAGGACTGAACTATCTGCCCTTGTGCCCCAGTGTCTCCACTCTTGGCCTCCGAAGGCCCACCTGCCTCACGATTGGGCCTGTGGTGCCTTCTGTCTCTAGGAGCCCCTTCCCCAGGAGATCCCCCTCCTCCTTTAGGAGGCCACAGTGAATCAGTGCCTGCAGGGCTCCTTGTGTGTGAGGACTCACAGCTGATGCCACCCCAGTCCCACTGGGAAGTCTGATGGGCTGCAGCCCTGACCTCTGTCCAGGTGCCAACGTGCCACAGGTAGGTACAGTCAGTGAGGAGGCAGGGGACACTGGCTTGTGGCCGCACCAGAGCTGCACAGGATACCTCATCCACCTCAGTGTCCTGGCCTCCTTCAAGTTGCATGCAGGCCACTGTGCGGACAGCAGTGCCAAGACCACAACTGGCTGAGCATGGACCAAGGGATGTGACCTTCCACCTACAGGAAGAGAAAACCCAGAGAGAGCTGGCTCCTGAAAAGATGGCACTGCCCATAGGGGCTCTGCTCCACCTCTGTGTCTTAGGACATTCTCTTGCACAGATTCCAGGGCCAAGTGAGGGCAGTACAGCTGCTAAGTCTTCTGCATAGTAGAAGCAGGACTCCCTGGAGCAGGAAAGGTTCTGAAGGGCTCTGAGAAAAGAGCCCTCTTGTCCCCTTTATCACATAATACCCCAAACCCACAGAGCTGCTGGCTGGCCAAGTGCCAGCACAGGAAGTGATGCCCAGGATAATGGAAAACAGATCTCAATGTGCCACCTCCTGTGAGGAGAGATGAGGTGTCAGAGATCCACACCATCCTGCTGTGTTAATTAGAACCACTCAACAAGTAAGAACGGCCGCATTTTTCAGAACTGGAACGTGAACCCAGGATGCCTGTACTGGGGCCTGGGGTCCTAAATGCTACACACCACTGCCCTCATGACCTGTCACTCTGCCTTATGTGGGATCAGACACAGGGTGATGGCACAAGCCACACTGAGACACACCTCTTGGGTGTACAATCTTCACCTTAGCACCACTGGCACTGGGGCTATGTGACCTTGTCTGGAGGACAGTCCTGTGCATGGCAGAACAGGTAACTTTGCTCCTCCTTCTGCCCACAGAGATAGTAGCAAATCCCCCTCCCCAACTGTGACCACTAAAATATCCCAAAAATTGTCAGGATAACCTGGGGGGCAGAACTGTGCAGCTGAGATGCCCCTGCCCTGGAAGGGAGACCATGAGCAGAACTGTGAGCAGAGCACAAGCGCTAGATGGTGGGTTGCTGAGGAGCAACAGGGCACAGTGTGGGTGTCTGGGCGAGCCGTCTGGATATGTCTGGGAGAATACCCCTGCTGTCAGCAGAGCCCGGGCAGCCAGGACCCCACAGATCCAGAGAAGAACTAGGAGTCAGAGAACAGCTAGGAGTCAGGAGGAGCCCTGGAACACTCTGGAACAGTGAGGAGGCCAGACTGGCTACAGCAACATTCCACGGAAGCCAGAGCTTGTGTGTGCACGTAATTCCCATCAAAACCCCATACCATTTCTAAATGTGATGTAAAAAAATAAAACGGGACTTCAGCATGAGCAAAGAAAGCAAGACACTTGCACTGTGGGTGCTACATCGATTCTGGTTTTGTCTTTTTTCCCTGGCAGGTAGGGGATTGAAGCCAGGACTGGTGCATGCTAGGCAAGCATTCCACCACTGAGTTATACCCCACATCTTTTTTATTTTGTGATGGGGTCTCACTATGTTGCTGAGGCTGGCCTTGGACTTGCAATTCTCTTGCCTCAGCCTCCTGAGTCACTGAAATTATAGGCATGTGCCACTGTACCCTCCTTCTAAATGGAATTTAAAGCTACAAAACATAAAACAATGTGATATGGTTTAGGGAAAAGCTAGGAAAAATCAAACCAAACCTGGTAGAAAGCCCAGACATAGACTCTACCACATAAGAATTCAGGCTAAGGGATGTGCCATGTGGGGAAAACATCTACAGTGGTGGCTTTGTGGTCCCATCTGGGCCTCCCCATCCATGGATGGTGTCACACCCTCAGGGTCCTGCAAACACCACCCCCAGGACCTTCCCACAGCTGAACACAGGACGACCACCTGCCTCTCTGCACTTGAACCACACCTCCACCTCCAGCACAGCCGGCCAGGCAGCCCTGTTTCCTCAGGACTGTCCATGTGCCATTGTGCTGCCCTGGAATCCCCAGGGTGCCTGCCTGGTGTCTGCACACACCAGAAGCCCAACAGACACGCCCTAGTCTGTCCTGTCCCCTCACCTGGGTAGACAGGGCTCAAGACTCTAGGCCAGGCAGTCCCTGGCACTGGCTGTCAGGCAGTATCTCCTTGTCATTATCTCCCATGGACCCTCTGCATAACCCCCCACCCCCACCCCCATCCTGCACGTGAAAAAAAAAGCTCACGCTGCAAGCCACTAGCTGGTGGTGCCACCTGCGACACACTGAATAAGGGAGCCAAAGCTCCCTATGGCCAGGAACTCAAGGTGTCCCCCTCATCCCTCCAGACTGGCTAGAGACAGGAGGCTGGGAGGACCTGTAGAGATTTTCTCCCTACTGGGGATAAGGTTCTCTGCACCGAGGTCCCCACCAAAAAGCTCAGCACCAAGGACAGAGCATTCAAATCAACCCTCTTCACAGAAGGGGAAGCTGAGGGTGAACAACAGCTGTGTCCATGAGGACGTGGGGTCCCCACAGGGCAAAGGTGTCCACTCTAACACATGTCCCAGCACCAATCCACCCTGAGCCTGCCCACCAGCCCTGCCACCGTCCTTCCCTCCATGTTGCCGTGTCACACCCAATGCTGCCAATCAGACTGTAGGTCTCACTGTCCATCACTCCTTGTCCTATGTCAGATCCAGGAGGGCAGGGAAACTCATCTGCTTGTTCACTGCTGTGTCCCTGGCTCCAGAATAGCACATGGGCACAGTAAGAGCTCAGTAAAGAGCAGGTGCTAGCCGGGGCTGGGGTGCGGCTCAGTAGTAGAGCGCTTGCCTAGCACACGTGAGACACTGGGTTCAATCCCCAGCACCACAAATAAAAATATTAAAAAAAGAGAGAGAGAAGAGAGAGCAGGTTCTAACTAGAAAAGCAGAGTGCTCTCACAGCATCTGGGTCCTGAGCAACGCACTGTCCATGCAGGATGGCCTCAGATCCCCCCACAGCCTTGGGAGGGCACCAAGAGCTTCCAGTCTTCCGGGAAGAGGCAGGCTCACCTGGCTGGACAGGGTTCTGGGCTGCAGTCCTCAAAGGGGCCAGGTCGGGGCACTGGCCAGCACTTGGAGTGGGGCAAAGGGACAGGGCGGCCGTGGTCCAACCTTATGCAGCGCACAGCCAGGGGCACCTGACCCCCTCCACAGGTCACTGGGCATGGTGCCAAGGCTCGGGCCTCCCACCTGCAGGAGGAAAGCCGGCGCTCCATAGGAGACTACTCCCAAGTCAGATGCCTTCCCTGCAGCTCCCCTCCCCAACTCACCGAGCGGGGCACGGGCCAGCCCGACAGACTTCCTGCCGGCTCCCAGGCTTGTCAGCCACACCACACAGCTCTTCCTGGACAGGTGTCCCCAGGGCAGAGTCCATGCACAGGAAACGCAGCTCCATCAGGCCTGCAGCAGGAAGCAGGGTCCCCCTCACCCTGAGAGGCAGGTTCAGCAAGGACCTGGATCACAGGGCAGCTCTAGTAGATGAGGCCCACTTACCATCTGTGTGACTTGGACAAATGACTTTATCTCTCTGAGCCTCATGTTCATATAATATAATGGCATCTACCTTGCAGAGACATTTATAAAGATGTGGAAGGACAGCCGTGAAGTGCCTGGTGCACAGTAAGTGGGAGTGGCTGCTGTTCACCAAGAGGCAGGGTTAGTGCCAGGTCAGGGCACCTCCCATGGTGCTCACTGTCAGTGAACTATCAAGGCCATCACTTCTTTGGGATCCCCAAAAGCAGTTGCTTGCTGGCCTCAGCTCTAAGCACACTGATGTTGGACTGAGTGTGTGGTTAGGACTTGTGTATAGAAACACTGCATATCACATCTATCTATCTATCATCTATCTATCCATCCATTTATTTATTGGCACCAGGCATTGAACCCAGGGGCGCTTAACTACTGAGTCTCATCCCTAGCCCTTTTTATTTTTATTTTAAGACAGGGTCTCAGTAAGTTGCTGAGGCTGGCTTCCATCCTCCTGCCTCAGCCTCCTGAGTCACCAAGATTACGGATGTGCACCACTGTGACTGGCTTCTTCCCACAGCCATTAGGGCAGAAATTTAATTCTTTTAAAACCAGAAGATCATATTGATGAGCATATGGAGAAACTGAACCCATGTGCTCAGTCAGTGGGAATGCAGGGTTCCGCTGTGGAAAACAGTACAGTGCTTCCTCCAAAAATTAAACCTAGAATGCCCCTGTGACCTAGAAGTTCCACTCTGGGTGTCACTGAAATACCGAAGGCCGAGCCTCAGCACCCCACGCTCGGCGCAGCAGCACTTGCTGAAGCTAACTTGGAGACAAGCCAGGGGCCGTCCTCACGTCTACACAGAAAACTTTTTAGACTTAAGAAAGAAGAGAGTGTGACACCTGCTACCACATGGAAGAAACTTGGGGACATTATGCTAAGTCAATGAGGCCAGTTACAAAGGACGAACCCTGTGGGACCACACAGATCTGGGGTCCCCAGAGGAGTGAAACCACAGAGACAGTTGGGAGACTGCAGGCAGCAGGGGGGAGCTGGTGTTGGGCGGGGAGGGCAGTACTGATGGAGAGGCCCTAGAGGAGGACAGTGACCCTGGCGCAGGGCAGTGTGCACTCATTAATGCCCTGAACCAGATACTACAAAATGGTTTTATGACAGGGAGCAGTTTACAATAAAAAATTGGAAAAACAAAACAACATTGTGTTTCTTAAGAGTAACTTTGCTTCTCTGCTTTGGTCACTTTGGGCCCACCTCTCGCAGCTCTGCGGAACTGAGAGACAGGCTCTCGGTGCCAACCTTGCTGGGTGCTATCAACCTCCCTGTTTTTCAGCCACTCAGGGAACACAGGTAGAGCAGGCAGCAGGCACTTGGCTCAGGTCTCCTGTGAGCCTGCTCCTTGGCACTACAACGCAGGAAGGGAAGAGAGCTTGTGACCAGTGCTGGTCCTCAGGCACGCTCTGGGGCCTCACCTCGCCCACAGGAGACAGAGCATGGCCCTGTCAGGGGAGTCCACGTGTGTGCGGCCTGAGCCTCCAGCCTGGCACTGCCCAGTGGCAAGGGGGCCTCTTCCCCAAGAGACGTGGTGTCCGGCTGCAGGACGAGAGCATCTGGTGAGTGGATCTGGCATTCCCACCTCCACCCTGGGTGCCCAGTTCCCTGGCCCCCATCCTGACCTCCTGAGGAGAGAGCAGGGAGAGCAGGAAGTGGCTGCACACATGGGGCTCCCCCTGCTGCTCCCCCTGCTGCCTCTCATCCCCTATAGTACTCTGTGTACCCCACTTCAGCCTTTGTGTCCCATCGTGGAGGTGTTCACTGGGTGGGGCTATGAGCTGGGGATTAGCAGTGGGGTCTGTAGGCATGCCTGGCCTGCAACCCCCAGCTGGGAGGGGCTGGTCTGGTCAGTTTCTGAGAGCAAGGCCACTAAGCCCAGACCCCCTGGATGCCAGGTGGGGCAGCAGCCAAGTCCAACCCTCCTTGGATGCTCCCAACAGGTCTCTATCCTCCGAGCCTGGCTTGCCCCTTCCGGGGCGCTCCGAGTCTGTCCTCTGGACAGGGTAGCCCTCACAGCACCCAGCAGAGGGATGGTGCTCTTGCCGTGGCCTGCAAAGCACTGCTGACCAGCACTCATTGCTCTTCTCCTAGCCAGGTAAGAACCAGAAGCCTCAGCCACCTCCTGCCCTGGTCACTTACCTGACTCCAGCCTGGAGGACATGCCATCCTGGTACAGGGCTTGAGAGCAGGTGACCTCTCATCCGTGCAGCAGGGCCCTGTAGTTGCTGGTGCCTGCAGGCCATCTGACCCCTGCACAGGTGTTATATTCCAAAAGGCCACACTTGTTCCACAGGCCACTGTGCAGGGGCCAGTGTCTGATACCTTCCACCTGAGACAGCATGAGACCCTCATCAGGCCCTGCTCTGCCACCTCACTATCGGCATGGTCCAGCTTGAGGGCAGGAAAGCAGTAAAGCTACCCCCCACAACATCAAGAACCTAGAATATGCCCCACAAAGAAGCAAAGTTCAGAAGTCATTCCCTGCAGCTCCAGACCAAGTGACCTTCAAGGCACTTCCGAGTTTCCCCGAAGAAGACCTCCTACATGGTGACCAGGCACCCCACCTGGTACCAGGTGTGGGGAGACAGAGCCACCCCTCCTGCCCTCCAGGAGCTACCCAACAGTGAGATGCTCCATGCCCCACTGCAGGGGCTGAAAAATGGGTACCAAATGGGGTCACAGCACCAGGTTTGGGGGACAAGTGGGTTTCAGCTGCATGCCTGGGCAGAGCTGCCCAGGTGCTGTGGTCAGAAGGATGCTGAGGCTGGATCAGGGCTGGCTGAGCAAGAGCAGTGGCTGACTACACTCTGCCAAGCACAAGGGGAAAGAGCCAGAGCCGTGGGCGGGCCAGCACTGGACAGAGGAGACAGGGGTCCAGAGAGGGAGGGGACTCATCCCGGCTGCCCAGTGGGAAAAGAGGCAGTGCAGGCTGTGTGGGCGAGACAATGGTGAGGAAAAGGTGATGTCCTCGGCTTCTCACTTAGGGTCCACCCGCCTCACTGCCCCTCCACAAGCAGGGCCTCGGCCACTCCACAGCAGGGGCTGAAAGTTGAGCCAGTGAAGTTAGTGGCCAGGGGCTCCAGGGCCAGGAGAACTCTGAAGGGGCATGCTTAGGCACCAGGTGTCACCACCTGTCACCAGGCATTACCAGGATGGGGCCTAACCAAAGGCCTCGGGAAGAGGGAACTTGGGAGGGTGGGCTCCACACATGGATGAACCCCGTGGGGGCCCTCCCACTGCATGCTTGCCTGGCTGGGCAGGGCTGGGAGTTGCAGGTTTCCACCTCCACTGCTGGCTGCTGGGCCACCGCTCTGCACTGGGCCGGGGACAACGTCCTCAGGAGGCCCCCCTGTGCCTCCACACAGTGTACCAGCCGCTCACGGAGGCCTCCCCCACAGGAGGCACTGCATGGGCCGAAGTCTCCAGCCAGCCAGCTGAGGAGCAGGAGGAAGTGTCCAGGCTGGATCAGGGGGCAACGGGGAAGAGCAGCAGGCCCTGGCCAACATGCTTCTCCCTCTAACTCCAGATGTCCTGAGCTGTCCTCCAGAGGCCAGGTCTGCAGGGTTGCCCTGCACACCAAGCTAGAGGACAGATGCACAGTGGTGCAGGCAGGCAGCTGCCCCAGTGCTCCACCTAGCAATGGTGGCCTCATTCCTAACAGTATATTGCAGCCAAATGCTCCTGCTGGGCCAGGAGGAGCACTGCTCCACCAGCACCCCTGAGCCACCCACCATTCTCCCAGGTCCCCACCACCTTACAATGAGCATCTCAGCTCATAGCAGACTCAGACAAGGCTGACACTACCTCCCTATCTGTCCCGAGTCTCAGTGTCCCCATCTGCAAATAGGAGTCACCAACAGAATCTGCCCCACAGGGCTGACATCAGTACTACACAAGAACAGGCATAGAAGCTGCCCAGCCCAGGCCACCTGGGCCCCAGCAGCCAGGGGGATGGCCCAGCACAGCACTTACTATGGGGGGCACGGTGCAGGGTTGCAGGACTCTGGCCATGAGGGAGGCTGGGGGCTTTCTTGGCACTGGGCAGTCTCCACCCACTGCCCCCGGGCCTGGTCCAGGCAGCCATAGGACACCCAGCGCAGTCCTGCAAAAGCAGAGCAAGGGCTCGACTACCTCCACATAGGGACAGCAAGGCAGAGGCGAGCCCCAGCCTGGGCCTCACCTGCCCCACAGCTCACCGAGCAGGGCCCGCGCATGGGGGCCCACGCCCAGGCTGCCTGCTGCCTAGGCTGGAAGTAGGTGAAAGTGACGTTGGGGCGGGTGAGCTGGCCGTGCTCCTCGCTGTGCCGCTGATACACCTGTGTCAGAGAGGGGAGCCCAGGGACTGTCCAGTGGGCTCCGGGGTCACCATCATGGTCACCTGACTGGGAAAGCCTCTCCACACTCCAGTCCCCCAGCCCCAGGCAGGACAGCACAGCAGATAGGAGCTTCAGGTAGCTTTGGGGGTGGGGGTTATTTACCAAGGGAACTAGGAGGACTGGGGCAGGGAGTTACGGGAACATGGAGCGGGGAGTCCCAAGTTGACGGGGGCAGACTGCAGTGTTACTCAGGAGCCACAGCAAGGCAAGGGGCACTTCAGCAGAGGGCCCAGGCAAGGGTCACACAGACCAGACCAGCATGTGCCTCCAGAGTGGGAGCTGAGGCCCATGGGCAGCAGGAAGGGCCAGGGTCCCAGGGGCTTTGTGGCTGCCCAGTGGCCTAGCTTGACCCTCAGAGCTGGGAAAGGCTTCAGCAGGGTTCCTGGGCTGTTTGCACTTCAGGAAGTGGCTGTGCCCAAGAAAGGGGCCAGGCAGGAATCCAGGGCCCAGAGGAGGTCACACAGTGGGAGGTGACATGCAGTATCTGCCCTGTTTGGCTGCCTATCACAGCCCACCTGAGTAAGTCCTGACCTGTTGCACCTGGAGGGGGGGCCCAGGCTGCTGGCAGAACTGCCTGTAGCCAATGATGGGGTCAGCGCTCCTAGGCAAGGGAAGGTAGGCAAGCTGAGCCATGTGGGGAGGCAGGAAAGGTCATGGGGACCTGCTCTGGCCTGGGCCCTGAGGGAACCCTGCTGACTCCCCAGAAGGAGCTGCTGAGACTCTGCCCCTCTCTGAAACCCTCCAGGGTGGGTTCCACTACACTAACTCCAGTCGACACCAAAGAACCAGTAGGATGCAATGCCCCTGTGCTCCCTCCACACCAAGGACCACTCCGCTGCCCACACCCCAGGAGGAGTGGAAAGCTAGCCCTTCACGTCATATGCTCCCTGCAGAGCCCTCTCACCACTCCCAGAGCTCCGGGCCCTCCCTGGGCACCAGGCACAGGCAACTCGAGTTGTCTGAGACGCTAAGCCTGGGGCTGTTGTGCTTGCCTTTGGCCCACCACAGGGCCCACCCCCTGGGAGGCCCCCGAGGGGCCACTGAGTGAGAGGGAACAGATGGAGAAATGAACCCAGCTGGAGCCACTGAGAGAAGCCCCACTGGCCTCCCTCAGCCCTCCTGGGGACCTGAATCTCCATGTCCTCCTGGGCTGGTCCCCAGATGCGGATTTCCTCCAGGTAGGGCAGCTGGTCCTCTGTGAGGGTTACTCTGTACTCCACACGGCTGTCCTCCAGTAGGGAGGGGTAGGTGGTGCTGGGGGAGATGCTGCCATTCCCAGCCACGATGTAGCGCCCTCGGATCCTCATGGCTGTGAACAGAAGGTGGTTGGCACTGCAGAGCAGGTGCCGCCCCTTACAGGTGGAGCTGCTCACCAAGAGGATGCCTCCCTGCACAGTGGGGGATCTGGGCTAGGGAAGGGTGGAGGTGACAGCAGGGCAAGTGGGCAGGAGGGGCGTTCTGCCAACAGGACGCAATCTCCATGGCCCTGTCCACCACCCTCGCCTAAGGAGCTGGTCCTCTTGGTGTCTAGTCGGGTGAGACTCTCGGTGTGCACCCCTCTGCCATGGGCACATGCGTCCTGCTTAAGGCTGCCCCACAGCACTGGCTCTGCACCTCGTCCCAGAAGCTGGTTAGGGCCTCAACCTCTGCCCCACCAGGTGCCCCCACGAACAGAACACACATGGTTTGGAGCTCAAGGACCCCAAAACAAGCACCCCCTTTCAAGGGCTCAAAGGTCAGGAGGAGACACACTCAGAAAACAAAGGCCCACCATAGCCCTGAAGAGTACACAGGTGGCCTTGCCCAGAGCTGGCCTTTGCCCTGACCTGGAGAGAAGATGTCTGTTTCTGGCATGGGCTGGCCTTGCCAGAGCTCAGGGTGGGGCTGACACACCTGGCAGGCATAAGCCAGGGCTCGCTGCGCAGAAAGAGCAGCCAAATGATTAGGGAGGGGCTTTGGGTCCCCTGGAGGTTCATCATCCAGGACAGACGTCACTCATTCACTGAACAATCACACCTGTGAAATGAAGCCCCTTCCCCAGAGTGAGAGCAGCTGTGGCTGGGAACTCAGGGAGTTCTGGGAGCCCCTGCACCTGAGACTGGTGTCAGAAGTGAGGGCCTTGGGACTGAGATGACTGTTCAAATGCAGTGGGCCTCCTCTCTCGACTCACCCAGGTGCGTGAAGAGTGGCCTGTGGTTGACTATGTGCACGTTGGTCATGTTGGGTGTGACCATCAGGAAGGTGGCATACTCTAGAGAGAAGCAGAGCAAGGTCTGTGTGGGCCTCGTGTCACCTACCTTACTACAGGAGCCTCCACAGCCAGACTGAGAAATTCTAACAATGCCCCAGGCTGCTTCCAGAGGCAGTAAGGCCTCCTCACGTCCTCAGGGCCATGAACACCAGGCTGGAGGGCTGGTGCTGCCCCAGCCGGGTGCAGGATCCTAGGTCCTCCAGCCCTGGGGGACACACCAGGGGAGGCAGGGCTCAAGTCCTCCAGGGACCACTCAACACTAACACCCCTCCTATTCCCTCGCCTTGATGGTGTTTCCTGAGTGGGAGGAAAAGGCTGGCCCACCACAGGCTGCACAATGACCTATTTCTCCACATCACAGCTCATGAGCCACTGTTACTAAGGCGCAGCAATCCCGGTGGCCATATCATCACCATGGGAGAATGGCAAAGTGGGGGAGGCAAGCTGGGACCTGGGGAGGCTGGGGGCTGAGCAACCCTCCCTGAGGCGGCCCTACCTTGAGCTCTACCAGCCGTGAAGGAGCCCTTTTGTGGGCTGCACGTGCTATTGTCCCCTCCACACACATGACATGCATCCCACACCAGCCGGGAGTCCATCCTGCCATCGCAGCCAAATGTCTGTAAAGGGACCAGTGGAAGGGGGGTGTCATGGGAGGTGCTGTTCTCCCAGACAGCCCTGTGGCTCCAGGACCGGGGACTCATACAACCCTCAAGTCAACACAGGAACAGGGCTTAGAGGGTCAAGCAACTGGCTCAAAGCCCCGGCATGGCCCTGCCCAGGCTGACCCCAAGCACCCTATCTCCAGCACCCCTCCCCTACAGACCACAAGGCAGCTCCACTGCAGCCAGCACCCACAGGCTGCCCCTGGAGTCCTCCCACAGGCAGAGGTAGGCCGTAGGCCACAGGGGACACAGGGCACTTGAGCTGTCCACACACACCCACCCTGCAGCTGCCAGACACACACAGGCTCAGGGCCCCGTCCTCCCGAGGGCCGCTCGGCACACACCGAGTCCCATCCTGGAAACGGTCTCCACGCCTCACAATGAAGCTCTTGCCAATGGCCCAGCACATGTGTCTGCACAGAGCATCCCCTGGGAGGACAGAGTGACAAGAAACCCTGATGAAAGAGGTGGGAGGGAGGGCAGTGAGCTAGGCCAGGAAGCCCCATGGGGACCATGCTGCAGGCTCCCACCTGCCAGCCCTGTCTAGCTACATCCTCACATCTGGGCTCCAGGTTTCTATCCTGTCTCTGTCCCGTCTTCTGAAGCAACGATGATCATCATCTGATTACTGCTGTTTCTGAATTATAAACCCAGAGCACACTTGGCATTTCCCTGCATGACCTCCCTGAATCTGTCCACAGAGGGAGATGCTGCTATGGTCTCCATTTTACAGATAGGATAACCAAGACTTGGAGATGAGACCTCACTGCTCATCTGCTGGCGAGGCCAGGCTAGGCCACAATGGAATCCCTGGTCTGCAGCATGCCAGAGGCTCACCCTGGATCCTGCTCCAACTAGCAGTGTGATTATGGTCAACTCTGCTACCTGACAGGGGGTCTCCAGGCCTAGCACCCCTGTGCTCCACAGCCCACCTTGACTGTACTGTGCTGCGGCACCCCAGTGGTAGAAGGAGGGTATGCCTGGAGAGAGGTACAGCGGCTGGCCATCTGTCTGGGCACACTGCTCCGACATGAACTCCAGCTGAGTCTTCTCACAGGCCTGGTCAGAGGAGGCAGAGGATAGGCTCTGGTCACAGGAGCCAGCAACCACCTGCATGGGGGGAAGACGTGGGGCAACCCAGCCCCATTGTGCCTTGACTCCCTTCTCTGAAGAGTGGGGGCAACCAGAGCACCTGCCTCTCTGCTGATGAGAAAATTCTAGAGAATCTGTAAGAGATATAGGGCAGCAACAAGAAGAGGGCAGGGGACAGTAGTGCTCTTGGGACCATTCCCAAGGCCTAGCCTGAGAAAACAGGGCTTGTGGTGTTCCTTGCTTACCAGGTGCATCAGGAGCAGGTCCCAGAAAAACTGAATGCTCAGGAACAGAGGCCCCAGCACCGAGCCCCAGTGCCCAGGCAGGCAACCTGGCCACTTCTACACTGGAGAGAAAAGGACTGGAGTGGACCCCCTGGGCAGAGACACTGAGGTGCTGCCCTCCCGGTAGCTGCCCTGCAGAGACCCTCCTCTCAAAGCCTGGGGAGGCCTGGGGAGGCCTGGGGTGTCTGCCTGAGAAGGCGGGGAGGGAGCTGTCACCACAAAGCCAGGGCCAAACCCAAACCCAGGCCACCCAAAGCAGCAGGTAGGTTTTAAGCAATGTGAAAAGAATCATGCTACCATTCCCACCAACTAGGATGGCGAGAATAAAAGAGCAAACACACACAGAGCAGAGCACGTGCTGCTGGAGGGGGTGTGAGGCAACTGGAGCCCTCACTGAGACACTGCTGTCTCTGAGTGATGGGATGCAAAAGGGACTGGGCACTGTGGCACTTTTAGAAGATCACACAGTCACACAATGATTCCCTTTTAGGTATTTGCTAGTCTGAATGTTGAGTTTCCCCCAAAGGCCAGGGGCTGGAGGCTTGGTGCCCAGGTGGTGCTAGGAGAGGTGGGAAGCGCCTAGGTCAGTGGGGCACGGCATAGAAGGAGATATTGAGACCCAGCCCCTTCCTCTGGCTATCTTTACTTCCTGGTGCCATGAAGCCACAGCTCTGCTCTGCTGCATGCTCCCCACCATGATGGTCTGCCTTGACCCTGGTCCAAAGACAAGGTCAAGTGACTGTGGACTGAAACCTCTATCTCGGGTGTTTTGGTACAGCAATAGAAAGCTAAATGACAGCCAGGGCTGGGGTTGTGGCTCAGTGGTAGAGCACTTGCCTTGCATGTGTGAGGCACTGGGATCGATCCTCAGCACCATATAAAGATAAATAAATAAAATAAAGGTATTGTGTGCAAATACAACTGAAAATATTAAATAAATAAATGTTAATGGGTATCCCCTGACGTCATGAAATACACGTAAGTAGTAAAATGGTTAATAATAATAAAAAAAAAAACTAAATGACAGTATTGCTATGGTTTGGTGATCATGTCCCCTCCAAAATTCATCTTGAAACTGAATCCCCAAAGCACCAGTATTAAAGAGGTGATAGGATCATAGGGCTTGGCCTTGTGAATGGGGTGGCACCCCTGTGAATGGACCAGGTGAACCATGTAGGCCCTTTTCCCCTTCCTTCCCTTCTGCCATGTGAGGGCCCAGTGACTCCCTCTGGAGGATGCAGCAACAAGGCACCATCTGTAAGATGTAGAGGGCAGCTCTCACCAGACACCAAACAGCTGGGCCTTGATCTTAAGACTCCCAGCCTCCAAGACTATGAGAAATAAACTTCTGTTCTGCATAAACTACCCAGTCTGCGTATTTGTTATAGAAGCACACATTGACTAAGACAGGTAAATATAGTCAAGAGAACAGACCACAGAGACTCCAACAAGCACGTGTGCAAGCTCACTCATATGGGGAAGACCCCCAGCAGTCAGAAGGTGGAACCAACCCCAGTGTCCTTCAGTAGGCATCGGTGAACAAAAGGTGTTCCATCTTAGGGGATGCCACCCAGCCTCAGAAGGGAAAGAAGCACTGACATGCGCTGTGACGCAGGTGAGCCCTGAAAAGCGCTCAGCAGAGAGGGCCAGGCACCAAAGACCACACAGCTTTGGTGGCCCCTGCCCGGACCCAGAACAGATGGAGCTGCAGAGGCAGAGAGTAGACCAGGGGTTGCCAGGCAGGGAGGAGGCCAGAGGCCGCTCACTGAGCAGAGTGAGCTCTGAGTGATGGAAATGCTTGGAACTTGACAGAGGGAGTGGGCCCTGGCATGAGTGTGCGGGACGCCATGTCATGCACCGTAGCACTGCTGATTGTGTGATGCAATTCACCACCACACAGACATGGAAGGGCCTCATGCTGATGGTGGCATATTCTTAGGGGCAGCCCTCCTGCAGGGGTGTGCTCTGCAGAGGGAGGGCGACCGTTCAAGTCCCTGCTGGTCACTAGCAGGACTGTCCTGTGTCTCGCACTGTGCTCCCAGTGTCCCTCTCCAGAGTGAGGTGTGAGCCTAGGTCAGCCAGGGCAGCCCTTTGGCTCCCCGAGGCCCACCGTCTCCCACCCTGCCCTCCTGGCCCCAGCCAGCTGGCCTACCTGGGTGTTGCACATCTCGGCCTGGAGGTCAGCCCCAACACACGCACGCCCTCCAAAGGCAGGTCTGAAAGTGCCCAAGAGACAGGGTGAGAAGTGACCACTGCCCCAAGCAGGGAATGGAATGCAGGGAAGAGCACCCCTCCTCACAGTACCTGGGGTTACTGCAGCGCCGCCTCCTGGTGACCACACCTCCTCCACAGGAGCGGGAGCAAGGGCTGCGGGGACCCCAGCTGGACCACTGTCCATGCACTGCTGCCACGGGGGTCAGCTCTGCCAATGAGCGGCAGTGACCCTTGGAACACCACTGCAAGACAGGGCAGCTGCCTCTCCACCCTTACATGGGGGCCCCAGACCCCAGGAACCACACACACACCTCACACTACTTGGGAATAAATGCTAAAATGACAGGTCAGGCCAGCAGCCCAAGGACAGAGGATGGGTCTAGACACCCAGTGAGGTGGCTCGGGGAGCCCTGGGGGAGATGGCATGGCAATAAAAGGGTGTCAGGGCAGAAAGTGCAGGCTGCACCATCAGCCGGCAAACCTTCTCTGTCCAGTGGAGTAAAACGCGATGCCCACGCCCAGAGCTGGAGGAGAAGGTGGGCTGTGGCATGATGCCTGGGAGCAGGGACCCAGTAAACCCCACATTCCAGACAGATGTGGCCAGGGCAAGGCTCCAGACTCAATAGATCCCACCACCTCAGCAGACACAGAGCAACCTCCCTCTAGGGTGTTGACCCCACAAACCTAGAAACCCACCCACCTTCCAGGCCCACAGAAGGCTGGGGTGAGTCACAGACAGGTGACACCTATGGTGCCCATGAGGCATATCTCCTGACGTGACAAGGTGGCCACCAGGGATAGCTCCAGGCTCTCTGCCTGCCCCCTCCCTTAATGAGCTCCTACCCCTACTCCAGGAGATGCCCTGCGAGCACACACACACAACACACACACACACAGCTGGAACTTTCACTCCTTGCTCTGACCTTCTCCGTACCACATTCTGTCCCATCGAGCAGGGGAATGAGGCGGCGGCTGCAGCTACCTTGGTCCCGAGGGTCTGTGTGGCAGGAGAGAGCCTGACACATGTCCTAACAGGGAGTCAGGTGGCCAGCTCAGGGACTGCCCCATCATCGTCCCTCCCAGACCATAGGGCACACTGACACAACCGGTACTGCTCCATGGCTACTGGTGGGTGGCCTAGGAGGACAAGGGAACCTGGCCGGGCCAACCATGTCTCTTGAGGCCCACAAAAATGTTTTAATTTATTTTAAAATCAGATTAAAAATAAATGGTTTAATAATTTTAATATATTTGTACTTAAAATAACAAAAGTTCATGCATTTCATAAAAATACTAGAACATATTTTTTAATATTATTTTATGGGGCTGAGGTTGTGGCTCAGCAATAGAGCACTTGCCTAGTATGTGCGAGGCCCTGGGTTCAATCCTCAACACCACATAAAAATAAACAAACAAAATAAAGGTATTCGTCCATCTACACTAAAAATATACATATTAAAAAAAATAAGGGCTGGGGCTGAAGCTCAGTGGCAGAGCACTTGCCTCACATGTGTGAGGCACAGGGTTCAATCCTCAGTGCCACATCAAAATAAACTAAAGGCATGCTGTCCATCTACAACTACAAAAAAACAGTTTTTAATTATTTTATGAAGAAAAGGGCTCACCAGGGCAAAAGGGCCTGGGGTCCCTGAGTGTCCTAGGCAGCCTGGGGAGGATGTTCATCTTTGGGGGTTTCTATCCCCTTCATCTCCCCACCCCCTGTCTGGGACATGTGCAGAGGCTTCTGATAGAAGGCCACTCCCTCCAAGAAGACCTCTGTGCTTAGCAGCAGGTTGAAAGCCCTTGGTGGCCGTCTGGGGCAATGCCAGGACCAGCTACATAATTTGGGGGCCCATCCAAACACATGGGTAGGGGCTTTTGTTCAAAAAATTTTAAGGATTTCAAGAGGCACCTGACAGCATTAAACCAAGGGGACTGTGGAATGGTCCCTGTGTGATGCCACCAGGCAGAGGTGAGCTGGGAGGGGCCCGGCCCTGGCCAGTTGGACTCACCAGGCCCTCCCTGGTGAAGGTGCAGGCAAAAGCCCCTGGGCCAAAGGCCACCTGGCACTGCTCATCTGCGCCATAGTAGAGGCCTGGCTGTGCATCCAGCAGGTGGTCCTTGGATCCAGATGGTGACTGTGGTGGGTCCCATGCGCAGGGCACCCGTCCCAAGCTGCTGTAACAGGCCCTGGCTTAGCCCCAGGGTGGACACCAGGTGGGGCTGGATGGAGAAGGTGGGAACAGGGGCTTTGGCTGGGGTGTGGCCAGTTGGCTTGGGCCGGCAGGCACCAGGTAGAGGTGGGTATGGAGCAGATGGAGGTGCTTTGGAGGATGGAAGAGGGGGCAATGTGACAGATGGACCAGCACAGTGGATGGAGGGGGAGATGCAGGCTGTTGGGGAGGCTGGAGGGAGGGGAGGATGGGAGGAGATGGAGGCAGATGAAGAAGGCACACTGAGGAGTGGGTGCAGGAATGGGGTGGGATGGATGAGTGGGTACAGAGAAGCAGGAGAGAATGAGGGAGTGGGGCCTGCTTAGGAGGAGAAGGGGTGGGTGCAGGAAGGGATGAATGCAGGGGCCAGGAAGGCTGGAGCAGTCCCAGGACAGGAAGTAGGGGTGCTCACTGTGCGGATAAGGCCTGTCTGATAGGCAGGGCAGTTCAACCCTGACAGGTGGAGGGTGGAGCCTCGAGGTGGGGAGTTTGTGTGGGGGTGAAGAGGCTGTACCTAAGCAGGTGCTTCAGCTGCCGGCGGCTGCACGTGGACCACTCCAGGCCCCCATGCACTGGCACCACACCATCAGATGCCATCACATGGCCACTGGGCTCACATTCACTGCCTGGTGCACCATCATGGTCAAGGCCAAAGCTGGGGGACAAGCAGGCGGTGGGAATAGGGGGTGTTGACATGGCATTGGGGACAGCAGGGGAGTTTCTGGCCTTGGGGCTTGAGGTAAGCCCCAGGCCGTCTCTCTCCTCCCAGCCTAGGGAGCTTTTGAACCTGGGTTGACCTTTGGTCCTGCCACCTGATAGCTGGGCATGGCTGAATGAGTCTTGCCCTGCCTCAGTTGCCTGCCTGGGCAGTGGGGAGATGCTGGCCCAGAAGGGTGTCTTGCACCTTTTTTGGCTAATAGATATCAAAAGGCTATCACCACATGCAGGCAAGCTGATCCACGGTGTTAAAGATCTGCAGGGAGCAGATGGGAATTGGGGGGGGTGGGCGGCTAGGGGGCCTTGGGAGCTGCCAATGAGGCTTCCTTCCTTGGGGCTGGCTGCATGAGTGTTCAGTGTGTAGAAATGCATAGTGTGCATATACAGTAGAACTAAAAGTTCAAGAAGACATGACTGTCCCTTCCCTTTCTAGGCAGTGGCTTCTAACCACAGCACTTTAGATGTCTCTGTGCTATTGGACTTTTTACAACAGTCGGGTATCAGTTCCATATATATATTTTTTTTCGTTTTTTTATTTTTTTAGTGCTCTCCATATATTTAAAAAAAAAATCAAAAAGAAAAGAAACTTACTACCCAGGTAAACACTAATAGATAGGAACAAAGACCTACCCACAAGAATGTATAATGTGGGCTGGGGTTGTAGCTTAGTGGTAGAGGGCTCGCCTCACATGTGGAAGGCACTGGGTTCAATCCTCAGCACCACATAAAAGTAAAATAAAGGTATTGTGTCCATCTACAACAAAAAAAAAAATTTTTTACAAGAATGTATAATGTGCCTAACTGAAAAATTTGGAAACATCCTAAATATCCAACAAGAGGGGATTCCTTAAATAATTGTGGTGCATACAAAAATGTTAGAAACCTAGGAGAAACGTTTGAGATGTATTTTAAATTGAAAGGCAGGGTAATAAAGCAATGTATGTCATGATCCCAATGCAGCAAATACAAATTATTTTGCCTACCCTGTGTGAGGCCCTGGGCTTAAGTCCCTCTCTAAGTGAGGGACTTGTAATAATTTTTACAGCTTGTTTTTTAAAAATATTTTAAAATTGTCAATGGACCTTTATTTTATTTATTTATATGTGGTGATAAGAACCAAACCCAGTGCCTCACACATGCTAGGCAAGTGCTCTACCACTGAGCCCCAGCCCCAGCCCTACAGCCTGTTTTTTTAAAACCTGAATTTTCCACAAAACTTAGTTTAATTGCTAAGTTGTTTTGCTTTTGGTGGGTTCTTTTAATCATTCAGTAATCAAGAAGTGTCAGATGTCCCCATCTCGCTCCTACCCTTCCTATTCCAGTGGGTCAGAGGAGCAGGCTCCTATTGGCAGGCTCTGCCATGCCCACTGCCCTCAAGACCACACCCTTCCATCCTAGGGACCCAAATCAGCTCCCTGGCCAGCTGGTGGGGCACATACCTGTGCCCAATCTCATGGGCAATGGTGACCCCCAAATCGAAGCCAGTGTCCTCTGTGATGAGGCAGCTCCAGGAAGGGGAACAGACACCCCCCAGCTGGGTGACCCCCCGAACTTGTCGGTTGCCATCAGGCAACTCCAAGTCGAACCTTGGCAAGAGAAGAGTCCAGGTGGGCACTGGTGCTCACTGCAGCCAGGCCACATGTGAAGAGGGCAGGAAGGTCAATGGTAGGCAGAAGGCCTGGCCCTGAGGAGCCCAGCTACCTGGTGATGTAGAGGACCAGGTCGGCATGCCCAGAGTCTGTGGCATCCACAGGGTTGATGGTCTGGCTCCACTCACAAACGTTCAACAGGGACGAGGTGATGTTGGCTGTGATGTTGGGAGCATCCTGGGATCAATAACACAACCCGCTTTTTAAGGATGGTGCAGGCTGTGGGTATGTCTCCCACTTGGTCTTCCTAACGACCTGGCATTGCCCCACATTACAGGTGAGAAGCTGAGGTTCCAAGAAGCACAGCCGCTCACCACACCTGAGAGCCAGGACATCCAGAAAGGGAGCAGGTCTGCCTGGCTGACAGCCTGCACCTGGTCTAGGGCATCCACAGGAAGGTCAAGAGGATAGGGAGTGCTGAAAGCACGTCAGGCTCAACTCAGTAGAAATCCACCTTGGTGCCTACCTTGGTCTCTGTGAGAATGATCAGCTTCACCAGGTGCACACGGAACTGAGCCCCCAGGGACGGGTCCCTCAGCAGTTCTGATCCCTGTTGGAGGACAAACAGGAGAGGGAACACAGGGGTGGGAAGAGTAGGCTTTGCTCTAGGGGCCCTGTAGAGAGAGGGCAGGCAAGGGTGCTCCATCAGCATGAGGAGCCAGTCCAGTAACAGTTGGGCAGATGCCCTTCTAGGAAGGCCAGTTAACATAAAGAAACCCACATGCTGGGAGAAGCAAACTGCCCTTAGCCTGGACTGTTCCGCACACACAGCTTCTCTCAGACTCTTCATCCTGCCCTTTCTACATCCACCTGCCAGCAATACCTGTCCTTCCTGCTTGAGGCCCCTCCTCCCCCGGAGCCCTCCCCAGCCACACTCCCTCTCCTGCTCCTGCTGGGGGTCCCTGAGTCAGGTGCAGCTCGAGGTCCACACACTGCTGTTGTTCATGCCAGCTTGTCTTTTAAAGGACACAGTCCCCAAAACAGCGATGGGCTTATCACTGTCCTGAGCTTGAATCCAACCTCTGCTGCTTCCTAGGCTTGTGTTCAGGATCCTGTTCACTAACCACTGAGTTTCCGCATCTGTAAAATGGACATAAAGCCTTCCCTGGTTGTTGGCAGACTCAGAGACAGGTAGCTACGAAGTACTTGGCAAAAGTGGGTGCCCAGTGCTGACAACAGCCACTACCACCCTGGGCAGCATCTGGGCATGGGCAAGTCCCACCTCACCACCTAGCTGTCCTCAAGAAACATAAAGGACCAGAGGGAGCCTGTGCTGGGTGACTGGATTTCAGTATATGAGAACTGGAGAAAGGGATCAAAATCTGAAAGCAACTGTTTCAAACAATTTATAGGAAAGACTTTTCACTGAGAAAACATCACTGTCAGGGCTTAGGCCTATACAGCTTGTTCTAGATTTGACCATGCCTATAAAGGGAGTGACCAACAGGTGTGGGTGGCTGCACCCAAGCCCCCTGCAGGATGAGGGGTGCACAGATACCACCTGGGTCAGAGCGGGCTTGGGAATGGGCTTTGGGTAAAATGACTAGATGCAGAAGGGGACTTCCCCTTTTGTCCAAAATAGGTGATAGACCTGAGGCTGGGACCAGATGAACCTCCTCTAGCCCACCTCTGGAGCAGACCAGGGACAGAAGGAGACCAGTTTCCACTCACCATCTGAAGCTAATTTCCTAGATGTTCCTAAAGTCCAGTTAGTCAAATTCCTAAGACCAGTTCTTAGTAGCTGAATCTACCAGGTGGTATGCTGTCACTGCACCCTGGTGGGTAAACATCATCCGCCAGATTGAACCCTGAGGTTTGCAGGGACTGGCCCCTAGCCTGGAGTGGGTGTTCTCAATGCCTGTTCCATGTGGCTCTCTAGTGGCTGGCACTTCCTTCCACAGGTCTGTTGGGTTAGACTTGATAACTAAGTGGGTGAGATCATCTTTGCCTGACTGGCTGTTCTGAGATGATGGTTTGTGGAGTGGTGTCCCCTGCCCTCCCTCATCCCTGTAAGAAATGGAAAGGGGCCTCTCCACTGACAGACTGTCTGTTTAGGCTTCAGACTGTTGATCTACCCTGCTTGTTCCTGAGCAGGAGGCGGGAACTGAGTGTGGGAGCAGAGGCTTGTGAGCAGCCTGCACCTCCAGAGTAGTGTTAGGAGGATGGACCCTGGGAGGAGCAGACTCGAGGGCAGCCAGAGGCAAACGGTCTTAATGGCAAGAGGCTGTTGTCGGAGCTGAGAGGTTCTCAGACCTCCTCCACCTCTGCTGCGGGAGGAGGAAGAAGACAGCAGCCAGGCCTCTCCCTGCTCCAGACCCCCAGCTGGCCCCAGCCTGAGCTCCAAATCTGTATTCAATCCACTGAGCTCAGCTCTGGGGCACTGTGTCCAGAGGCTCCCAAGGACAGCACAGAGCCCCACCAGAGGCCTAAGCCATATCCCACAAGGGCCAGCGCCTCCATCCAGGACTCACAATGTTGAGGTTGGTGAGTACGTAGCGTTCTGTATCCTCCTGGTGAGCCTGGTGGACATCGGGGCCCACAGCCACCAGCAGCTCCAGGTGCAGGGTGCCCCCTGCAGCCCGTCTCCGTCTCTGGAGGCGAGGGGAGGGACGGCCTGGAGTGGACGGAAGGCCGAGGGTGAAGCTTCTGGAAAGCAGGTGCCGGGGAGCTAAAAGAAGAGAGGCTGGCAGCTTGAAAAGCATAGCTCTCAGGAGCCAGAAACCCATTTCACACCCCCACTGGGACCAGGCCTTCTGGGACACACAGGAGGGTGGGGCCAAGGAGGAAATGCCAAAGGCTGTCTTGTCCACTGGGTCACCAATCCAGGCACCCTCCCACTCCCTCGGGGTCTATCCAAAGCCTAATACCCTCCTCTGCCTCGTGTACCTCACTCAGGGCACAGGTTAGAAAAAAGGTTCACCCCCAAGATGGAAAAAGCTCAAGACACCACCCTTCTTGCACCCAGATACAGACTACACCATCCTGGACTGGTGGGTAGCAGACCCTGGCTGTCCTGGGGCCACTGTGTGGGCCTAGGTAGCCACATTCCACCTCTGAACCACCAGGTCCCCATTTGCAACAAGGGAACCTCAGTCCTGCAGTCCTGGGTGGGGACTACAAAGGTGCATGCCTGGGAACGTGCCTTGTAAACAGGGAGGGGCTGCTCAAGGTGGGCAGTCTACTAAATAAACAGCTGTAGGCCACATGAGCCCCGGCACCATCTCCTACACTGGGCACTCCCCTGTATCCTAAAGATGCCTCCGTGATGGCGGGACATTTTGCAGAGCCTCCTTGGTGTTGGAAGAGTCAGTCCCTCTGCTGAGCTCTTTATGGTGTCCTACCCTCTCTTTCCCAGTTGTACCTTGTACAGACTCTGGGACTGTGGGCCTGTGGATCAGGTGCGGCTGGGCACTGCTCCAGTGAGACACCAGCTCCCAGTGATGCCTCTTCACTGGCTGGACATACAGCCTCCCGGCACCCACCAAGATGTCACCTTCCTACAGAAGAAAAAGCAGCCTCCAGCACACAGCACCCACTCTCCTTGGAGGATCACCATATCCCCTGCAGGAGAGGCCCTCTGGGCTATCAGCACTGGGCAGGCCTTGCCTGAGCCCTCTCTGAGTCCACATCCAAAACTCATCTTCATGGAAGGCAGGAAGCCAGGTCCTCCTGGACTGGGCTTGCTGCCCACCACATGCTGCCAATAGCCCCTGCCCACACTTCAACCTCTGCTCATGCACACGGCCCTATAATAAACCCACATGGGATCCCAGGCATGAGGACAGAAGCATCTCAAGGGACCAGCAGAGCCCATGTCAACAGGTTGAGCCTGAATGGCATCTTTCCTGGCTCTGGCTGGGGCTCCCAACTCAGGGACCAGGGTGCAAAACAGTACAAAACAGCTCTGTTTGTGGAAAGATTGTTGTGCTGTAACATGGGACACAGTGTTGTCCTTGTAACAACCCAGGTGGAGGTGCAGAGGTCCAGCTGCAGGGAATAAGGAGTGGCAGGGCTTCCAGCTGCACTCAGAGCCCAGGTTCTCATCTTTCCCAGTAACCTGGGGTCCACAAAGCTGGGTTTGTATCTGGCTCTGCCACCAGCTAAATGGGTGGCCTGTTTTTCTGAGCCTCCATCTCCCTCCCTGGGGTTTGATATTAGGCAAAGATGGGATGCAGTGTCAGGTCAGAACATTCAGCCTTGAGGCAAGGAATTTAGGGAATTTGCACCCTGGGGCCCACCAGCCACACCCTCAGCACCCTATCCCTGTTGCTGTCCCAAGCTCCCACTCACCAAGTGGGAAGAACTGTATGTGACCCTGGCCACTGTGCCCTGCTGCCCCAGGGCACAGCCTCTCATGAAGCAGTGGTGGGGGGGCCCCCTCAGTAGCCTCAAGGAGGTGTTTACCACCCCCTCACTGGTAAAGGAGGGGGCCAGGAGGCCCAGCTCATGGTAGAAGGAGAAGGACCCTCAGAGAGCAGAACATAACCCTGCACTGCAGCCCCCCAGCCCATCGGCACAGCTGCAGGTAAGTGGGGCCACCATGAACCAGGGCACTGTGGAGACAGGAGCCACTTCACCAATTCCTGCTCGCCCACCCAAGTCCTCCTACTTTGACAAAGGAGAGTGGGTAGGTGCACAGGCTTGGAAGCAGGGCCTGGGTGTGAGTCCTGCCCTCCCCATCTAGAGGACTGGTGGACAAGTTGCCTCTCCTCCCCGGGGCTCGCCTGGGGCTGAACCCGTGCTCAGCAAAATGGACTTGGCCTTGAAACAGATGTTTCAGTAGCAATGCCATGAGCCCTACAGAGAGGGAAGAGACCCCTCATGGAGCCTCCAGCCTCCCTGGAAAGCAGGAGCCCAGGACAGCCTCACTGTCTCACACCAAGGTAGCCCAGAAGACTCAGACCCCAGGCAACAGTATCCTGGCCCAGGTAGGGGCAGATGTGGAGCAGCCCCCTTGCCCCAGCAGTCCTCCAGCCAGGCCCCAGGCAAACCACAAGGAAGCCAGGGCACAAGCAGATTGGCCCTAATCGCTCCCCCTGACCACTAGCCCACCACGTCTGGCCCCCACCAGCCTTTCAATTGAAGTCATCAGGGTCCTACTGGGAAAGGGGACTGGCACCCCGAGATATGAGCCTGCTAGACAGGGGAGAGAGCTCAGCCTGAGAAGATGGCAGCCAGGCTCTGGAGGAAGCCGGTTCAGCGCCTGTCTTGTTTCCCACAAATGAAATAAATATTTACATCCGTGGCCAGAAACCACAAAGTTCCTGAAAATGCGCCAGCCCAGCAGGGGCCATGTGGAAGGGACTGGCCCATTAATGACCATTCCTGTGGGATGTTTAACAGAAGCCTAGGGTCAGAACCCCAGCCCAGCCAGAATACCCAGAGCAGCTTTATCAAGTTGGCAGGAAGTAACAGAGCTAATTAACAGGGGTGAAACAACTTCTCCGACCTCCTCCCTCCAGAGCCATCAAAAACCCTGGAACTGGTTCAGTGGAGAGGTACCCCACCCAAGTCCTGAAAAACTCCCCTGGCTAAGAGAACACCAGGGCAAGTACCTTCAAAGGTAGCATTGGGGCCAAAGTAAGAAGCCAGGTCCTTGGGCTCCAGGGCCTGAAGAAAGTTCTGCAAGACAGAAAGGAGGAGGAAGAAGGGGCAGGAGGCAAGATCAAGGAGAGGAAGTCAGAGGCAGGGAGAGGGAGAGCAGGGGCTGGCTAGGCGGGGAGAGGCAAAGAAGGGTGACTTTCACAGTCTGGGAAAAACGTGTCTGTCACCTTCACAGGGAGAAACCAATTCCCTCTTCAGTGAGCCCCTTTCTCCCCCCAAACACCAAACTCTGGTTCCTCCACCCAGTATGCCTGAAGCTGATACAGTCAGCTGAAAGACCAGGTCTACACATCCTCAGAGCTGTTTGGCAGCCCCGCCCCCCGCCCCCCAAGACTGAACAGCTAGCTCCTGCTATGAGCCCACCTGCTGGAAATCGGAGAGTGCCAAGCAGCCCAGGACAAAGAAGGCACCAGCAAGGACTCCCCTGACGCCAGCCACGGACAGAAGCTGGCATCTCACCCAGGGGTGAAGCTGGCTCATCCTCAGGAAAGCCCCTGTGGCAGGAGAGGGGCCCTGGTGACACAGAATCTGGTCAGGATGGAATGTCAAGTTCTTGTGGTGGGCTGGGCGGGCTGGGCGGGACTCTAGGGAGCTTCCTCCCAGGCAAGGCAGTGGGATGGGCAGTCGGCAGCTCCTCCTGCTGCAACCTGGCCTTGCTCTGGGACAGACCCCAACCTGGATCTGCACCAGGAGAGCCCCCCAGCCATGCACACCTGGCCTCTTCCAGTCTGAAGAAGAGGGAGCTCTGAACCAGGGCACTGGAGACAGAGGCTTGCGTGGAATGCCAGGCCTTAGATAGTACCCTGGAGGTCTCCACCCTGGCTGACCAGAGGCTGCATAAAAGGCATCAGAGCTCTGCCCTGGCAGCTGGCCTCCCCACCCCACAACCGTTTCCCACACTCCCTCCCTTGCACCTGTCCTCTTCACCCAGAAGACTGTGGCCCTCCCTGTGCTGCTCTTTTTTGGACATCTACACCCTTATGCCCCCACAACTACCTGCCCAGTCTGCACCCATACCCCATGGGGAGACTCACAGAGCAGGTACATAGCCCCACATCTCTGCACTCACCCTTGCAAACCCACCTAGCAACCCCAATGCATCTCCTGGGAAGGTCTTTAACATGCTCCAAAACACTCTTTGTGCTCCCCACCCCTCCCGCTCCCCATTATGGTCGATATATGAAAGGTATGGTTCCCAGCCTGTGGCAATATTGGGAGGTGGAGGAACCCTTAGGAGGTGGAGTCTAGTGGGGAGAAATTAGGTCACTGGAGGTGTGCCCCTGAAGGGAGTATGGGGGTCCTGGGGTCCCTTCCCCTCTCTCTTTCCTGCTCAGTCACCACCAGGTAAGCTGCCCCTCCCTGTACCATGCACTCCTGTCTTCTGCCGGTGTTTTAAAAGGTAGATTTAAGTGCTCCTTCCATATACTTTGATCACAAATAATACTATTAAATTGATTGTCAGGGGCTGGGGTTGTGGCTACAGAGCTTGCCTCGCATGTGTGAGGCACTGGGTTCAATTCTCAGCACCACATATAAACAAATAAATAAAGGTCCATCAATAACTAATAAAATATTAAAAAATAAATACAAAAATAAATTGATTGGCAACCCTTATCCTTATCCATAGGTCCTTTAGTAACCTCTCTCCTTACCTGGACCTAAAGAAAAACAGATCCTATATTACATACAAATATGAGTATGTCACAATGAATCTATTATTATGTATGATAATAATGTGCCAATTAGTAAAGGGAGGAGAAAGAAAAACAGGTCCCAGAATACTGCTCAGCAAATAGATATTTCTGATTTATACCACGAGAATCCGATGTCTTCATTCACACATCATACTCTCAAGTAGTTCTCAATGTTACACCAACGCAGTACTGTTTAAATTCACAACGCAGAACAATGAACACCCCCCAAGTGAAATCAGCACAGATTTTTCATCAAAAACATCAAAAAACAATCCCTAGTAGAGAATGAAACTGAATTCAGGGCCCTCATCTGAAATGGAGAATGGCTTCCGCATGCTGAGAGTGGAGGGTGCATCCCCACCCCAGTCCTGACAGGTGCCAAAGATGGGAGCAGAAAGGGCCACCTAATCTGCATACACGTGCTGCCTTTTGGCACTTCCCTGTCTCTTCTCCCTTAAAAGTTATAATATCAGGGATTTCGGAGATAGAAGAAACTTAATTAGTTTCAAATGTTCTATCTTTCTTCAAAGATGGCTCTGAATAAAACCTATTTTCCTGTCAATTTGACTCCAAATACTTCTAGAGCAGAAAGCAGTATGGCCTCTCCTCTTTCCTTCTGGGTGGTATTAGAGCCACCTGATAACAGTAATACTTAATATACCCACACAAAGGGGGACTGCAAATAACCTAGATCGTGTCTGTACGGCCTTTATGTATATAAACACGACTGGCCCAGGTGAAGTCAGCTCTCTCCTCTTCAATGCCGGCACTCTACCATCTCTGTGTACTTCTTGCCTTCTCCAGATAAAAATCAACGTATGCCTCACTTTGACCTGTTCTTAAATCCCTTTCTGGAAAAATGTCAAGGACCCGCATGGCCTAAGTTGGAGTCCACTTCCCTGTGGGGACACCACTCCTGGGCTGGGGCCTGCCTCCCTCTGGGGGTCCTCCCGAAACAGCACCGTCCTCTTTATGCTTTGAATACAGACCCTGCTCTCTGCCACCGCGACTTATTTTTTAAATGAACGTGTTTCTCCCCGCTCCCCAAACTCGGGTTGTGGGGGGAGCGGGGTCACCCTTCTTCCCCATTCCAGGCAGACTTCCAGTTCTTGAGTACAAACCCACCACAGGAACGAAGCCCTTCAGACCTGGGGACGGCCCAGGAGTTCTCAGAAACCACTGGCTCCCAAGTGAACACGTGACTTCCAACTCCAACAGAGAACCGGGCCACGCAGCCTGGGAATCACCTCTAACCCCTTCCTGTGACGGGCAGAACCACAGCCTCTGGGCCAGGAGTCCCGTTCTCTTTTGCTGGCAAAACAATATAACTTCTTTTTCCTCTTCCTCGAAACCGCGTCCTGGTGATTGGCTCGGGTTGGGGAGAGGGCAGGCTTCCGGCACCGCCGGGGCAGGGCCCGGACCCTCGCAGCGCCCACCCGACTCCTCGGGGGCAGCTGCAGCTCGGCGGGGCACCCCCGAACCCCGGAGCCGAGCTGGCGTGCTGGTGACATCGCTCTCTGATAAGAACATCAGAACCTGCGGGCCGCCTCGCAGCCCCAGGGCAGGGGACCCGTGAGCGCGGACCCGCTCGGGCTTCCCCGCGTCCTGTGCAACGCTCGCCCGCCCCCTTCCGGCCGCTCCGGCGCGGTGCTGCGCGAGGACGGGCCCTCCCATCCCTTCCGGTGTTCGCGTTTCTCAACTCCACCCCGGATATCAGTGGGACCCCAGGCTCAAACCCTGGGTGGCTGACCCCCGGCGCCGCTCGCCAGGGCGCCGGCCCTATTTCCGAGCAAGAGAATGGTCCCTCCCCGCTCCCGGCCGTGCGGAACCAAAGGCGTACACCCGGTTTCCAGCGAGTCGCTAAGGGAAGAGCACTTCCAGGCGCTGGAGCGCGCTGCGGAGGCCCGCCGGTCGTGTGCTGCCGCTTTCGGGGTCGTTCGCCGTCCTCTTCCGGGGCGGGGCCCGCACCCCGTGGCCTGGAGCTCGCTGCGCAGCTGCAGCGGCGCGCGGGACGTACTGGGATGAAGGCGAAGGCGAAGGCGCCGGCCTCCGAGCGCGCCGCGAGCATCCTCGCCGCTCAGCCGGGGGCTGTCGGGAAGCTCGCGCGGAAGAGAAGCAAGAAGAGGTTCTGGAAGAGCAAAGCGCGAGAAGGAAGCAGCACGCCGGGAAGCGTCCCCAGAGTGGCCGTGGGGCGGCCTCCCAAGGCCCCCGAAGACTTTTCTCAAAACTGGAAGGCGCTGAGGGAGGTGAGTCGGGGCGGGGGCCAACGCAGGCACCCCAAGGCTTTTGGTTGGGGCGTCGCAGAACGGAGTGGCCGCAAAAAAGCATCCTTACAGAGAGAACCGTTGGCAGGAGGGGCCATCGGGGGGACCGAGAGACCCTGTGGCTAGCCGGTGCCGGTGGCAGACACGAGGTATAGAGGATTCCGCAACGCCGGCTTAGTAGGTGCTGGTCGTCGATGACAGCTGCCGCCGCTGTTAAGCTCCTGAGACCTACTGACACCTGCCACAGGATCTGGGCTGTGTTCCTACCTACCCCGCTAACACCCGAGAGGCTTGTCTCCTTACAGCTGCAGTAAACGACCCAGGTTTGCTGCTGGGCACAGGGCCTCACCCAGCAGGCCGACCCGGAAGGACTGTAGAGGTTGCCCTGTGCTCTGCTTTCAAGTCCTTAGTCTCTTAGAGTTAGCTGCTGTTACTGTCCCTGTTTCGCTCATGGGGAAATTGAGGCACACAGAGCTTAAGGGACTTGGCCTGAGGTCACACAGCTAGTAAATGGCAGAGCTGAGAGCCAGATTTACAACATTCTTACTTGAGTTTGTGCTCTTCACTGTGACCAACCTTCAGACAGTTTTCTGGCTTGTATTTCATGGAGCCTTGGTGAAAAAGAGGGAGAGGATAAAGAACTTCTTGAACCCCGACACTCTGCTTTGTATATCTTAATGTGGATGTTCCAAATCATTTTTCTCTTTTGACACTAAGAACCTGTTACAGGCCTATGGGCAACCCCAGGGTTCTGTATGATTTCCTAAGTACAGGTTTGTTCTCTTTCTTACAGGAAAGTAATCAAATGCATAGAAGGGTTGTTCACTATAGGGAAAACTGGTTTTTCTGTGATTTCTGCAAGGAAGTAAATCGTTTGGTCTTTAACTGTTATAGAAATAATAAAGTAGAAACCTACCTCATCGCTGTCAACTGGCTGCCACATGTCTTAACTGAGGACAACAGCCCAGAAGGGATTTGAGCACAAAGAGGAAATTGGGCTCCAAGACCTTGGAGCACCTCCTGCCACCCATTTGATAGCAGCTTTTCTTTCCATTGAACATGGCCCTCTGTCTTCCTGAGGCCCTGAACAGTAGCAAGCCCAGAGATGGTGTGAGGGAAATGTTGATCTGAGTCACAAGGGAATTAACCCTAAAATCAATTCCAAATTTATTCAAGTGAAAAAAGCTGCCTGTCTCCTCTTCCCAGGCACTCGGTAAAGTGCTCTGTGAAGTTTAGTTGCTCAACAGATTTTTAAAGTATAGAATGTTAGCTTGAAGTTTTGTAGGACTAGAAAAGTGGGTGTAAAATTATGCATTATATGAGAGAAGCAAAAAAAGGCACCTCTCCACTAGTGACTTAGGTAAGAATGGAAAAAGGATTTTCCAAACTATTCAGAGCCAGATCAGTGGTGCTGACCACAACATGTGTAGATGTGATGGACGTGCATTTGTACATATGTGCATACATGTTTTTCAACATGGGTATGTCATTCCAAATTAAAATGTGGCTTGTATTTTATTTTGGGTCCTATTAGCTGCTGAAGCAAACATCACAAACCCCAGAAAAGCCTGTTGTCTCTCAGACGGATCCAAAAAAGCAGCCTCACCTTAACCAACAGAACAGAAAAGAGACCTCAGCTAAAGTCAAGGGAGAGGAGATGCCAACAAAAAAAGACCAGGAGGCCACAGGGGGCTCTGTTCCCTCTGGATCTAGGAAGGAAAGGATCGTGCCAGTACCTCCCGCAGAGGCCAAGGGAGCAGAGCATAAGAAAGGAGCCAAGAAAAGGACAAATGGTGATGTTTCTTTGAAACAAGGGAACATCAAGCATAAGAAGCGGAAAGCTAAGGAAGCAGCCGTGGCCTCAGCTCCAGCCCTGCCCACTGAGTAAGTACTGGTGGCTGTGCTGTGGTGGTGCAGGCCTTCTGCCCCCTTTCTGCAACCACGCCTGGCCCCGTCCTCACCACTGAGGACAGAGGTGCTGAGGCCTGTCTCCCTAGGGACAGAGGCCACTGGCCAGGTACCTCCAACACCATAGCCTGATGCTTGTTTCCTGCTTGCCTGCTTCTTGCCTCTTCCCCAGAGTGTAGGTATGATGAAGGCAGAGCTTGTTTCAGGGTCGCCACCATGTCTCCAGGGTCTAGCACAGAGCTCTGTGCTTAGTGAGCACCAACAAAGCCCTGTAGCGTAAGCAAGCGTGGAGCCAGGCAGACCTGTATGCAAGGCCCATTTCTGCTTCTCACCAGTAGGACAGTGTGGATGGACTCCTGGCATCCCCTTCCCTCTGTGTGGCCATCTGTGGAGTCCAAGGAGACCTAGGTACAGCATGTTTGGCTCATTGCTGGTGACCACTCAGTAAGCACTGTGGTGATCACCTGGAGGGGAGACATGCTTGTGAGCCAGAGGCTGACTTGGTGTTGCCTGGGTGCTGAAGGTCAGAGGGAAGCAGCGTGTGGGCACCTCCTGTGCTGTGCCAGGCAGGCTACCTGCAGTGGAGCTGTCATCAAGGTCCTTCCCTCTGGAGGTTGATAGTAAGCAGGGGACACAAGCCGTTTAATAACTGGAGTATGCTCAGGGTGGACCAAGTGAGGGAGAAGGGGACAGGCACACAACAAGAGGGAAGGACATCCAGTGGAGTCAGGAGGAACCTTTCTAAGGGATGGCGTTGAAGCAGAGCCTGAGGACTGGAGTGCAGCAGGCAGGCAAACGGGCAGACCATGGTGGGGGTCTGTGTGTACTCTGCCCTGGTGCCCGTCTGTGTATCCTGGTCACTGGATGGTGAGCCTGTTACTTGTGTAATTAGAAAGAAAACAGCAGCCATCGTCCTGCTGACAGGGAACTATCTGTTTCTGTTTGATGTTCTTTGGGTTTTTTTGCTTTGTGGATCTTGAGTAGGAGCATATTTGCTAATTAAAAGAAAGGTGGAGCTGGAGTTGTGGCTCAGTGGCAGAGCGCTTGCCTAGCATGTATGAGCCCCTGAGTTCAATCCTCAGCACCACATATAAGTAAGTAAAATAAAGATAAAAGAAAGGAGTTGGAAGGAAAGTGTCACAATGATTCAAACAGTAGCCACAGCCAGGCCAATGTTTGTGGGAGGAGCAGTCTCCACCATACTTGAGCCCACCTGTACCCCAAGTCTCTCCCCAACAGCCAGACCTTTCTGGTGGTCAGCTGCTTTTGTCTTTGTCTTTTAGGGAAGACATCTGGTTTGATGATGTTGATCCAGCAGATATCGAAGCTGCTATAGGCCCAGAGGCAGCCAGGATAGCGAGGAGGCAGCTGGGCCAGAGGGAGAGCAGCAGCACCCTGGTGAAGGAGCAGGCCTTCCACGGGTATGCGTGGCTGGGGGCTGGGGCAGCTGGGGATTTCCAGACTTCTGGGGTGTAAGCTCTTCAGGGCAGAGGGTCCCTTCCTCTGGTTGAATGGAGCAAGCACAACCCAGGACCCTGCTGAGAACTGGTGTGGCACAGCATGTCACGGGTGCGCAGCATTGATGCAGGGCCTCACCCAGGCTCCCTCAGGGTCTGGCCTGCATCCTGGGCTGCAGGGCCTGTTACACTTGAGCCTCTGGTTCCCTCAGCCTGACAAGAGCCTTGGCCCTGGATTGTGAGATGGTGGGCGTGGGCCCCAAGGGGGAGGAGAGCATCGTGGCCCGCGTGTCCCTCGTGAACCAGTATGGGAAGTGCGTTTATGACAAGTACGTGAAGCCCACCGAGCCCGTGACAGACTACAGGACAGCGGTCAGTGGGATTCGGCCCGAGGAGCTCAAGCAGGGTATGGCACCCACAGTGCAGGAGCTCTGGGGAGCGGCACCTGTGTTCTCTTCTCTGCTGCCCTAGTTTGTCCTGTGTGCTGTGCCCCCGGGGTGGTTGCCTTCCAGGAGGAACAGTGTGTTCCCGTGGCTTCCCTGCCCTTTCTTCCTTTGCTTTGGTGTCCCCCACACCTATTAAAAAACAGGGTGGTTCTAGAATTGCTTTGTGCTATGTGCAGTGGGGACTGAGTGTGTTGGGGATCAGGAAAGAGGCCATTGGGAGCTTTGGGGATAGGATCTCGGGGACAGATCACAGGTCCCTTTGGGAAGCCTTGGGAAGGCAGTGAGAAGCCTGGTCTAGCCTCTATTCTAATAGGCCTCCTATGGGTGACATTCAGAATGGGGTAGAAATAGGAAGGGTTGTCAGCTGGTGGTGAGCAGAGGGGAGATGACTGTAAGGTGACCAGAAGCACTCCAACCCTGGATATAGCAGAGGCCAAGTCTGCATGTGATGTGATAGTGGGCATCACCTGGGAGGTTCTGATACTGGCCACCTGAAGAAACCTAGTGGTCATCATCAGGGTCCTGGGCCATGTGGCCTTTCTGCACACTGCCTGTCTGCTTCTCCTAGGCATATGGCCATCAAGATGGCCCTGCCATTACTCAGAACCCTAGACTGACCAGCATCTCCTGATTTCAGTTCCTGGAGGGAAGCTGGTCTGATCAGCTCTGGCCGGGACTGGGCAGGCAGATGGTGCAAGCATGGTTCTGTGAGACCTCTGGTGGGATTGGGGGTAAGGGTGGGAGAGGGCTCTCCTGGGTGGCGTGGGGGTAAGGTGGTCCTTGAAGGGTGCCTGCGACGAGGGAGCAGATGGAGCTGCCTCCCGAGCCCAGGATCTAGGGCAGCAAAGCTTCTGCTGTCCATGGTACAGTCTTCCTTTTATTTCTACCTGGAAAACCACAGCGCTTGAGCCTGACAATTGGTTACTGCAGGAAGCTGACTGCACTGTCAGATGCCTCTGAGAGTCTTGGTGCTTATGAATTCTCCTGTGGGCCGAGACGGGAGCAGGTAGTGGGAGGGAGCCCAAGACAACTACGCCCGTGGGTCCTTCATGGCTTCCCCACGCCCAGGTCCACCAGAACCTCTGAGGCTTCCAGTTGCATGGCATTGGGGACTTGGCCTGTTAGCTTTGGTCTGGTCAGGGGTAGCATGGAGCACCCCTGGCAGTGGTTTATGTTGCCAAAACTCACTTCTCTGTTTTGATTTTCAGGAGAAGAGCTTGAGGTTGTGCAGAGGGAAGTGGCAGAAATGCTCAAGGGCAGAATCCTGGTGGGGCACGCGCTTCACAATGATTTAAAGGTGCTGGGTTCTGACCTCCTGGGGACATAGGGCCCACTCTCTCTCATGTGTGCAGCACTTACCTTCTCATGTCTGTCTCTAGAAGTATTGTTATGGGACTTGTTATTTTTGAATTTGTCCCATGACCCCACATTGGGAATACTTGGATGCTGCTTATTTGGTTCTCAGGATGTCAGGAGGTGTGTAGCACTTGTTTTGAGAACCACAAGCTACAGTGGGACTCCAGTGCCTGAGGGGCTGATATCCTGCCCTAAGGAAAAGAAGGGGCTGTGGTCACAGGACACACAGGGTACCTTTCGTGGGATACCTGACTGAGCTGGGGGAAGGCCTGATGACTGGTTGTCCACCTGTGACCAGGGTCCCTTGCACAGAAACTTGTTTATGCAGCAGACACCCTTGGCCCTCATCTGACTTTGTGGTGGGTACTGAGCATCTCTGATGCTAGGAGCCTGGCCTTGTGTTTCCCCCAGCATCCTGGGGAAAGCCCAGCTGGGCATAGGGCATGGGTCACTTTCAGTTGGTGAGCAAATGCTTGAATGGTTCAAAGGAAGCAGAGGGAGCTGGGTACAGTGGCACATGCCTATATTCCCAGGGGCTTGAGAAGCAGGCAGGAGGATCACAAGTTCAAAACCAGCCTCAACAACTTAGCAAGACCCCGTTTCAAAAGATAAAAAGGGTTGGGGATACAGCTTTGTGGTTAAGCGCCCCTGGATTCAATCCCCAGTACCAAAAAGAAAACGGAAGCCAAAGGAAAGCAAGAGCCTGGGCTGCCAGCAGGAGAGATGCCTGTGGACTCTTGCCATGGCCACCAGCACAGGCTTCCAGTGTAGTGTTCTAAGGTCCAGGCAGCAGCCTCCTGTGCCATCCCTACACTCTGGGGGGGGGGGGGGGGCTCAATTAACCCTTTACAGAACAGTGGAGGCTTGTGCTGCTGAGCTTCAGTGAGCTTGAGAACATTCCCAGGTGTGACACCTGTTGCAGACCCAGGTGCCCTGCCCCTTTCTGCTGCCTCTTCAGCTGCCCTGTAGGCGGGGAAGGGATGAGGGCTTCCTCTGGCAGTCATTCCAGCTGGATTCACCTCCTTCCCAGGTGGCCAGTGTGGGGCCAACTTGGTGGGAGTGGGTGGTTCCTTAGGGCTTGTGGCCTCGGCCTCTGTTCCTTAGGGTCCTGCAGATTAGAACCCTGTGGGCAGACAGAATGGACATTATCCTTCCTGGGTGTGTTGCTGCAGCTGATCAATGTCCCATGGGTATCTAGCAGCCTCAGGCTTTTCAGGAACCTTGGTGGTGGTTTAAAGTTTCCTCTTAAATGTTTGGGGCTCAGAGAGAGATTAGTGGCAGACCACATGCTTAGCAATACAAGGACTGCGTTCAATCCCCAGCACCAAAATGGTAAAAAATAAATAAATAAAATAAATGTTCAACTGTTGGGAGCTAACCAAAGACCTGGGTGCAGTGGCGCACCCTGTAATCCCAGTGACTTGGGAGGCTGAAGCAGGAGGATTGCAAGTTGGAAGCCAGCCCCAGCAACTTAATGAGGCCTTTTCCCATGAAACAAATAAATAGGGCTGAAGTTGTAGCTCAGTGGTAGAGCACTTGCCTCCCACATGTGAGGCCCTGGGTTCCATCCTCAGCACCACGTAAAAACAAAGATATTGTGTCCATATACAACTAAAAAAAATAATAATAAATTTTAAAAAGACGAAGAAGCAAATAAATAGATAAATAAAAAGGCTGGTGATGTAGCTCAGTGGTTGAGTACTTGAACATCCCCAGCATCAAAAAAAAGTCATTTTCCCACTTGTGTGTGGAATCACCTTCAGAGACTGCCACAGGTGATGGGAGGGCCACTGATTCGGGGAACTGGGCTGAAGTCACAGGATGAGCTATTGAAATCTTTTTAGTTTCCTGGTATGTAGAACCAGCTCAAATGCTGTTTCCTAATGACTCTCTTTCCTCTGCTTCCTTGATTTCAGGATTTTTGTTAAGGTGGTGGGAAAAAGAGGTTCCATTACTACACCTTGAAACTGCTTGTCACTGTTTTCTTCTAGGTGCTGTTTCTTGATCATCCAAAAAAGAAAATCCGGGACACCCAGAAATACAAACCTTTCAAGAGTCAAGTAAAGGTACTTAAAATGAGTGTGGCTTCTGTCAGATGTTTTCACTCTGCTCCCTGGTAGCTGACTTACTGGTTAAAATGTTTTTTGTTTTGTTTTTACTTTTTTTTTTTCTTTCTGTTTTTATATCTTTATTGTATATTCCCCAAAGTGAGATGTACATACCTCTAATGATTTTAGGTGGTTCACAGATAAACATTTACAAATTGTATTAAGAAAAATAAAATTAGCCTTTAAGACTTATGATTTCAGAGATTTAAGGTTTGTTTTTTACTTTTAACCTTTGAAAAGATTCTTAAAAAGAACAAGTAGGGGGCTGGGGCTGTAGCTCAGCAGCAGAGTGCTTGCCTAGCATGCATGAAGCACTGGTTCAATCCTCAGCACCACATAAAAATAAACAAAATAAAGGCATTCTGTCCATCTACAACTACAAAAAAAAAGTAGGGCTGGACATGGAGGTACACGCCTGTAATCCCCGCAGCTCAGGAGGCTGAGGCAGGAAAATAGTAAGTTCAAGGTCAGCCTCAGCAACTTAGTGAGGCCCTAACTAACTTAGTGAGACCCTGTCTCTAAATAAAAAATTAAAAGGGCTGTGGGTGTACTTCAGTGATTAAGCACACCTGGGTTCAATCCACTATACCAGCCTCCAAAAAAAAGAACAAGCTGGGGCTGGGGACGTGGTCAGGGTGGAGCCTGCCTAAAGTACAAGGCCCTGTGTTCCTTCCCCAGCACTCAAAGAAAAGGTAGAATCTGTTCATTGCCAACCTTGAAAACAAGTGTGAGGGGGCGAGTCCTCCACATACTCGTCCCAAGGCAGGCCCCCGGGTAGGTGCTCACTGCCCTATAGGGTGCCAAGGGAGAGATGGTGCCCCTGGGAAGCATCAGGGGCCGAGGATGGAAAGAGATGTTGGCCTCTTTCTTCCCCCAGTGCTGGGGATGGAACCATGGAACCTTCACATGCTAGGAAAGTGTTCTGCCACTGAGCCAGCCTGGCATTGCCTTTAAGATTGCCTTGTGTGTGGTGGTGGGGGGGGCGGGGTCACCACCCTGTCCTGGCTGGTGGCTGCTGCCCTCAATGCCTCTGGCACTCCCAGTGAAGGGTGGACTCGGAAGCCATCTCCTCCCTACTGGGGAGGCACCCTCCTGAACAGAGGCAGCCACCCTGCACACTGTGCTCTCTCCTTTCCCTTTGCAGAGTGGGAGGCCATCTCTGAAACTACTTTCTGAGAAAATCCTGGGCATCAGGGTCCAGCAGGCAGAGCACTGTTCGGTAAGTGTCCCTAGGTGACAGTCCTTGGGTTTGGGAGCTGTCCCTGATCTTGAAACTCAAGCACATGTCACCTGACAGCAGACACAAGAGAGATGGGGCCTGGACAGCTTCCTTAGGAGGCTGTTAATTTAAAACAAATGAAACAGCAAAGCATGCTTATGATGTGTTAAGTCTTTAGCGTTTATATCCAGTTAACACTCAAAAAATACTGAATGTAAACACTTGGAAAAAAGTTCAGCAATCTTATCAGGTGGTGTTAACCCATTTTCTGTTATTGAGATGGAATTCCCAAAGCTAATAACTCATGGTTCTAGAGCTCAAGGTCATGGCACTGGCATCAGCTCTGGCAAAGGCCTCATCTCATGGCAGATGTAGTGCAATGGCAGGAGCCTATGGGAGAGTCACATCCAGTACAGGAAAGGGGGGTGGGGGTGTCTTTTATTTATTTATTTATTTACCTGTAGATGAACATAGAGTATCTTTATTTTTATGTGGTGCTGAGGATTGAACCCAGTGTCTCATACATGCAAGGCAAGTGCTTTCCCATTGAGCTACAGCCCCAGCCCTGGAGGGGATCTTTTTATAGCAACACTTTGACAACAGTTAACTGAGGCCCAAGAACTGCTTCAGGCCTCCCAAGGGCTCTCCCTAGTGACCCCACTGGCCCACTCTCACGGGTCTGCTACCTGCATGCTGCCTCATGGAGGACCTTGGGGGCAAGGTACATCCAAACCATAGTCAGTGGCCCAGGCCCCCTGCCCTCCTGACCAGGACGGTCTCTTGCCTGCAGTGTGGCGTGCAGCTCTCTGGGCCCTTGTGCTGCAGGGCAGAGACCCCAGCCCACTGTTTGTTACTCTGTATCCCTGATGTCTGCTGAACCTTAAAGGGCAGTGCTCACCCCTTCATCCCTCTGAGTTTCCTTTCTTTCTGTAGATAGGTCACAGAACTGCAGGGTGGGTGGTGGGTGGGTGACCACTCCACGTCTTCTTCCCCATCTTGCAGAGGTCTCCTGCCAAGTGTGTGCTTCACTCGGCTGCACATCCCCAGCACAGTGGCTGGCCTGAAGGGCTCAGGATGAGCAGGGGTGTGCAAGGGCAGGAAGTCAGGGTGTGTCCTAGGCACAGCCAGGAGGGGATGGCAGGTTGGGGGTGCCTGGTGGCTCCACTGTCTGCTGACCTCCAGAGGAAGGATGGGACATCTGGGCTGCCCCTGAAGACCTGACTGGCCTGGGTGCTCAGCTCCTTCCTCTGAGGAGGCCACTGCCTCTCCATTGTTGTAGGTGAGGGGTTCACTGATGGTGGGTGGCTCTGTGTGTCACACAGTCACCACTGGCATGAGTGCTCCTTCCAGATCCAGGATGCCCAGGCAGCAATGAGGCTCTATGTCATGGTGAAGAGGGAGTGGGAGAACACTGCAGGAGACAGGCGCCCCCCGGCCTCTGCCCCAGACAGCTGCAATGAGAACTCCTAGCCTGCTGCCTGCTCCCGCTGCCCCACCCTCCATCCTGTCAAGCACCTCCGTCCAGTGGCAGTGGGGACCAGATCCTGGGACCAGTGGAGTCGCTCCAAAGTGGGACAGGGGTGAATTGTGTTCAAAGCCAGAACCATGGGGCTTCCTTCTCCCTCTGGCCTCTGCTGCATCTGGGTGTTTAGGGCAGAATGAGCAGGGGTGTGTCCTAGGCACAGCCAGGAAGTGGTAGCGGGTTGGGGTTGCCTAGTGGCTCCACTGTCTGCTGACCTCCAGAGGAAGAATGGGATGTCTGGGCTGTCCCTGAAGACCTGACTGCCCTGGGTGCTCAGCTCCTTCCTCTGAGGAGGCCACTGCCTCTCCATCGTTGCGGGTGATGGATATAGGCTTTGTTGGCCCCAGTTCAAACCCTGTCTGCAGGTGGCTGCTGACTGCAGCTGAATAGCACAGCAGCTGCCCCACCAGGACTTGCCTGAGGCCGTTGGACATGGAGAAGGGCTTCCTGGGGGTGGGGTCCTGTTTCTCACCTGTTTACCTCAGTTGGCCAGCATCCAGCAGACCAGCAGAGGCTTCTCCCCACAGCCAGTCATGTGAGACTCGGGACACACTTTTCTATTCCTGAAGCTCCCTGCCAACCTTGGGCAGCCAAGCTGGCCAGTCTGTGAGCACCTATGGGCAGCCTGCGGTCTTCAGGCCAGGCTCGGGTCTGAGCATCTCTCTGGGAACTGATCAGGAGTGGAGTGCACCAAGCCCAGGGCTTCATCAGGCCATCTGATAGCTGTGTGGACAGTGTGCACCCACAGAGGACATCCCTGGCACAGAGACAGATGCTCACCTCACATGGAGCTTGTGGGGCTGGGTTGGCTCAGTGGTGGGCACTCACCTGCCCTGCGTGGGCCAGGCCTGCCCCAGCACCATGTAACAATAAACAAATGAAGCTTGTGGAGGGTAGTTCCTTCCCCTCAGCTAGAACCCTCAAGTCCTGCAGACTGTGCCACCAAGCGCCACCATGACCTGCCACTTCTACACCAGCAGTGACTCGGACATAATTGGAACCAGCCTTGGGCCTCTTTATTAGTTACTGGGCATAGCGGGACGTGCATACTGGTCCCTAACGTCCTACTCCCCACTTACACCTAGGACAGGAAGGCAGGTGCTTCAGGGCAGGTGGGGGCGGCCTTCCGGGAGAAAGGGGACCTTAGGAGCAGCTGCTTCCTCCCTGACAGCAGCTCCACACAGCTTCCTTTCCTGGGAGCTGTGCAGTGCAGCCTCCAGACTCAGGGACGCTTTCTCTGCATAAGAGACCAGCTCCTGGAAGGGATAGGCAGGTTCCTCTTGGAGGGTCTGGGGTCGGAGCCATTAACTGATGAAATCTACCAATTTGTGAAACCCTCTGGTCACCCCTACCCCCAGGATTGACTGGCCCAGTCCCAGAAATGGAGTAATAGGCAGGGAAGTGTCGCTGAAGTCTGCCCACAGCACTCAGAGCCTGCTCCAAGTAAACGTGCCCAGCCCATGTCCCCAGGTGTAGGGGCTTGGCCTAGTTTGCTGAAGGCCCTCCTGTCACTCACCAGGCTGGAGGTGAAGCGCCCCTGGATCTCTCTGACCAGAGCCCTGATGCCACTGGACTCCAGCTCTGGCAGGATTTCCTCTGGTGGAACAGAAAGGGTACTGAGACCCAGAGCCCAGCCAGAGGGCAAGGCAGGGTCCCAGGGCCACTTAGGGCATGGGCAGAGTGCCACCCTGGGTTCCATAGTTCATACATTGTCCTGGGCTGTAGCTATGCCCTGTGCAGGGGTGCCAGGTGAGTGGAAAGTTTGGGGCCATCTCTGTGGGGCTCCTTCCTTCCCCCCTGACCACTGCTCTCAGGTAGGGCAAGGGGGTCCTCACTGTAGGAGGAAAGGTGGGCCAGCAGCATGCAGAGGTTCTCCACCACCTCAGGGTCATCCTTGTACAGCTGATAGGTCTCCTGCAGGAGGGTGAGGCCACTGCCACCATCCTGTGGCATCACCACCCGGAAGGCTGCCAGCTCTGGGGAAGAGGAGGTAACAGGGTTCCCAATCTAGTGCTGGCACTGTGCGTTTGGTCTTGGACCAGTTCCTCAGCCCAAGGTTCCCCTGAGAGATGGGTAGTGATGATACTGGTTTCATGGGTTGCTGGGAAAACTCAGCATTGGGCCCAAGCTCTGGGCTCTGCTGGCTCCATTTTCCCACAGTGCGGCTTTGCACCCACAGCAAAAGCCCTGCTCCTGCTGGCCCATGTACTCCCTTCCCTAGGGAGGCAGGCCCAGAGGCATATGCTGGTGCAAGTTTCACCAGGCCAGGTGGTGGGGCTGCAGCTCACCCGGCCTGGCTCAGGTCCTGCTCCCTTGGTGGAGACCATGTCCCTTTTTCCCCCAGGGCCTTGACCTCCCCAGCTGTCCCTAGAAGGAGTTGACAGCTAATCTGTGGTAGGCTGCTGGTGGGACCTGAGGCCCAAGCATTGCTCTGACCAGGAGGAAAAGCCACTTCACCTGCAGACCCCAGCTGAGAGGCATACAGGAGTCTGACCAGCTCTGCTCCCCATCCAGGTGGCCCACCCATCCGGCTAGAGTTGGCATGGGACCTCAGAAGGGCTGAGCCTTTCCCACACGGGTTGCTGAGCATGGGGTTTCCAGGACAGGAGGAGACAGCCCCCGCTCCCCCTAGGAGACCCCATCATCTTGGGCAGCCCAGTAGACTGGCATGGCCAGAAGAGCCAGGTGAGGAGCCGGAAGTCCTCCCCAAGAGCGTAGTTACTGCTCTAAGGAAGGCCACACAGCACAGAGGTCAAGATCATGAGCAGAGGCCTCAGCCCCACCATGCGCCTCTGGTGACTGGCCAGTCCCCAGACCCCAAGTGCCCTCTGTGAGGGATAACTGCCAGTCTCAGCATGGGGCCTGGCGCAAGGCACTAAATAAGAGCCAGGGTTTGTGCTTAGGAATTGGAGACAGACCTGTATGCTGAGAGCCTGCATGGACCCACAGGGGGTGGACAGGGAAGGGAGATAACAGGCAGCATTAAGCAAAAGGCAGAGGCTGCCTGTTGTGTGCAGCCTCGGTGGCACCTCCTCAATGATGTGACTGAGTCATTTTGTTCCTCCTGTTTTGGTTTGTGGGCAGCTGTAGACATTACTGACCAGGGCTGATTTCTGCCCTAACACTGGGCTCACCTGACACCTTGGCGAGGCTGGCCAGCCCTCGGTAGGCATTATTCACCAGCAGGACTCTTTCCTGGCTCAGCCGGATGCTTTGCAAAAGCAGCTCCACCACCTTCTCAAATTGCCACTCACTCATGCAGCCTGCAGAGGACAGGGACCTGGTTGCCCTGTGTCCAGGGCTGCCCTCCCCACTCACTCTCAAGGGCCTGAGCTCCTCACCCAGCAAGGACAGCAGCCAGAACACCGCACAGCCTGCCTCAGCTATTTCTGCATCTGTGGGGTGGGTGTCCAGCACCTGGATGACCAGGGCTGGGATCTTCACCACAGGGTCTTTGTTCACAATGACAGCTGGATCCAAGACAGGGATGGGGGACACCCAGGCATTGGGTGTGTGCATGAGGGCCTACTGTATACATGCCCCACCTGCTGCTCCCACCCACCAAGCAGGGCAGAAACGTAAGAGGACAGATGGAGGGTGGGGGCATCCTTGCCGATGAGTCTGGAGGGGACTCTGGCACCTTGGGGACAGTGGGGTCTCAGGTTTCCCCAGCTTGCCATGGCTTGGAGCGCTGTTTTCTGGAGTACCAAGGTGGGGCCTAGGAGAGGGGGCAGTGCAGGCCTAGGGGCCCCTATTCTGCATTGAAAATCAGGATAAGGCATCCAACTCTCTGGCTGACCTCTGGTGCCAGGGACTGCCCACTGGACAGGACACACTGGGCTCCTTCCCCTCCCCTCCCACTCTTCTTGCCAGTCTCCCTTTAGTGGCCAAGGTCACTCTCACATGTTCAAGAGACAGAAGGCAGAGTCCCTCCTGGGAGTCAGGCAGTGGGAGCCTGGGAAGGAGGGCCTCACCATCCACCAGGAGGGACCAGAGCAGGCCCAAGGCACTGAAGCAGATGTCCCTGTCCTTGGAGAATCTGTACAGGTGCTCCAGGATGAGCTCAAACAGCCCCGCCTTCTGTAGCTCCTCAGAGACCTGCACTGTGGGAGAGAGGGAGGCCCTTCCAGCAGGCCTTCCCAGAGCACCGCTGCCCTGGGTTCCCAGGTGCTGTGCATTTCCTGGGCCGCCACTCAGTACCTCCCACCTATGACTAGGCTGAGTCCCACGGCTGTAACTCCTCAGCCCAGAGCCCAGCCTGCCTTCCTAGGTCAGCTGTGGCCTTTCCCAGCACACAGCCTGCCTGGTCATTGTGTGGTGCCTATTCCTGGGCCTCTCACGTCACAAGAGTGGATCAGTGAAGGATGACAGGTCATCAGGTCTGGAGTGGTGGGCACATACTGGGTCTCAGCCCTGCCCCACCATAGAACCTGACGGGTGTCCTTGGGCTCTCAGGAGCCCTGGCTTCCTCTGGGAGGACAATGCCCACCTGTGAGCGGGCTAGGAGGAAGGAAAGGGTGTTACCTGGTCCCAGGGGAGCCTGGTGAGGACCTCTCGTCCACTGGGGCACAGCCTGGTTGCCTGCTGCCCCCCTGACCATGGGCACAGAGCATGTGAATGTGAAATGCATACGTGCAAGGCCTGTGGCCAAACCTGGCATGTAGTCTGCCTGTGAAAGTGGAGCCTGGCCTCCAGAGCACAGAAAAACCACCAGCATGGGACCAGAGCCTCTGCCGACCATGTGGCGTGCTATCTCAGCAGCAGGCCCTGTGCCACCTCTGCTTGTGTCCAAGCTGGCCCTCCCCAGCTTGTGCTCTGCAGCCCGGCTTCCTAGAGTGTGCAGGAGGCAAGGCAGGAAGGGCCAGCACACCCACCCTGGCTAGAGATTATGGTGAGCAGGCTGTAGCCCTGGGTGATGAGCTGCTCCGAGTCTGAGTGGCTCCTCATGATGCTCAGCAGGGAGCAGATGATGGAGATATCCCATGGCACCTGGGCTTCTGCGTCCTGCACCAGCACTGCACAGGCCACAAAAGGAACCTGGGTTAACCCCACAACTGAGGATGCGGGGGACAGCAAGGCACACATATCCTCCCTGCCTGACTTGGGGACAGCACTTCTGCTTTTTTTTTTTTTTTAAGGAAACTGAGGTCTGCCTTGTTCTCCAGCATGGAGCAGGTGTCCATAAACCTAAGGCCCTTGCACTGCCAGTCTGTGGCACCTCAGGCTGGTGCTGGCTTCCAAGAGCTTGCTGAGTCTGTGGCGAAGGGGCAGAGTAAACAACACAATTCAGGGCTGGGGCTCAGCTCAGGGGTAGAACGCTTGCCACCATGAGCAAGGGCTTGGCTTCCAGCACCACAAAGGCAAACAAAAGGTCACAGTCTGAATTAATGGTTCATGGGAGTGAAACCCTCAATATTAAAACCAGAGAGGTAGGTAGATAGGTAGTTGTAAGAACTGAAGTCAGTTGAACCTGTTCTTCATGATCCAGAGAATTGGGGGGAGGCTGAGCAGTCAGCTCCCCCTGCTCCTACTTGGGCAGCAGGTCAGTGCCGTCCCCTGCTGCCCATGCCACCACCTCTGCTGCCCTCTTACAAGCCTCTCCTGGGGGCACAACCCACCCTCCTGGGGCAGCTCAGAGGACCCCATCCTGTCCAACACCTTCTTGCATAGCTGGGAAAGCAGCAAGGGGGACAGGTGCTTGCCCAGGGGCACAACAGTCCAAGTGTAGCCCACATCTCCAGACTCCTGGCCTGAGGCCTGTTGTCCCAGGAAGGGGTCAGATGACAGGATGGGGTCCTCTGAGCTGCCCCAGGAGGGTGGGTTGTGCCCCCAGGAGAGGCTTGTAAGAGGGCAGCAGAGGGGGTGGCATGGGCAGCAGGGGACGGCACTGACCTGCTGCCCAAGGGTTTGAGCTATTGAGAGGGCCACACACCCAGGGTAACTAGTGTGGGCTGGAAGCACCAGGAGTGTCCCCAGCCTGCCCTGCACCCACCATGGCTCAGGATGCGCAGTAGCAGGGAGCAGGCACAAAGCTGCAGGTCGAGGATCCTCTCATGCAGCTTCATAGCGGTGACCACCACCTCCACCAGCCCCTTGGGCCACGGCAGCCCTGGTGAGGTAGGAGGCACAGGTGAGGCATGTGGGAGTAGACCTGAGACCAAGAGACCACTGGGATTCTACAAGACATCAGAGGGGCCCCAGGTAGGTGAAGAGGAGAGCAAAGATGATCTGTCCACACGTGCATGGAGTGCTCAAGGCCTGCCAGGGGACCCTGCTGGGAACCAAGCCCAGGGCGTGCATGCTGTATCCCGTCTCCACCTCGGAGCTTCATCCTCTCAGTGTTTTTTTGTTTTGTTTTGTTTGAGGTGGGGTCTCAGTATGATACCCAGGCTGGTATCAAACTCCTGGGTTCAATAGATCCTCCTGCCTCAGCCTCCAAGCGCCAGCACGACAGGGGCACGCTATCTTGAACTTCTGGCACCACGAGGCCCTCCCAGCCCTTTCCTTGTCAGAAGAGCACAGGTGACTTTGGTGAGGGTGCAAGGACAGATGAGGCACCCAGGACACGGAGCCATGGTGAACCCTTCCAGAAGCTCGCTGAGGCAGGCATGGCTCCAGGTGTGGGAAGAGCCCAATCTTGGGTAAAGGGCCCAACTGTCTCCATTTTACAGGAAGGCAAAATCTCCCTCTGAGCTTTATCCTGGTTATAGCTTAGCAGCACGTGGGATCTGGCTTTGGGGGCAATGGCCAGTATGAGTTGCCTACTGCCTTGCTAGGAGGCCACAGTTTGCCTCCATAATCCCCAAAGCCTCAGCCACTGGGACAGTCCTCAGAGGAGTCTTAGTATATGTCTAGTGGATATAAGGTGGATGGATGGAGAGGTGGGTGTATTAGTGGACAGAGGGAGAGGGGGATGGAAGGAGAATGGACAGATGGACAATGGACAGGTGGGTGGAGGGAAGATGGATGAATGGCCGGATGAAAGGGGGATGCATGGACGTGTCATATTCAAGCAGGAGAGATAGGTTAGGCAGAGAGATTCTATAAAAGCATGTTTTACAAAATCATGGATACAGGGGTGTTGTGTTCTCTGGTACACAACAGGCAGAATGTCAGTGTGTCCATGGTTGGCCATCACTAGGACTCATCCTGACACCAGAGCTCACCCTATAGGAGTTCTTGGGGGCACATGTGCACAGGCAGTGGTCTGTTGGGTGCCGTTCATGGAGTGGAATCTAAGAAAACTCCAATGCCCATCATAGGGTGGCTGGACAGATGGGTACCTTATTATGGACCCCTTAAAAATCAGGTGAGGCCACCCATCCCCACCCTTCTCTGCCTGGCAGAAGAGGCATGGGAAGAATTCCAGACTGCTTCCTGTCCAGGCAGATAATAAGGCACAGGACCCCCCTGGGAACGTGAACGTAAGCAGCACTGCTGGCAGCCGGGGAGGGGAGAGGCACGGCTGTACCTAGCTGGTCCTCAGGTATCTGCAAAAGCCTCTTCATGGCCTTGAGCTGAACTTCAGGACGGCTGGGGAAGTTCTCCATGGCCTCTGTAGGGAATAGGGAGGACATAGGGACCCTGCTGGGGACCAGGTCTCCTGGCCATGAGGTAGCGTTCTTATCCCTACTTCACAGATGAGGCCACTAGGACCAAGTGGTTGATCCAGAATCGAGCCAAGTCTCTGGGAACCATCCCGAGTCTCAGTGTGTGCTGCCCTCACCCTGGCTCGCAGGATGCACACTGGCTAAGTGGGGACACTCAGGGACCACTGTGTGCCAGGGTGTGGACCCACAAAGGCAGGGGCTCTAGGGGGGTGGGCAGCAAGGAGCCCGTGTAGCCTTGCAGAGGATTTGTGTAGCAAATGATGGTAGGCACGTGGGGCCAGACTGAGGAAATGGACTTTGTGCTATAGGTGACGGGGGCTATGGAGGGTATTTAAGCAGGGCAGTCTTGGGATGGAGTGGAGGTGGAGAGCTTGGAATGTTCCTGCACCCTGGCCATGAATGAGGAGGGGGTCTACTGGACTGGGTAGTGGGGAGGCACCAGCCAAACAATGGGCTGCCAAGGCCAAGGACAGCTCCCAACACACCCCATGTCCCCACCATCACCTAAGATGCTGGTGACGTTGCCTTCTAACAGTATGTTGGTGATGATCTCGGGCACCACCTGCTGGTGCAGGGTCATGGCCACACATGAGGACTTGAATGAGCCACTCACAAAGGTCATACGAACCACAGCCCTGGCAGAGGAGCAGGGAGAGCCAGCTGCACCAGCTGCCTCCCCCATGGTGTCCCATGCATTGCCCCTCTGCCTTGGGCTGAAGGCTGCTTGTCAGTGGACGAGCCCTGGACACTGGCCTTCCCTTTCAGATCTGCTTGGCCAAATCTCTTCTGATGTGCTATGTGTCCAGCCAGTGCCCTGGCAATCCCACTTCCAAGGACCTTCCCTGCTAAGGCTCAGGGCCCCAGAGGAGTCCTGATCCTTGGGCTTTTGCCTTCTGGGCCCCTTCACGGAGACATAGCATCAGATTTGATGACTATGCTGGTTTAGAGGTCAATACAACCCATGCAGGGTTCACCTTTTCCTTCTGATTTTGAATTAGAATGGACATTTTTTTCCTGGAGCCTGAGAAATACCAAGGGTCCTGGGGCTGAACCACCTGTGCCTGCTGGAGCCAGGCCCACTGTGCCAGTGTGCAGAGATGTGCACTCCAGGTGGCTGGCTGCCAAGTGGTTTGGGACAGCCACAATGCTGGGAAAAACCCAGTTATGCAGGGGGAAATAGGGTGGAGCCAGCAGCCACGTCTGTGTCGGGTGGAGAGATGCTGAACGAGCCTGCTAGGTTGAAATAAAACCCAACCCTGAGCTCACTTGATTGTTATTCGATCCAAGGGGTTGATCTGCAACATTAAGGGCAGGAGGGAAGAGAAGGTTTCTACATCTGGGATGTGTTTCTCCTCCATGGTCTTCAGGATGGCTTTCAGGCTGCCAGAGTTCTGGCGGAGGGACTTCCGCAGGTACATGGCTTCTGTAGCCTACCAGAAGAGAGGACACAGAGTTTCTGCAACTAAGTGAAAGCCAGAGTAAGACCACAGGCAGAGGCCACAGGAGCCTTGGAGCTCCTCCATGAAGAAGAAACGGAGGTTCAGAGAAGCAAGAGAGCCATCTCATTGAGTGGAGAGGCAGGCAGGGGACCATATGCCTTGTCCATTTCTGCCCAGAGGCCCTTATCTGGACCCAGCTGACAAAAACGCTCTTCGTGCCCATTAACAGAAGCAAGTGCCCAAGGTCACCCAGTGCCAGGGAAGCACTGGAGCCCAGACCCTTCAACACAGCACACAGCCTGGAGCAGAAGGGCCCTCACTCCCCTGGAGTCCCTGTAGGAAGGGAGCAGCAAGGTGCTCTCAAGCTGAACTGGGCCATCTGGGAGATAGTGGGGATGCTGAGGCCCAGCCAGCCACCTGTGCTCTCTGGATTCCCTGTGACTGGTGATGGACCTAGGTGGCCAGTGGTATGTCCTTGTTCTCAGGGTGCAGTAGACACTGGACTTCTCTTTAGTGTGTAGATACGATGTGGCAAGGCTCAGCTCCCCAGCCTCCCTAAGTCAGGGTGGCCAAGGGGCCATACAAGGTGCCCTGGCCCTTCCTTGCCCCTCCTTCCTGTCCGCAGGCAGGCCTAGCACAGATGAGAGCAGGAGCCACACGCTAGGACTTGCAGAACAGAGAAGCGCCACGCACGTGCAAGCTTGTGTGACACACAGCCCCGAGTGTTCCTGCCCAGTCTCCTGAGCTGCAGCCACAGGCACCCCCAACTCTAGGGTGCCTGGACCAGGGTTTCCTTGCTGCCAGGGGCAGGGCTGAGGGCCCACAGCCTGTCTCCTCTCAAGGGCTCCCTGTGCCTGCATGGAGCAGAGTGTGGGTGCTGACGGAAAGCAGGGCGAGGGCCCGCCTCTCCCTGGAAGGCAGCTTACATTCAGGAAGGAGCAGCTGGCCATGTCGAGCATGATGCAGCCCAGGGACCAGACGTCAGACATCTGGCTGAAGGTGAAGTCCAGGGCTTCAGGGGCCATCCAGGACTTTTGAAAGGGGTCTGTCGGCAGGAACAAGGCAGGGATCCACTGAGTCCTATGTCCCCTGAAGGGCAGAAGAGCAGAGCCACCCTGCCCAACACTGTCTCCTTTTTGGTTTCCACTTGCAAGCAGCTAGAAATATGAGCCCTTCAGTGGCCCTTCTTGGGTGAAGCAAGAAGTATAGCTGTGGGCAGTGAGGGGTCCTTCCTTGCTCAGTTAGACCTTCACCTTGACCTTGAACCAGGGAAGCCATCCATACTGACGGAAGCCATCCATACTGACAGGTGTCTGGCAGGCTGGCCCACCTGTGGGCATGTCTGTGCCCACAACCGCTGTAGAGGAGCTGCCAAGCATATGCCAAGCAACTAGGATGTATACCTCTTTCAACATCCTTCCCTCCACACGTCAGGACCCTGGGGCAGAGTCCCAGTGGCCCTGCCCTAGGTTCTCAACCTGAACCCCAGAGGAGACAAAAGAGCAGGGTCCTCAGGCTGGTTTGTCGGCCTCCAGCAGCCCTTCCTTCTCTGCACCCCATTTCCCAGCCACACAACAAAGGTCTGGACTCTAAAACCCACGCCAGGATCACCTCCCACCAGTCCACCCCTCCACACGCTCACCTCCATCATCCGTCCATCATCCGTCCACCCAATCCAAGGGCAGAGTGACACCAACCACTGCCACCCAGGACTCGGGTTCTGCACGTGCTGTTACAGGCTTGAGGCCTGCCTCCCTTCACACTGTTCCCCTTTTGAATGAAGAGAACTTGCTCCCTGCAGCCCTCCACTATCTCCTGGGCCATCTGAGGACAGCGCTTGAGTCAGCAGGCCCTCCCCACTCCCCATTCTAATCTTCCTTTGGGGGCTTTCTCCCCGACAAGGTTTACGTTTTCAGGGGTACCCAGGTGACTGCTCTTTCCTTGGGGCTGTTTTCTCCAATGGCCCTGTCTTTTGACCTTGTGTCCGTTCCCCATGAGGGACTCTTGCTCAGGCACAACCAGCCAAAGGGAGCTCTGTGGGGACCTTCTAAGCAACGAGCTCAGCACTGCCTTTCTCGCTGCCCATCCCTGCCTGTCTCCAGCCACCCTCTCCTGCCTCCTGGGAGGACCCCAACCACCTTCCTCCGCACGGACATTCCACTTGGCTCTGTGGGTCATCATTGCGTTGGAGCTCAGGTCCTGGAGTTTGCAGTGGTTTTTACTGACCAGGCTGATGTTAGAAGGCTTGAGATTCCTGTGAACAAGAGATGGGGGTCTGGCGCTTCTGGGCTGCCAGGGGACCTTCCCCTGGGACAGCACCTGCCCTGAGCCTAAGTGTCCCACCCACCCCCCCCACTAGAAAATTCCTTCTCCTCCTGCTTGGCAAATGATTATTTCTCATTCACATAAGATCTTATCAGTTGTTTTAAATTGGGGGAGAGCCCTAGTACAATGGGCACACCCAGCTATAGAGGCCCCAGTTAACCTGGTGTCCCTTCCCACAGGTCCTGGCTCCCACTGGTCTGAGAACTGATTGTCCACCATTCTGTAAGACCCACAGTGAGGCCTCACTCGTGTTTACTTCATACGCACAGCCCATGTGCTTCTCTCCCCAGCCCCTCCCACAGGGGCCTTGGAGCCTGAAGCCGTACCACTGGCAGCTTGAAGGCTGGACCTATGGTGCAGCAGCCCATGCTGGCCATCCAGAGGCTATGCCATGACAGGCAGCCTCACCCGTCCTCCAGGTGTCTTATCTGCTTCTTCTGTTGCACTTTAGAGCCACCCTGCCCAGGCCATAGCATATCATGCAGCTGTGCATTGTGGGGTGAGTCACTCAAGGCGGCAGGGAAGGGCCCTGCTCCCCTCCCTCAGCCAGGGAAGGTGCCATCCTACTGGGTCCAGATCTTGCCCAAGGGTGCTGGTACCCGGGCAGCTGGCCACCCCTAGGAAGAGGACTGTCACCTGTGGATGATGCTCAGCTGGTGCAAGTACTCCAGAGCGTCCAACATCTGACCCAGGATCTCCTGCATCCACTGGGGAAAAAGCAAGAGATGCCAGCAAGGGGAGGGGCCTGGAACTTCCTGAGTGGGATTCCATGCAGCTACTGTTAGGCAGGCGCCAGCTCAGCAGTCAGCAGGACAGGGGCACACTGCAGACCCCAGTGCCCAGGGGCTTTGACCCTATGCCCTGCCTCCAGCAGCCACCTGTGGCCCGTTGCCCCACGCCTGCTCGAGCTCTTGGCATGCGGCCCTTGTGGGTATCTGACATGTTAAAGCCTGCAATGCCTGCTTGGGCCTTGCCCCTTCATGTTCCATTAGAGTGAAAAGAGCCCTGAAAGAGAACATTCTAGAAGCATTCTGTGTAAGAAACAAGCTGCATCTAGTGTCCAGGGCAGTGATTTTTCAAACTGTGTTCCTAGGACCCCTGGCTTCCACACTGGTGCCTTAGGCCACCCCAGGGTGTCAGGGGCTGGGCTGCAGGGCCCTAGCTTCCTCCTAGCCCTGGAAGAGCGGCAACATCTATGTTCCAAAGGGCCCCACTGCACACACGTACAAAGCCACCATGGAGTCTGCCTCAGAGGCCAGGTCACCAGAGGAGCTGGGTACCCCTGAGCCCCGTGGAGAGATGGCACCAAGCAGAGGAGTACTTTGAGGAAAGCAGAATGCATCTAGGCTGGCCCAGACCCAAAGGTGAAAGTGAGAAGTGACCAAGCTTCGAGAAGGAAACAGGAGGTGGGAGGAAGGCTGCCTAAGCCAGGGCTCAAGAGACACTGGCCAGAAGGGATGACACTGATGCACCAGACTTCATTATGATGAGGACCTTTGCTGGCCGCAAGACACTGCTAAGAAGGGGAACTGGCAAGCCATGGACTGGGAGGAGATCTCTGGATACCCTGTCCAGATTAAAAAATAAACAAACTACAAATCATTAGGAAAAAGACCCTGTAAGTGTTGAAATGAGCAAAAGTACTTGAAGAGATTCCATGCCCAGACTGTCCTCACCACAATCACTCTGCAGGCCAGCCATAATGGAAACTCACTCCCAGCCTCCACAGCAACCCCGAGCCGACTGGAACCTCGCGGTGCAGTAGAGCAGCCTCACCCTGGGAACCACCTGCACCACCCTCCCAGGGCCCACACCAGCTTTTCAGACAATTCCACTCCTCCACAGCAGCCTGACTTAAAATGGCCCAAGCCAGAAGCCACCAAAGACCCATCACTGCTTCAAAGGTGACCAGAGGAGCACCGGAGGGCGCAGAGGGATCTGGTAGGCCCGAGGAGGAGGGATGAGCAAGGTTGGCTCCCCAGCCAAGCCCTTTGGAGTGAACTTCAGGAGTTGCATGATGACAGTCTCCGGAGGCAGGTGGTGGCTGTGGACCTCTGGTTTTGGGAACAGCTCTGGCCTCCTCTGGAGGCTAGAGGCAGGTGTGTGTAAAGTGTCAAGATGTGGACTTGAGGGGCTGGGGATGTGGCTCAAGCGGCAGCGCACTCGCGTGGCATGTGTGCGGCCCGGGTTCGATCCTCAGCACCACATACAAACAAAGATGTTGTGTCTGCTGAAAGCTAAAAAATAAATATTAAAAATTCTCTCTCTCTCTCTAAGAAAAAAAAATTGTGGACTTGAGGTGGACTTAACGCACCCCTCACATGCTGGGCAATTACCCTCCCCTCTGCCTAGGCTGCCCCATGGGGCCGCAGGCCCCGGGCTGGGTCTGTGTTACCTTTGGATCCATCTCTGTCTTCTCTTCCCTCTTACTCTGAATGACCATCTGGAGGCTACCCTGGCTGTACTCCATCACCAGACAGAGGGACAGAGAGGAGACCTGTGGGGACCAAGGCCCTTCACCGGCTGCCCCAGCCAGGCCCAGATACTCTGTGGCGTCACTGCTTTGGTCACACTGCTGGCTGGAGGCCCTGCCTCTTGTCTCCCCATTCCCAGGCACCGCCACCCCAGGTTCTATCTGCTCCCAGTTGCTTGGCCTTTCCCGACAGCTGCAGCCACTGGAAGTGGGGACCCCTCTGCTGGGATTACCTCACCCTTCACAGGTGGCAGCTTCCCTGGGTGTCAGCTGAGATGCACTTCCTCTGAGGAGCCTGTCTTGCTCCCTTCATAGTGACCTGTCTTCTTGGCTTTTTTGCCCCTTCCCTGACAGCGTCAGGGGGTACTTCACAATATGTGTGGGAGCATGCAGGGGGGCCTTTCCCCTGGCTTCCCCGGGCCTGGCTGCTGGGTAGGACCCCCTGGTCCAGTGGGACACTGACATGGATATGTGGAGAGGTGGCCAAGGCCTGCCAGCCTGGAATTTCTGGAAAGCTCCAGCTCCTTGAAGCGATAAGAAGTCATACCTGAAGGGACCCAGGGCATGGGCAAGAAACCTGGATTTGAACCCCACTCAACTCTTTACTAGCTGTGTGGCTTTGGGGAGCTCCATGACCTCTCTGAGCCCCATTAGGAAAATGAGGACAGTACTTCCAGCCCTGTGGATCTCCCAGGATGTGAGCAGACATGGAGCCAGTTAGTAAACTGTGCAGGACCTGTGGGAGTGAGGGGCCTGGGGGCCGGGATAACTGGGTGGCAAATGGCAGTGGGAGGCAGAGCAGCAGCTCCCTAGGACCAGCCTCTTCCCCCTGGAATGCAGGCTCCTGTCAGCCATGCAGACTTGCTCGGCTGGGGCTGCAGGTGGGGAGCTGGAGTGGGGCCACCAGGCTGGGTCCCCTGCTTGCCACATGTGAGCCAGGAAGCCTAAAGGAATGTGGCACTCGTTGGCAGCCCTCCTAGGAGGAGGTCCTTGAGGGCTCACCTGGAATTGCGCACAGTAAGCCCCCAGGTGGTTCCCACCCCCACAGCTGTTGAGTGGGGGCTGCCACACTCAGCCCGGCATTGCCTTGTGGGCGGGGCACGCTCAATGGGCTTGGTGCTGCAGCCCAGGTGCAGGTGCCACCTGACCCACCTCACTGTTCCACGTGATGAACAGCTCCTGGTACAGGGAGATGTGGGCGTGCTGAAGCTTTAGCAGAGGCCTGAGCTGTGGGGACGAGGGGGAGGAAACCGTGGTCAGGGAAGCACAGTGTGCAGCTGGTGCTCCTCTGTCACATATCCCAACAGAAAGGCAAGCTGCTGGCTCTGGCAAGGCAGGGGAGCCTTATGGCTAACTGCCGGAAGGTCTGGTATGAGGCCAGTCCCAGCATGCACTGCTGTGCTGTGTGACGGAGACAGACCGTCAGCATCTCTGAGCCTCATGTGTTCATCTGAAAACAGCAGTGGGCTGGGGTGTGGCTCAGTGGCAGAGTTCTTGTTTAGCATGCACATGGCCCTGAATTCCCTTCCCAGCTCTGCAAAAAATAAAACTGAAAATTAAAATGGTGGTTCCCGTGGAACCTGCCTCACGGGGAGGTGATGCAGGTCAAGTGATGGTGTGCAGGATATGTCACCTTTGGGGCTGACTGGGGCAGGTGAGCCCACCTGAAGTTCCCTTGACCCAGCAGAGTGCTTTGAAAACAAACCAAGGTGGGCATCAGGAACAATTAACCTGGAGAAAATGGGCTGATGGACTGCTCAGATGCTGGCCAGGCGTGAGCAGCTTGCTTGACGGCAGTGTAAGTGTTCCCCGCATCAGAACATGCCCAGGCCCACCCTGTGCTTCAGTCACACTGTGGACCCAAGAGGTGCCTAGCCAGCAAGGCACAGGGTGGGCAATTCCAGAAAGAGGACCAAACAGTGACCATAAGGGAGAAGATACATTTCACCCCATATAAAATTCTAGAAAGGCAAAGAAAAGCTACTCACAGCCTCTATTTATCAATTTGATAAATTGCCAATATTGTAAATCAGGCTGCTGCCACTGGTCCATTCCAGATGGTAGAATTAAGATGTTAGAATTACATTTTCATTATTAAATAATTCTGCATTTCCCAAAATTTGCACTGTAACTAATACTTCATAGTTGAAGGAAAAAAAAGTTTCTCTTTTACAGTGCTGGGGATGAACCCAGGGCCTCTCCAGTCAAGCACTCTGGACTGAACTGCACCTCAGCCCTAAACAAAATCATCTTTTTGAGAGATGGTTATTGGTGGATTAGCCTAGGGACTGAGCCAACAGTTAAGCTTCATCTCCTTTGGGAAGGTGTGTTCTAAATGGGCAGTTCCTGCATTTAGAAGTGGGTGTTTGGGGTATGGACTCCCTTTAGGACCTGGCCAAGAACTAATTATGACTTTCCTGCATCCTGTCACTCAACAAGGGGGTGCAGAACAGTCTCTATAAGTATGCTGCATCCTGTTCCTCTAGAGAGAACACTGTCCAGAGAGTCACCTCCTCCAGGGCCTCATTGGTATGATGCTCATCAAGGCATTCCACCTGGAGGGACACAGGGGCACCGGGTCAGTGAGCCTCTTCAACTACCATCACCCTCACTATGGCCTCACTCTCATCACTACTGCCATCCTCATCAACCCCTCCTCCATCACCTCCACTGCCATCCCCATCCCCAACCCTGTGACCTGCCCATCATCACCACCCCCATGACCCCACCCCCACCTCTGCCATCACCACGGACACCATGACCCCCCCATCATCCCACTCCCACCCCCACTATCAGTATCACTAAAACCTCCACCATCATCAGCACCACTGTCATCACCGTCACTACCACCCCACTATCCCAGCCCACCCCCACACATGACTGTCATCACTGCCGTGACCCCCCATCACCCCACCATATGCACGGTGATGATCACGGCCACCACTGCCATCATGAGTAGGATAGTCAGCCAGAATACTCTGAAAGTCTTGAAAAAGCCCAGAAATCCCTCTCCTGGAGCTCTTCCCTGAGGGGACCACGATGCTCAAGAAAAAAACATTAGTGAGGATGTCCATCAGCCCTATTTATACCAGTGAGGGACTGAGAATGGGCAGACCACTCGTCCCACATGAGGTGACAGTTGGGTCAACCACAGCACATCAAGCAAGAGAGGTGGCCACACGGCCACCAGATCAGGAGAGGAGGAAGCTGTGGTGCTGAAATGGGGCAGTTTCCGCAATCTATTAGGTGGACAAAGGATACCATCAGCTTCAGCAATATACCACTCTTACAAAAACAAAGTTTATAAATGCTTAGGAAAAAGACTAGAGGAACACACACACTCCCTCCCATATATTCCCCTCTCTCTCTCTCTCGATATATATATATGGAAAAAATGCCTTATTTGCTAATTATTTATAGATTGATTTGCAGTACTGGGGGCAGAACCCAGGCGTGATGCACGCTAGGCAAGTGCTCTACCCCTGAGCCACATCCCTAGCCCACTGGCTGGGCTTTTAAAAAGGTCTCCTGGCTCATTGATCTGTGAGATGAGAGGGCTGACCCCTGGGCCAGCCAGCAACAGAACAGGAGGTGGACAACGACTCCAGGACCAGCTACCTAGGGATGAGGCTGCTTGCTGGGTTGCATAGACACAGGCCTGGCGGATCTGCGGCTGCTAATGAGGTTCCTTTATCTACAAGGTTAGTTCCTGCTCCCCCGTGTACCTGTCCCCACTTGAGAGAGAAGGGTGTGCCAGCCACTCTTATAGCAGCTCTCTTCCCCTGGACCTTCTGTTGAGCACAGGAAGGGATGCACCTCCACCCTGCTGCCTTAGCCCTGGTGAATAGATTCCAGGTCCTGTCCTTAGCCTTGTGTGACCCTGGGCTAGTCCCTGCTCTCTGAGTCTGGTTCCCTTTTGGTAAGACTGGCAAACTGTAAAGAGTAGCATTGTGCCCACAGAAGTCAAATCCTCATGGATCCTGTGTGATCTGATTAGGATGGGATGGCCCCAAGCCAATCTCTGTAAAATGGGGTCACGGTTCCTGTTTGACAGGATCAGGGATATTCAGTGGATTGATGCCTGGCACCCAGTATGGATGAGTGAATGGTAGATGTAGGTGGTGGAGTAAAAATCAGCATTTCTTTCCTGTCAAGGTAGAGGGCAGAGGCTCCAAGTCTGGGGAGCCCCATGCCACCCCCCACATCTTCCCCAGCTAGGTTTGCTGCCTGCTGCCAACAGGGGTCCTGGAAGCCTCCTCTGAGGGATGATGTGCTCTTCCTGGTTCATTGGGCTCTGCTTCTTACCTGCTTTATCACGAGCTTGGCTTCAGTGGCCAGTTCCTCCACCACCAGGTTCACCCCTAAGGCCCCAGGACTCAGCTGGTACAAAATCTAGCAGCAAGGGAGAGAAACTTTGAAGAGGAAACCACCTTGCACTTCCCAGTACAAACCCAACTCCCCTACCTTGGCTGGTGCTTCCCACAGCCCCTGGGGGCTGGCACCATCTCCTCCTATTTTGCAATAGAGGATATGGCCCAGGGAGTCTATTTCTCTCTCTCCAAGGCCAATTTTGAAGTTTCTATGACTCCATACTCCTTCTCCAACCTATAGGGAGGGCCTTTGGGAGTCTAAGAGCAAGAACTGATCTGGGGCAGGGGGCTTATTCACTCTTTTTTTTTTTTTTGAGTTTGTGAGAGAGGGGGGGGGAGAGAATTTTTAATATTTATTTATTTATTTTTTTGTTTTCGGCAGACACAACATCTTTGTATGTGGTGCTGAGGATCGAACCCGGGCCGCACGCACGCCAGGTGAGCGCACTACCGCTTGAGCCACATCCCCAGCCCCAGCTTATTCACTCTTTTAGGCCCCCATGACCCCAACTTCCAGCATCTATCTCCAAACTGAGCATCTAAAGAAGGCAACTTGTCCCTGTGACTGGTACTATCAGTCATGGCCATCCCAGGGTTATGTGGATACTTCTTAACCACCCTAGTGGGAATGGAAAGCAGGACTCAGAAGAGGTGATGTAGGATGAGACACTGAATCAGATTTTGGGGTGTAAAGTCAGGATTCTGTAATCCAGCCTCTGTGTGGCCTGGACTCTGCTCAGGGAATAATGTTCCAAGAAGCATAAATCAACAGGGTCAGAGGTCAGGTGCAAGAATTCTCAGTAAAATACAGTGCATTAGACAGTAAAATACACCCACATCTCAATCAAGACTTCTTCCCCCCCCTGAAAAGTAACCTTAAAAATTCTCTGACCACTAAAAATGCTTATGCTTTACCCCGGGTAGTTCCCCCTCATAAACAGAATCTCCCAACAGTAGGAAAATCTAACTGTAAGTGATTTTCAAATTAGTGAAATTTTTACAAATACTGAATCTAATATTTAATGAAAATGATATGGTAAGTATAGAAGCATTTAATTAAATGTCCATTAACGGCTTTCCTCTGTTTTGAAACTGCTCTGGTATGGTTCATTTGAGCAGACCTAGGCTGAGGGGTGTTTTTTAGCAGACTTAGACGGGGCTCCTGCCGTGTGCTGTGGGCTTGCTTTTGCCTCTAGAGGCCCCCATGGCTAGGAGGTCGGAGGAGCTACCCACAACCTCAAAAGGTCAGTGCTGGAAGCCCTTACTGTTCATCATTTTAAAGGGGGACAGAGACCCAGAGAGGTTGTGGCCTTCTAGCTGGAGGCTGACCCTACTGGGACATGGGCTCCGCCTCCCTAGGCGGACCTGGTGCTGGGTGGGCTGTGACCGTTGCCCCGCGGCGCGCAGACCTTGGGCTCGGGCAGCCTGTCCCCGCAAAGGGGACATCACGGCACCTGGTATTTTTCCATGGTAGCTCGAGCAGAAGAACTTCGGCTCACTCTCCCTCCGGAGGCCACTGTATGTCCTCGCCTGGAGCCGGAGCGGGCGGCCGGACCCTGGACTGAGCGTGCTCTGCAGTGTTGGCTCCGGTGCCCATCCCCCCCCCCGCACCTCGTGCCCTCGCCCAGGGGCGACCCTCAACCGGGGTGTGTCTGCCTGACTCTGGACAAACGAGCGTCCCCCACCCGCGCGCCCTCGGCTACCGGTGCCTTAAAGGAGCTGAGGCCCAGAGAGCGGGGCGGGGCCTCGAGCATGAGGGCGGATCCAGAGAGAGGTGGGTGGAGGCTGTGGACGGTGAGCTTGATCGGGGCAAGGGGCGGGGCCTCGAGCTTAGAGGGCGAGGAGGCAGTGGTAGGCGGGAGAGGCGAGAGAGAGGGGGCGGGGCCTGGGGCCTGAAGGGCAGTGGGCGGTGCACTAAATGGGGGAAGCCTCAAGCGCGGTGGGGGGAGATGCGGACGGAGGGCGGGGCCTGGAGAATGACGAGAGAGTGACAGCGAGTGATGGACGGGGTCTTCAGGGTGTAGGAGGGCTAGCGGAGGGCGCGACCTCGAAAAGCGGGGCGGGGCAGTAGTTCATGGTGGGCGGGACCTCGAATGAGAAGGACGGGGCGGTGGCGCGCGGCGGGTGGTGCCTGTGGAGCGCCAGGAGGGACATGGAGCGCGAGAGGCGGAGCCAGAGCGTGAGGGCGCGCGGTGGGTGGGGCGGACGGCGAGGGCGCGCGGCGGGCGGGGCGCGGAGGCGGGGCGGCGGCGCGCACGCGGCCCCTTTAAGGCTTGGCCTACGTGGCAGCCGCTGGAGCCGCGCCGCGCAGCGAGGCCGGCCGCCGGGCACTTCCTGTGGAGGCCGCAGCGGGCCGAGCGCGAGCGCCGAGCAGCAGCCAGCCGAGCCTGCCGCCGCCATGGGCCAGAACGACCTGATGGGCACGGCCGAGGACTTCGCCGACCAGGTGCGGCCCGCCGCCCCGCGGCCCCGGCCCCGCCGCCGCCTCCCTCCCCGCCCGGCGCGGCCCGGCCTCCCCGCCGCCCAGCGCCCGGGGCCCGACCCGAGGGGGCGCGGGCGGCGGCCCCGGGCGGCGAGGCGGCCCCCACGGCGCCTCGGCGGGCGTCCCGGCGATGGGCCGGGCGAACCCCGGGAGAGCCGCGCCCCGCCCGGCGTGGTGCCCTCGGGCTGCTGCCCGCGCCCTCGCCGCCGCGGACTCTGCCCCGGCCCGGGGGCGGGCGGGCGGCGAGTGCGGGGCGTCCGAGGCCCAAAGCCTGCGCGGCGGGCGCGTCCCGGGAGGAGCGTCCCGTTAGGTCCGGCCGGCGGCGTGGGCAGCCCGGCGAGCCCGCGCGGCGCTGTCGGCGGCGGGCCGGGGGCGCGGGCCGGTGTCCGAGGGCCGGGGTGTGCCGGCGGCGGGCGCGTGAGCTGGCGCGTCCCCAACGGCGGCGCTTCCCCGGCGCCCCCGGCCCGGCCCGTGGAGCCGCTTCCCCGGGAGCTGGTCTGGAACCGCGGTGGGGGTGGGTGTAGCCACTCCAAGTACCTTCTCCCTGGTCGTGGTTTTGTGTTTAGAGACCCAGGTTAAAAATTGTGACCGTTACAAAACCAATTCAAACAAACTTCTCAAGAATGAAGTAGGCATTTTCACTTGTCAGTCTGCATTGACATGCTTTTTAGTGACCCAGTTTTGCTTCCTTAAGTAACAACTCTCTAAGAAGATGGCTCCTTTAGCCCAGGAAATACGACAGCTCCATACTCGCTCTTAGGCTGGAAAACCCTGGGTTTTGCAAGTGAATTTCATAACCAAACCCAGATAAAATGCCTCCAGTCGAGCTGCTGCCAACTACCAAATGACAAATTTCCCACTAAAGAAAAGCTCAAATTTCTTTTGTAGTCCTCTCTCTTTTTTCTCTATGCATTTTATTTTGCTTTAAGTGAAGGAAGCTGAATCTTGGGACTGGAAAGGCTCTCGTTGGGTGCACCCGGTCCATCTCCTCTAAGTTGCCAAGGAGAAGGCCAGGCCTGCTCAGGCTCCAGGACTTGCCAGTAATCACAGCCCAAGAACAAAACCCAGGTTTCCAGCCCCTAGGCAGTATGCTTACAGGCCCGGGAGTTATCTTCTGGCACACATCAGGGGAAGACATAGCCCAATAAAAAAACCTGCTGCTTAAGAAGAATCCCAAGTGCAGAAAGCCTCCCACAGTCAGCCATTGGCATTGGAGTCTTCTGGGTCGTGATGGGAGATGTTGAAGCGCCTGTGTGGCTACCAGCCGGTGTACTGGTGTACTCCTGCCCACCTGAACCAGGGTCAGGATACTCTGTGCTACAGGCAGGGAAGGGGGTACAAAGCCATGAAGATGGCTTCCTATTGCCAAAATTTGACAGAGGGCAGGTGTGTGCAGGAAGGGGGCTGTGTTTTGAATATTCATCTGTAATAGTTAAAATAAAGCTGACAATAAGGAAGGTGCTGAGACCCCAGGCTTCTAAATGAGAAGTATCTAATTTGTAGACGGTAAGGAAGTCTCACTGAGGTCACTGTTAGGTATTGTAGGTACTTCTCTAGTCTAACCTTGTCTTCAGAAAACAAAAGCAAAACTGAAGAGATGGGATTTGCCCAGGAAGTCTGGGGCTGCTGAGATTGAGACCTTGATAATGGTAATGCTGAGCCTTTAACTGGCCTCCATCCTCCCAGAAGGAGGTTTGTTGGAGTCTGCCCTGTTGTCATCCTATTACTCCAGGGCCAGCGTCCTTCTGGCTTGGTGGAACTGCCTCCTTCCTTCTGGTCTGTAGAGGCCTGTCTGGGAGAAATGCGCTGCTTGATCTGGGCTGGCAACTTGTGAAAGCTGCATCATCAGGCTCCTTGCCCTTGGCAGCCAGGGACAGTGTCCCCTTGCTCCCAGGAAGCCAGGCTCTGGAGAAAGTGCTGAGACGGGCTCTGTGAGCGAGCTGGGCATTTGAAAGCCCAGGTCAGAAGGGACCAGAAATTCGTGAACTCAGCAATCCAAAATAATGTCCATGCACTGCAGCCACTCCTCACTGCCTTCTGGACAGGTGACAGTGTTGCTTCTGAGCACTTGTACAACAGCCACCAGAACATTAGCACTTAATGGGTTCTGCCTGATGGCCGTTACCTGGGTGACAGGAAAGTTACAAGGGGGCCTACCATCCATTGTGGCCTTTGGTGTTCCTTAAGGGTGTCAAGAGCTAATCCTGGGAGCTAGGAGGTGGCCTGGGCCTTTGTTGAAGTGAGGGGTGCCTGGACCCCACACGTAGCATTAGTTGGCCTGTGATAACATTGTGTCTGTGGCAATCTTGGGTGGGTAGGTCCTGGTGGTAGTGGTGGCTCTCTCAGCATTGCCCTTCTGTTCTTGTGCTCCATCATTCCCTCTATACTGAAGCTGGGAAACTGGCTCACTTTCCTGCTTGCTGTTTGTAGTGGGGGTGAGGGAGGGGTGGGGGTGGCAGGGGCTACTTCTTACCACACAGGTAAGCACAGGTTTTCAGTGAAGGCAAACAGGTGGGCCCTTGGCACTACATTGAGATACAGTGGGAAGCTTCAGAACGACTCACTGGGACATTTACTGGGCAGACCCGCTTGCAGGCCAGAGCTGGCTCAGCCTGATGCAGGGACAGTCATTGAGCCATGAGCCCTCGTTTCTGGGGATGCATGGGCTTGTGGTTCCTGGGAAGGGGCCCCATGCATGGTGATCAAGAAAATCTGATCTGCCTTTCCCTCATTTCTCATGAATAAGGACTGGGGGCTGCTATCCTCAGTCCCTTTCTGTTCTGAACATGAAGTAGGGTTGATGTCTGTGTGATCATGATCCCTGTGTTCCCCAGGTCCTGTTGCAGATGGAGCACGATTATATTCCTAAGCCCCCTGCGAGTCCTCTCAAACAGTTACCCTGCAGACAGACCTCAGCTTCCTTCTTTTGTTTTTGTAGTACTGGGGATTGAACCCAGGGGTGCTTACCACTGAGCTATATCCCCAGCCATTTAAAAAAACTTATTTTGAAACAGGGTTTTGCTGAGTTGCTATCAAACTTGCCATCCTCCTTCCTCAGTCTTCTGCATGGGGAGGCCTGTGCCACTGTGCCCAGCTAAGCTTATTTTTTAAGTCTCGGCATGCTGCTGCCACCTGGGAGCCCCAACCTGCTTGACTGAGGGACTTTCATGGAAGCCTGCCCGTCATGGTAGGCTGACCATCCTCTGCTCTTCCTGCAGGTTGCCTGCTCAGGGTTCCTTGTTGGCTCTCCTGCCCTGGTTCTGTGCTGAGGCTCCAGCCGTGGGCTTTGTGGGCTTGCAGTTCTCTCATCAGCTTGGGCCTTGACAGGTGTGTGGGATGCCGTGGTGACAGCAGCTCTCGTCCTGCTGTGCCATCCTGCCCGAGTCAGGGTTCCTCTCTGCTGTACTGAAGGGTGGTGGACTCCATGCTTTCTAGAGCAGCACAACAGGGGCTCAGGGACCAGCCTGAATGGCTGTGGTCCACAGGCATGTAAGGTAGGGTCTGCCTCAGCCTTTCTTCCATACTCAGATGTGCCCACCCTCCTGGGAACAAAAGTCAGACCAGCTTGCCCTGAGCCCATCAGCAGCCAGGCATAGCTCAGTGCACCACCTGGGCGTTGCATTTTCTCCCCAAAGCAAAGCACTGTGGTGAGGCACGACCTGCCCCCCCAATTTTCGCTCTTCTGCTCTTTAATCCTCTTGAACCAGACACTTCAATTAAGAGCAGCAGACACATCAGGAGGTTTTAAGCACAGCCTCAGTCTCAGGCTCAGTGCTGGTGGCAAATAAGCAGCTCTGTGAAGATCCTTGAGCCTGGGGAGGGTCTGACCACAGCCATGGGCAGGCAGGTCTATTCATCTCTGGAGGGTGCAGGCCCAGGTAATCATGCTTAGGGGCAGCTGGCCACTCATTTGGAAGCAAGTTCAGACACCTCTATGGTCTGCCTCCCAGGTCTTGGGGCTGCACATCCCCCTCAGTCCTGTTAACATCTACCCTGCCTCTTCAAGTGCTTCTTTCCTGGTAGTTGCTTTTCCCCAGGTATAGATGAGGTGCAGACCCCTGTCATTTCCAGGGCCATTCAGTGGTGCCACAATGTAAAGGTCACTCCTCAGCAATGCTAAGTTGGGAACCACAGTGATGGTCTCCATCGTTTCCACAGAGTGTGGGTGATCACACTGTGGCTGTGTGTTTTGTGAGCGTTAGGGCCACAGGGCAGAAGCTAGGAGGATGTGTATGGCTTATGCTGTCTTGAACATCTGGTGGGAGATAGTGTGTTGCCATTCTTCGAGGGCCCTAAAACTTGGCTAGGTGTATTTGGGATCTCTTTTTTCCTTTTATTTATTTTTGGGATGGGGTCTTGCTATGTTGTTCAGGCTGGTGTCAAGTGATCCTCCTGCCTCAGACTCCCCAGTAGCTGGGATTGCAGGCCCAAGCCTGGCTATATTTTTGGTTTTGTTTTTAAACATGGCCTTCTCCTTTTTTCTGTATAGATTTTTAGACTAAGTTGGAAGAATCTTAGTAGCCACACTTTGTGCAAGTGCAAGGGGAGTAGAGATCATCCCCCCACCAAAGTAATTTGGCCAGCGTGCCTGGAGCAGTGGCTGAGTCCCCCAATCTGCCCTGGTCATTTGTCAGGACAGGATTAGAGAATGGGGTCTACCTGTACTGCATCTCCCAAACCTGCTTGGCTGCTGTCTCTGGGTATCTGTCACTGAGATTTCTGCTATCTCTTCATGGGCTGAGCAGGCTAGCTCAGATCCACATCCCGGGCTCAGGCTCAGTCCATCTGGGGAGAACTGCCACCTGTGCCAACAACCCCCCATATCCCCTGCCCCAAGCCAGGGTGTCCCCTCTTGGGCTGAAGGTTGCTCCAAGAACCCAGGTACTCCACAGTCCAGATGGCAGCTTTAGCGGCATTTTAGGCTTTGAAGCAACTTTAAAAATGCCAAAAAATGGGCTGTGGTTGTGGTTCAGTGATAGAGCACTTGCCTAGCATGTGTGAAGCACTAGGTTAAGTCCTCAGCTCCACATAAAAATAAATAAATAAAATAAAGGTATTGTGTCCATCTATACTAGAAAACTATTTTAAAAACTGCTGAGAATTCTTGAGCACTCTTATGTGCATCCTCATTATTCCAGCAATAGGCGTAGTCAGCCCTAAGAGGGCCTGTGCAGCCAGCACTCCCTCAGCTGCCCCTGGAGGGGTCAGACTCTGCCCTTTAGACTCTTTGTACACATCACTCCTATGGGTGAGTCCCCTGATCTTTCTCCTGACACCTGCCATGTTATCATTGGATTTCTTTTCATCTTGTGCCTCAGCTTTGAAGGGCAGTAAGAGAAAAGTGCATGGCATATACCTGCATGACATTTGCACCTGGCTTGCAAAGGGCATACTGGCCTCTGGCTCCAGCCATCATGAGTGACTTTGCTCACAAGGGACAGAAGGAAGCTTTGTGTTTCCTTTGATATTTGCCAGTGATCTTACACACTTGTATTTCAATTTTGTCCAGACAGTTGTCAATCTCATTTAGACTGTGTTGAGTTTGCTTTGGGTTACACAGGCTTAAAAAAAACCTTCCAGCTCAGATAGTTGAGTGAGTGGCTCTCCACCAGCCTCAGCAGCCCTGGTCCTGCTCACAGTTGTTGTCCACATGCTCCTGGTCCTGAACTCTGTGGAGGGAGCTTTTTGGGTGGGGAAGGCCAGCCTTCCCTGTAACCACGAACAGTGCTGTCCCTGTGTGGCCTTCCTCTTGCTGGTTTCGCTATAGATATTGGAGCTATGGTCTGGCTGATTGTGTGGCTTCCAGGCCTGGGACCGTGGCTGTCTCCTCAGTGGACCCTTGTCCTTTCTGAAGGGACTCTGAGCATCAATAGGGAGGCTGGGGGCTGGGGATGTGGCTCAAACGGTAGCGCGCTCGCCTAGCATGCGTGCGGCCCGGGTTCGATCCTCAGCACCACATACAAAGATGTTATGTCCGCCAATAACTAAAAAATAAACATTAAAAAAAAAAAATAGGGAGGCTGGCAAGCCCAGGCCTTAGCACTTGGCTGAGTGTCACAAGTCCCAGCATTGCAGTGTGAGTCCACATGGCTCTAGGAAACCCTTTTCCCCTCTGGGTTTCAATTTGCTTATCTGTAACATGAGGGGCTGGACATGAGGCAGGCAGTAAAGAGGGCATTTTAGTGTACCAGTCAGGGGTGCTGCCAATGGCATATAGCAGAGGGAAGTCAGGGATTCTGTGCTGCTCAAGTTCACGAAGTGCCCTGGACAGCTCTGAGGGTCCAGGAAGCCCTCAGGGCCTTTTTAGATGTTCTTTGACTCCCTTTTTAATGCCCTTGACTGGGCATGGAAGCAATGCTTCTTATGGATATCCCTCTGTTAATAAGAGTTGCCACCTGAATGTGGCTGTGGAAGAGATAAGGAGAGTCATAGTAGAAGAGTGCTGGGGACCTTGACCCATGGGTTCTTGCCCACATACCTGGTGTGGAGCCTTTCCTCTCTGAGATTAAGGCTTGTGGTCACGTGGATCTAGACTTATGAGGCATGCTTGGAGCAGTGGCCAAGTCCCCCAATCTGCCCTGAGAGGTACAGGGGCTGAGAGCTCTGCCTTGTACCATGTTGGCTGCTGTCCCTGACCTTCTGTTCACACACCCTGCCTCAGGAAGTGCCTGGCGGTGGCCTGGTGCTCCAGGCTACAGCCACTTCACCTGAAGGCCTCTGTGCCCACAGTTCCTGCGAGTCACCAAGCAGTACCTCCCTCACGTGGCCCGCCTCTGCCTGATCAGCACCTTCCTGGAGGATGGCATCCGCATGTGGTTCCAGTGGAGCGAGCAGCGTGACTACATCGACACTACCTGGGGCTGTGGCTACCTGCTGGCCTCATCCTTCGTGTTCCTCAACTTGCTGGGACAGTTGAGTGAGTGGCTCTGGAGGCTGTTCCCTCACTGATAGCACACCTGAAGCTTGTCGTGGCACTTGGGAGGTTGTGTAAACCCAGGGGCTCCAGCATAGGCCTGCCAGGTTTGGTTCTGTGAGTGTTGGGGTGGATGCTCTCTACTCAGTCCTAGACTCACCGCTTTGGGGCTTGCTAAAGGCATTGGACTCAGTCCCTGTTTGTTTTTAAGTGCCTCAAGCAGGAGGCACAGGAGACTAGGTGGCTGAGGCAGTCAAGGAAGCATCTAGGATGGATAGGAGGATCTAGGTCAGTACAGGAGGGCGCTGGGGTGGGGCCCCAGGTCTTCTTTCCGCTCTTGATGGACTGTCTTCTGGTGTCAGCCCTCACTCCTTGGCACATTATGGGCTCATTAAAGGACTTGTGCTTTCTAGCCCGTTTGAAGCTCTTCCACAGTAAAGATGTCAAGATCTGTCTCTGCAGGGTGGTGGCCACACTTGTGCTCCCAGCTACTCAGGAGGTTGAGGCAAGAGGATTACAAGTTTCAGGGCAGCCTGGGCAACATACCAAGGCCCTGTCTCAAAATAAAGGAAATAGGGCTGGGATGTAGGTCAGTGGTAGAGTGCTTACCTAGCATGTGTAACATCCCAGATTCAATCCCAGTACTGAGGAGGAGAAAGATAGATGTGTCTTTAATGGGACATTCATACTGGAAAACGTTCTCTGGTACAGCAAGGGATCCATATTCTAGGGGAATGATGTCCGTGAGTTTGGGCCTGGCTTGTCATCATTAACTCTCCCAGAAGTTGCTTTTGGCTTGGGGAGGTAGTTGAGCTGCAGCTGATCCAAAGTTTGGTGGGTACAGTGTACCATGACAGTGTCTCACCCAGGACCCAGCTGAGGTCCCCCTAAACCAACCTTACTGTTGTCTTTCCAGCTGGCTGTGTCTTGGTGTTGAGCAGGAACTTCGTGCAGTATGCCTGCTTTGGGCTCTTCGGAATCATAGCACTGCAGGTACATGGGGCATGTGACAGCGTCTCACTTGGGAACAGCTTTGGGCTCTTTAGAATCAGCACTACAGGTACATGGGGCACATAGCAGGGTCTTACTTGGGAATCAGTGCTGTAGGTACATGGGGTACGTGGCGGGATCTCACTTTTCTTTGCTCTGGTGGAACTGGTGTTGGATCCAGCATCCCTCCTTGTTAACCCTCATGTCTGGCTGCCCAGAGCTGCTTTTCTCTATGGGGAAGCGGTGGCATTGCCTCTTAAGGACCAGCTTAGGAGCACCTGGCTGCTAAGTGCCACAACAAGCTTCAGAGGCTGGTTCTTGGATTAGGTGTCAGCTCTGGGCACTGGGCTATCTTTTGCCACTTTTCTGAGTGTGCTGTGACAGGGATAGGGCACATGATTGGCAGCAGCTAGATGCTAACTGGTACTGATGTGACTCCTCAGCAGGAAAACCTGGTGTCCAGGGTGCAGTGCATCAAGAGGGGTGTTTCAGTCTAGACCAGGGGTTTCAGACATCATGGGCACAGCCCTGAAACTGAACAGGCCCAAGGGCCATGGTTTTTGAGAAACACTGACCTCCCCCCCCCCAAAAAAAAAAAAAAACCAAAAAACTGTTATACTTGACTATGCCCTTGGTGTCCTGAAGTAGTTTTGTGCCTTTTGTATTCTCGCTCTGATGGATAAGTTGCTGGGTGCTATTATTGAATCTATAGATATTTACAATGCTGACTGAAGTTTCTGTCTGCCTGTTCCCCACAGACGATCGCCTACAGCATTCTTTGGGACTTGAAGTTTTTGATGAGGTAGGTGCATGCTGGGTGCTAAGCTGGGTGTTCTCTGCTCATTTCTCCCACCTGTGTGCTGTGGGTGGGGGGTGAGCTTGTCTAGGTCTGCCCTGTGCTCCTAGAAGCAGATATTGTGGTAGCTGTTCAGAGCTTCCCTCAGCATGGCAAACAGAACCAGATCCTCTCACTCACTGCCATATTCACAGGCATGTGGACTGAAGGTCTGAAGGACACCTTGCAGGATGAGACCAGGGTTCCCAGGCCTGAGTTCCCAGCCTGTCCAGGCAGCCTTGCTGTTAGTTCCATTCCAGAGGCTGGTCCCATGCACTCAGGCCTGCCTGGCCTTGCTGTACAATCTCTGCCTGAAGGACGGGAAGAAAGAGCTTTGCTGTGCTCACATCAAGATCTCTCTTCCTCTGGTCTGGGAACAGATCAGATGCCAATGAGTGTCAGCTTTCAGCCAGCATTTCTGTTCCTCAGGAACCTGGCCCTGGGAGGAGGTTTGTTGCTGCTCTTAGCAGAGTCCCGTTCGGAAGGGAAGAGCATGTTTGCAGGTGTCCCCACCATGCGTGAGAGCTCTCCCAAGCAGTACATGCAGCTCGGAGGCAGGGTCTTGCTGGTCCTGATGTTCATGACCCTCCTTCACTTTGATGCCAGCTTCTTTTCTGTGAGTATCCAGCTGCTTGGAGGGCCTGCCCGGGTTGTGTGAGTGTAGTATGGGAAGACAAGAAGCAGATCTTGTGGTCCCATTCTGACAAATGAACCCATCCATCTCCTGTGTGTCAGGGAACTGCCTGGAAGATCCAGTCCAGGTCTCCTGACCTTGCTGGAGTGGACCAGTGCTTTCTCTGCAGGCTCTTCTGACTTCTCTTTCTCAAAGTTCACATTTTGCTGAGTATGGTTTGCATGTGGGGTGTCGGGGGCACAGCTGACTAGAAGGTACAGGTACAAGGAAGGGTGCTGGCACTATGGGAAGGGGACGGAGTTCCCAGCCTGGATATCTGGGTGAGTTGGGGGTACCCTGGGGATAGAGATCCAGCTGGCCAGCACTGGAGCTCATGGTAAATCACAGCCTGCTGTTACCCAGAAGCTTTCTTTAAATCCCTGAGCCTCACACTATAATGACGTTGCTTTATCCACTTTCCCTGGTAGTGACTTCCAATTTCCTGCTGTCTCAGTAGCTGTGCCAGCCTGGCACAGGTACTTGAATGACACAGGCAGCTTGGTTTGTTTGTAGAACACAGAACAGCTGTTCCTGGTGTTGACTTTGAATGTTGTCCCTCTCACCCTGTGCAGATCATCCAGAACATCGTGGGCACAGCTCTGATGATCTTGGTGGCTGTTGGCTTTAAAACCAAGCTGGCGGCTTTGACTCTTGTTGTTTGGCTGTTTGCTATCAATGTGTATTTCAACGCCTTCTGGACCATTCCAGTCTATAAGCCCATGCATGACTTCCTGAAGTACGACTTCTTCCAGACCATGTCGGTGATTGGAGGCTTGCTCCTGGTGGTGGCTCTGGGCCCTGGGGGTGTTTCCATGGATGAAAAGAAGAAAGAGTGGTAACAGGCAGATCCCTACCCTACCTGGCCAAGACCTGTGCCCTTGTGGACTGGTTCAGGGTGGAGTCAGCAAACTGCCAGCAGTTCCGTGTCCTCTTCCCTCCCCCCCCCCTTGGTAAAGGCACCGATGTTTGAGAACTTTACTTGCAGACACCTGAAAATTGGGGGCAAAATCTGCTCTGGAACCACAGGCTGGTATCTGACCGCTGAGTGCTGCCCAGCTGCATGGCCAGTCACCTGGCCAGCCCCTGACATGAGCAGCTCAGTGGGTTGTGGCCTCAGTCCTGTTTTCGAGTCTTTTTTGGGGTGAGGGACTTCAAGCTGTGCTGTGAGCAGACATCTGTATCATTCAGAGCAGCCTCCCTGTTGTTTTTTAAGTTTACATTCTTAGCTCAAACTACTAAATGGTTTTGGATGCTGCAGCCAGACTTCACACCCCGAAGCTCCCTGGTTGAAACGCGAATCAGTGGCTTCAACATTGTTTCTGCCCCTGCATTGTAATACCTTATAATTAGTGAGGCTATTCAGAAGAGCCCCAGCCCCACAGTGCTGCAGTACTGGAGGGTGACCAGGGCTGCGGCTGGAGGGAGAATTCACCAACACCACCAGCTCGGATCAGTCACTGGGAGATAGAGACCCTCTCAGAGCTTTAGTGGCTCAAGGCAGGGACCCTGGGGAAGCTGCACACAGGATGGCCACCCCCTCCTCCTTGAATGGCTTGGGGAGGAGCAGCAGCAAGGGGCCCAGCAATGTCAGGAGCTCCCAGTATCAGAGACCCACAGGCTCAACCCAGTTACCTCAACTCGACCTTCACAGAGCAAGGCCTGGATACCCTAGGCTGTGCTCCATCCCAGCGTGGCAGCACCTGTTCCAGACTGCACCTGCCCTGTGGGTGGCCCCAAGGTTATCGCTTGCTCAGATTTTGTCCATTTGCTATGCCAATGCAGCCAAGATTACTTTCTACAATTTGTGATGCCTTACCAATTTGATCTTGATCCTGTATTTAAAGTTTTCTAACATTGCCTTATACCGTGTTCCTCTTTTTGGTGAGGTGGGGTTCTGACACTATGACAGTGAGTGCCAGAAGGGTAGTCAGAAAAACACCTACTCCTGCCAGATCCCAGGTACCAAGGTGCCTGATTAGGAGGGAAGATGGCCACTCACTCTGCTGGGTGTAGCTCCTGGAGCCCATCCTGGGTGTGCAGGACTGAAGTGTCCTGGGCTGCTGCAGGCCAGCTGAGCCTCCTGCCCCTACCTACTACAAGGGCATCCTGGCACACCTTCCCTACACCCTGGCCTGTGTGCCACCTGCAACTGAGGCTCTGCCTGGGGCCTGCTCCCCAGTGTGTTGAAGATCCAGTGATGGCTTCAGTTGCAGGGCTACCTCAGCATGCATCCCTCCTGATTAATACAGTGTAATAGCCCCATTAGGTGACACTTGGCCACACCAGTTCCTGTGGTGCCACTGGTTTGTGGAATAGGGCAGACCTAGGAAGCCAAGTGCATGGTCAGCAGGGGTGGCCTCCAGCCTCCACCCTGCTGCCTGAGTGAGCTGGGCCAGGATGGGGGAGGAGAGGAAACACGGCTTACCCATGGATTTCAGCAAGACAGTCTCTGAAAATGCTTCTGCTTTATATGGGAATAGGTATAAATCTCATTTTTATGCTGTATTTTATATCTTAGTTGTGTTTGAAAACGTTTTGATTTTGGAAACACATCAAATAAACAATGGCATTTGTGGTATGCACTGTGATCCCGTGGCGGTGTCTGCAGGCTGGCCAGGGCCCTCAGGATGCTGCAGTGAGCTGGGAACCCCAGGCTTTGCCAAGGATACTGGCAGACCACACTCAGGGAGCAGTTGCCCTCAGAGTCCCTGCTGCCTCCTGGCTATGGGACCCCACCCAGTGCTGAGCAGGTTCCTCAGCCCTGCTTCAGGGGTAGCAAAGCCAGGAGACCAGGATGAATGGAGGGAAGATGCTGGAGACTAGACCTAGAGTTCCAAGGACACCAAAAGCTGTCCCCACAACCTTTATTAACCCGACTGCTTGAAGGAGCCAAAGCTCTTGCGCTTGTGGTGATGGTTCTTGAGCTTCTTGGTCAGTGAGTGCAGGTGCTTCTGTGGTACAGCAGAGCATTTGGTTATGGATGCTTCTGATCCCCCAGGGAGGCTCCGTACCACCCTGGCCCCCACTAGCCTGAGCAGCCAGCCTTTCTGCATTGGTTGCCCTATACTGATGGTCAGGCAGCACTGCGTGGAGCCAGGGAAAGGGAAGCACATGCAGTTCCACCCTTGTGGCTCTTGCCTCATAGCAGAAGAAGGGGCACGTGAAAGCTGAGCCCCTTCTCCCAGGTTTCTGTGCTGCAGCACATGGGCAGAACTTCCGGAGATTCAGGCTGAGGGCCAGCTGCCCTCCCTCCTGCCCCCCAGAGTGGCTCTGGCTCCTATCTATAACATTATTAGCTTGAGATTTCAAACAAACCAAAACCACAACTAGAGAAAGCTGCTTCTGGCACAAACTGGCAGTGCAGCCAGAAGTAACGGCTTACCTTTCTGCGCTTATGGACCCGCTTCAAGTCCACTTTAGCTTCTCTTCTGTCCCCTGTGCCCTTTATTCTTGGGGATTTCAGCTCCTCATTCTCTTGGTCAGTCAGAAAGGCATCAGCACCATCCAGGTCCTCAGGTCCTCCTGGGTCCTTTCTGGTGAAGAGCTCCGCTGGGATGGACAGGCACTTGGCTGAGCCCACTGCAAATGGAGCTCCACCTTCTAGGGGGTGAGGGTGGGAGCGGTGGCCAGGATCATGGAGGATGCCTACTTGGGGTGGGGGGAATGAGCCAGGAAGTCATGGAGCTGCAAGGCCAGAGTGAAGGACGGCTGTGCCACTTACGTGGATACAGGTCTGTCATGCTGTCATCACTCAGGGCTCCACTCTCATCACTGGAAAGAGGCTCCCAGAAGGCTTCTCTCAGGCCCGGTGGCTGGTTCTGGTCCACCTGGCTTTCCACCCTCCTCTTCTTGTGCAGCAGGCAGGCAGGGACATATTCCACACCTTGCTTCTGACAGTCCTCATCTGGGACACAAGCCAGCTTACTCGGGTACCCTCCCCAGCCCCAGTCCTCTGGGCACAAGGCTAACCCATGTGTACCCCAGCTCAGGCCTGACCAGGTGTGGAGGAGGAGTGGCCCAAAGACTAGAAGGTTGTACAGGTCTAACAGGCCTTGGCACTTATCCTGCAGGCCCAAGGTGAGCCCCAGTGAGGCTGCCACAGCAGCAACCTAGTCTATTACCAGCACTAAAGTCCTCCCTCTTGGTATCACAGGGGCCCCACCCTGGTGGGGCCTGAAGGACCTGGCCCTTGCTGCCCTGGGCCAGCTTAGGTGATAGGATGAGGTCCTGTGGATGAACCCTGTTCAGGGATTGCCCCAACTGATCCTGTGTATGGAGAGGACCAAGCACCCACTGTCCCTTGCCTGCAACGTCACTGCTTGCTTCTGCCCTCTCCAGAGCTCTTTCTCTACGTCCTCTCTGCTACCATTTCCTGTGGCCACAGTGGCCTTATCACCATGAGCACCTGCCTGTGGCATCTCCTCCCAAGTCCCTCAGGTCAGGTTCCAAAACGACTGTCCTGAAGTGGCTGCATTGTATCCTAGTCCCATCTCAGCTCCATCATCCATCCCTTCAACCACTTGCTCTCACAGGAACCCCCACATCCCAGTAGCTAGCACAGCTGACTAGACAAAGTCCAGGAATTGGCTGGCGGTCTCTCTGGGCCTGGCTTCTATAAAGTGCCTGCTCCAAGAAACTTGTGGGCTCTGCTTCCTCAACTTCCCATTCCACCCCCAGCATGAAAGAGGTGGCGTGGTCCCCTGAAACCTCGTCTCCCTCGCTGCTCTACAGCCATGCTTCAGAGGCCCACCTGCACCTGTCTCCTGCCCTACAGCACTCCAGCCTGGCTCTACCCCCATCAAGCCTCAGCTGCCCTAATCAAGATTGCCAGAATCCTCTAGACTATCAAACCCTGTGGCTACTTTTGTTCCCTTACCTTGACCTCCTCTCTCTGGGGCTCCCTGGTGCTCAAGCCAGCAATCCCTGGCCAGGTGAGTACCTCCAGCTCCAGGGCTGGCACCCTCCTTCCTTAAGCCACCCTGAATTCAAAACAGGCAAAGGAGCTCTCCAGCCCCTGGGGAAACCTAGTGCTTAGACATTTCCTGCCTTAAGGATGCTGTGATTTCCTCTTGTGCCCTCACTTCCCTAACCTGGCTCTGTCCCCCAAACAGAGGAGGCTGGTCCATACCTTTTCTTTCTCCAAGCCACCATCCTCTTCACCAGCTTGCTACAGTCACCTCATGCCCCTCTATTTTTGCAGGTCACACAACTGCCGGTACTAGTGCCAGCTTCCCATACTGACCAAGGCACCAAGACTCTGTGGCCTAACCTACTCACACACTGGTCTGAGGCCATCAGAGCCTCCCAGTGCCTCTGCCAACTCTGGAGCTGTGCCTGGAACACTGATCCAGCCTCAGCTGGGAAAGTAACCCAGAGGGCCGTCAGGCCTCAGTATTTTTCTTCACATACTCTTGAATTTTTTCCCCAGCCTCCTCCTGGCTTTGCATAGGTCTACCCTGGGAGTCCATGAGATCAGGGGCCACTGTCCCTCTCCTCACTGTGCCAGGACCAGGCAGGAGCCTCACCTAAGGATCACTGAAAGGTGACTGACACACTGCTTCTGCCCAGAAGGAGCACTCTGTCCCAGGGGAGGCAGGTACGCATCCAAAGACTGAGCTTGTGCTGCAAACACCTGGTGACTTACATCTCCTTAGGGCTCTCTGGTACCTCTGGCCTTGGGTATGCCTCAGCACGTGCGCAGGGGACTTGTTGATGTGGCGCAGGGTGAGTTTGCAGAACAACTGGTGCCTATGGGCAAGAAGAAAAATTTGCGGGGGCAGTTCACAGTAAAGACTGAGACCCACGCTGCTCCACTGTGGCCACATACAGGAACTGCCGCTAACCCACTGACTGTGACCTCTTCTTTCACCAGAGGGAGGCCCAGCAGCCTGCTCCAGCGCAGAGCAGAGAGAGGCCCGGCTGCACCCCTGCTCCAGGGCGGGGTGCAGCTGGAGACTGCCTGGTAAGGTGCTCCCGGAGCGGAAGCGAAAGCGGGACCCTCCCGTGACGACTGTCTCAATCACACAGTGCAGCAGCATCTAGGTTTCCCTCACGGAAAGGGCAGGGCTGCCGGGTCAGCCCCGTCGGGGGCCGCGCGCGCGAGCTCTGGGCCGCCACCTACGGGTGCTTGCTGCTAGGAACGACGTGCGGCTCGAACTCGGCGTAGTCGAAGTCCGCGGGAGCGCGCGCCAGACGCTGGTACTTCTTGCCGCGGGTGTAGACCTGCAGCTCGGGCAGGCGGCAGGGCAGCTCGTGGCCCGTCAGGGCGCAGCGCACCTGCGGGTGGGCTGCGGAATCAGCGAGATGGGCTCCCTTCGCGCCGGCCCTCCCTCCTTCCCCCAGTACCTCCTTCCCCGCGGACCCTGTCTGCGCCGGGCAGCAGCCGCAGGCTTGGGTGCTGAAGCAGGAAAGCTCGCACATCTGCAGACGGCTCGCCCATGGCCGGAAATGCAGCAGGCACCACTTGGGCGAGAACGTGGAGACGCTCCGGAAGCGATCGCTGCCGCCCCGGAAGCAGACGTTCCCGATCCGGAAGCGCCCGCGGCAGCTTGAGCGATGGCGGCGGCGGCGGCGGCGCGGTGGCTGGGGCTGCGCGCGGTGTGCGTGGGGCCGGGTCGCACTGGCGCGGAGGGCCGCGCGGGGTGGGCGCGAAGCCTCGCCGTTCCGAGCGTGCTGTTCCCGCAGGCCCCGGCCCGCGCTGCCTGGACGCGCGTCGCAGTCGCCTCGCGCGCGGGTGAGCAGGGGCGCGGTGGGCTGCAACGGGGCTGCGGGCGGCGCGGACAGCACCTCGGGCTTCCACGGTCTCCCAGCTTCAAGGCTTACCTTCAAGCACCTTGCCTTCCGTGCACGTAGTTCCGTCTTTAGATTTATGATGGGCAGTGCAGGCGAAACGCAGCTAGGACGCACTGTGAACAACTGTCCTAAGATTATGCCGCGTTTCTCTTTGTAGCACAAAGCCAACAGCGCCTGGCCAAGCTGCTTATTAACTGCCTTTTAAATACATTTTGAACTAATGTGACTAGTGCAAGTTAGTGCCACAGAATATGTCCTAACACAATGCTGAATATAAAGGCACTAGGTAAGCTGAGTGCAGCGGCGCACACGTGTGATCCCAGCGAAGATTGTAAGTTCGAGGCCAGCCTCAGCAATTTAAGGAAACTGCTTCAAAATAAAAGTATAAATGAGCCAGGCGCAGTGGCTCACGCCTGTAATCCCAGCTGCTCCAGAGGCGGAGGTAGGAGGATCGCGAGTTCAAAGCCAGCCTCAGCAAAAGTGAGGCACTAAGCAACTCAGTGAGACCCTGTCTCTAAAATACAAAATAGGGCTGGGGATGTGGCTCAGTGGTCGAGTGCCCCCTGAGTTCAATCCCCAGTACCAGTAAATAATTAACTAAAAAATATATAAATGAATAAAAAGGACAAGAGATGTAGCTTAGTGGTAGAGCACTCCTTGGTTCCCTCCTTTAAAACGTGGGATGGTTACATGGTCACAATTGGTGGCAGAACCAGTATCGATCCCTAGACCACGTTTATTTGGTCAACAGACATCTCAAGTGTGTGCTGTGGGTTAGGAGCTGGACTGGACAAGGTGCTGCTTGTTAGCTTCTTACAGCAGTTTGTTTACTCCTGTGCCACGCCTCCTGGTGGTACTGGGAGTCTTGGAGAATTGGCTGCCTCAGATCTATTTGTTTTAAGGCTTTGACCCCATGCCAGTGTTGTAAAACTCCCTCCAGGGGTGGCCTGGGGGCCAAGCAGGTGTGGCAGTTCTATGGCGGAAGCACCTGCCACAAAAACAGAAGATGACTCCTTTCTCCAGTGGTTTCTGCTTCTCATCCCTGTGACTGCCTTTGGCCTGGGGACTTGGCAGGTAAAGACTGGCATCTAGTTAGAATGGCCCTGAGCCTTTGACGGTGCTGCCATCTGCTTGGCTTATGCCCTCTTTCTGTAGGTCCAGCGTCGGAAATGGAAGCTGAAATTGATTGCAGAATTAGAGTCTAGAGTTATGGCTGATCCCGTCCCTCTGCCAGCAGAGTGAGTGTGACAGCCCATGGGGTGATCACTGAGATCAGCTGTGGGGCTCTGACTTCTCCTTCCTGTGCTATCAATCACTTCCCTGACCTCAGACAGGAGTTCTCAAAATCAGCTGTCCTGCTTGGCTTGCTGTTAACAATAGACCATCCCTGTGAAGCCATCTGAGGCCACCAGACATAGAAAAGTCTTATTTTTGATGCTGGGTTTCACTATTTTTTAGGACTTGAGGGACTCCCCACAGTGCTGACAGCCAGCCGCCTTTAGCAATGATTCTTAGTTGAATAATGTAGGCCTCACCATGAGGATAGTATTTTGAAAAGTGCCTGAAGGATTCTACTGCCCTTTCCCCATCATTTTAAAACACTCTCCTGGAGAGATGGATATATGCAGCAAAGTTGAATTTGAAGTGGATACAGTGTGCTGTATTTGACTTGCAGATGACATGGGTCCCACATCATATTTTATTAATTTTACATAAAATATTCACACAGGAATTAACACTTTTATCTTCTCATAAAAACTTTTACTCTGGTGGCACAGATTCACATTCTCACATGGCACCAAAGGGCTAGAACTGAGGACCTGGCCCTGTAGAGGGCAAGACCCGGCAGTCTTCACTGTCTGGCCCTGGTGGGGTGGTAGTTTGTAACCCACTCTAAGAGGATTTATTTTTATGCGAAACCTTGTCTACAGCTCTCTTCCCCTCTTTCTGTAGCCCAATAGAACTGCAAAATCTGGAGTATAGACCAGTTAAGGTCAGGGGGCGCTTTGATCACTCCAAAGAGCTGTACATGATGCCCCGGACCATGGTGGATCCTGCCCGGGAGGCCCGGGAAGCTGGTCGGATCTCCTCCTCAACTGAGAGTGGGGCCTATGTAGTCACCCCCTTCCTCTGCACCGACCTGGGGTGAGTAGGCCATGTGGGGTGCTGACTGGCCTGGTGGGTGCAGTCAGAGCAGATCAGTTTTCATCACCATGTCCTTCCAGCCCCCCACTCTTGGTAAGACCTTGAAATCCTAGATGCTCAGAAAGTGTCAGTGCCCTGCTAAGTTTGAAATCCCTTATTCTGATGTGAAATAAGCCATGTCAGAATACGAACATCCTTAGTCAATTCATTTTATTACTGAATAGGTTCTGTATGTTAAGCTCAGAAGGGGAGGTTGTCGTCGAGATGAGCTCTGCAGAATCAAACAGGAGCCAACACACTGTGGTGTAGGACAGCACAACAGGAAGGGCAGTTAAAATCCCCCAAATGCTTAGTGGGAGCTGAGGCGGGGAAGGTTAACACTCGAGGTAGCAAATGGGACGAACTTCCAGAAAAAGAGGAGTGCACGTTAAGATACCTGGGGCTCCTGTTTAGTCCATGTTCCAGTTCTGGGGTGGTGCCCAAAAGCTGCATGACCAGCAGGTTGTGTGCCAGGGCTGCTTCAGTGGCCACCCTGGTTAGGAGGGGGCTGCAGCGGGAGAGATGGTCCCTGAGCTCTGGCCATGGTAATGTGGGTCACCAGTTGCATACTGCTGGAGTGGAGCACAAGGAAGGAAAGCAACAGAGCAGGCTGTGCACCACAAACTGCAAATAGGGCTAGAGAGTGGTGGTTGGTGGAGGGGAGATTTTCCCATCAAGAAAGGCACTAGGGCCAGATTTGTTATCCCAGGACCAAAGCCAGTCTCAGCAAGGCGAGGCACTAAGCACCTCATTGTATAATACACAATAGGGCTGGGGATGTGGCTCAGTGGTCAAATGCCAGAGTTCAATCCCTGGTTATCACCCACCCCACAAGGAAGGGGCACAAGGGGTTGCTGGAGTGTACTCTATGGATAGTCCTCAACCAGATCCCCAGTACTACAAAACCCCCCAAAAGACATGCAGGATTCTTCCTTGGTCCTAAAGCTATGCTGTAGGTGCCCAAGCGACAATTCTATGCAAAAACTTTTCTGTGTTTGAAAGTGCTTTTTATTACCCTAGAGTCACTATTCTGGTAAACCGAGGGTTTGTCCCAAGGAAGAAAGTGAATCCTGAAACTCGGCAGAAAGGCCAGGTAAGGGATGGATATGGGTCTTTGGTCATTTCCCTGTTGCAAGCCTCTGTGAAGAGGAACCTCATCTTCCTTTTTAGGTTGAGGGAGAAGTGGACCTAGTCGGGATGGTGAGGCTTACAGAAACCAGGAAGCCCTTTGTTCCCGAGAATAATCCAGAAAGGAACCATTGGCATTACCGGGACCTGGAGGCCATGGCTAGGGTCACAGGCGCAGACCCCATTTTTATTGATGCCGACTTCCGTATGTTGAAACCAGCCCTCCCCCAGAATAAGTATCCCTGCCTTTTCTTGGCCCAGCTGTGCTGTATTCTAGGGTATGTGTTAGGGGGTGGGGCAAGACACCAAGAAACACTTGAAGGGCGATGGGTTATGGGTCAAGTAACAACCTGAGGATGGCTGTGCCAAGGCAGCTAGCTGTTGGGAAGCAGCAGCAGAGGTGAGGACAGGGGCCCACTGTCTTTGCAGAGAGCACAGTCCCTGGAGGACCCATCGGAGGTCAAACCAGAGTCACTCTGCGGAATGAACACATGCAGTACATCATTACCTGGTCAGTTGTACTGCCCCTGGTCCCCTCTTTTTAGTGCACTTCACAGCCTAACAGCTTAATTTTCTTTCAACCTAAGGTATGGACTATGTGCAGCTACATCATACCTGTGGTTTAAGAAATTCCTGCGCCGGACACCTGGCATATGAAGAAGTCAGTACAGAATGGTCCCTAAATAATCAGAAGGTCCCTGCATAGATGGCATTTCAAGAAACTTGATTTTACTGGATCATGTATCATCAGTATAAATAAATGCTTTATAGACTCACATTCATTGCTACCTTAAATAAGACAGTGACTGGTCAATCACAAAACCCTGGCTTGGTTTCTGAGCATTTTACTGCTATATACAGCCTTTTCATGCAAGTTACACAATGAGTTTCTAAAGCTCTCATGTTACGGGGCATGCCCTTGCTACTGCCTGAAACACATTTATTGCCTTCAGTCCAAGACACTGGATGAAGGACAATTTATTATTTTTATGTACAGAAATGCAACAGCATACATTTATCCCAGTTTAGTGGCGAGTTCTTTAGCCTTTGCCTTTTCCAGCTTGGCAATGCGAGCCACAGATTTTGGACCCAGGACATTGCCTCCCCAGTGGCGACGGATCTGAAATGAAAAGAGAAGCAGTCAGCTTGGCCTGCCGTCTCCCAAGGATTAACACTTGGGAGTTTTGGTTTGCCTTGGTCATTTCAAGCACACAGAGTTGAGTCAGCCAGTCCCTTGAAAGCTCGATTCACCCAAGAAGAGTACTTGGGTAGTTTCTTACCTCATCATATCTGTCATTGTAGTTGGTTCTGATAGCTTCCACCAACTTAGCCAGAGCTCCTTTGTCTTCCCTGGGTAGGGGAGAAAAGGTGGGCTTTCAGTTTGTTACCTTTTAGGAAATTCCATTTTTAGTTCCAAATAAGCCCTTTTGCCTCAGATATAACATGACCACACGATTCATTCAGGTGAAGAAATTCTTAACCATCATAGGCAAAAGGTGAAATATGTATGTTCATTAAGCTAGAACATTGGTCTTTTTAATGGAAGAGGGGTTACTGGGGATTGAACTCAGGGACACTATCAGTGAGCCACACTTTAAGCCCTATTTTGTATTTTATTTAGACAGGGTCTCACTTGAGTCACTTAGCACCTCACCATTGCTGAGGCAGACTTTGAATTCATGATCCTCCTGCCTCAGCCTCACGAGCTGCTGGGATTACAGGCGTGCGCCACCTCGCCAGGCAAACATTGGTCTTAAAATGTCTTAAGGGAGCAAATGGACTGGGGGTTGGGGCTACACACTTACGAGTTAACCTGTGTGAAGGCAACAGTGGTGCATGTCTTCCTGTGAACCAGACGTCCCAGCCTAGCCTTCCCCTTGATGATGCAGTAAGGGACTCCCATCTTGCGACACAGGGCAGGCAGGAAGACAACCAGCTGGAAGAAAGCACTGGCTGGAAAGTGTGTTTTGACCAAAGCAGTCCCTCAAGAGATCTAGGTTGGCCATTGCTCAAGTATATGCACTTCAAGGTCTAATTCAGCAAAAGGCTTGCATCATTGCAAGAGCCAGACATGATCTGGATCACTTGTCAGTGCTGTCCTCAATTAAGGGGACTATCCTTGTCACCCACTTTGGTCTTATTATGCCAGACTCATCATTAAGTCTGTTCCACCCTGGTTTCAGTAATCAGTGTTTAAAAATATGCCCAACCCACCTCGATGGGATCCACATCATGCGCGATCACTACCAGCTGAGCCTTCTTGTTCTCCACCAAGGTGGTGACAGTATTGACCCCTGCAAAACGCAAACACTCTGTGAGCAGTCAGACATGGCTCTGGTGACAGAAAACAATTGTAATGAGCTGTGACTCAGTGTTAAAAAGCTCGGATTTCAACCCTCACAGTGATTTCGGGTGAAACTGATGCATCATAGCACAGCCTACCCCACTTTTTGCCCCCTCTACAGAAAGGCCCATTCACCTGCTCGAAGGACAGGTGGTCTCTTTGTGGGAACATCCCCTTTGCCAGCAGCCTTCTTCTCAGCCCGGGCCAACAGCCTCTGCTTCTTTTCCTGCTTGGTCTCAGGTCTGTACTTGTGGGCAAGCTTAAGCAGCTGGGTGGCTGGGAAAGCATTCTTCAGTTAGGCTCAGTAACACAACATAAATGCCTTAATGATGGTACTACATAAGAACCGAGTAGAAAAAACTCTAGAGCCACATGTCACATCTTTCCAGTTAGGCCAGCTCCTTGTTCGGAGTGACGCTGGTACATCCCAGAGTCCCACCTGTTTGGCGGTCCAAGGCCTGGGTGAACTGGTTAATCGCAGGAGGCACTTTCAGCCGCTTATAGAGAATAGCCCTTTGCCGCTGCAGCCGGATGTAGCGGGGCCATTTTACAAAGCGGGTAAGGTCCCTTTTGGGCTGGATGTCCTGTCCTGGGAAGTAAAGGGCAACACTTTCAGTAAGGCTGACTGGTGTCAGGTTTCCGCCTCGGGTCTGGGTGCTGTGCATCAGCGATCTTGGTGGTCTAAATGTCATCACCATCTCTCAGATAGCAAATATTCTTTCACATCATCTGCACGCACACGCCTCGGACCGGAGACAGCACCCCTTCCCTCTACAGCGGGAGCTCCTCCCCCAGCACCACACGGCGGACCAGCCCGCTCCCTGGGGGCCCCACCCTCGGGGCCGTCTGCGCTCACCGATGCCGAAGTTCTTCGGCCTCTTCTCGAAGAGCGGGTTCACTACCTTCTTAGCCTCCTGCTTCTTGACCACGGCGGGGGCCGGGGCCACCTTCTTGCCCTTGGCCTTCTTTCCCTTCGGCTGCGCAGGGGAAGAGCCAGTTAGTCGGCGCCGCTCTCGCGCCCCCAGGCCCGCACGGCACTGCTCGCGCCCCCGTTCCCCCACGTGCGCATCGGCCCGGGGCACCCGCACGGTCGGGCTGCTCCGCGGCGTGGCTCGGAGGCGGAGTCCGAGGCAGCAACCGTAGCCGCCTAAGCCTCGGCCCGCCCAAGTCCCGTACTGCGGCGCTATGCTCCCCGCTGGCCCAACTCCTCTGTGCCAAGCCCAGTAGGGCTCCAGTAGGGCTCCACTAGCGCCGAGCGGAGCCGCGGACCCGCGCTGCCGTGTCCCGAAGCGGATGACGGCGGATGAAACCCGGACCCAGATCCGGGGCCAGACGTTGCACCACGACTCACCATCTTGGTAGGCAGGAGGAGAGAGAAAGAAGAAGGGATTGTGGGTAATAAGTAACCGGCCTCGGATATCGCGATAGCCGGCGCGTTCGCGGGATTTCGAACTTAAAGCGACAGGACTCCTTAAAGCCTACCGTGTGGGGGGGGGGGGAGGGCCTAGCGCGGCGCGTGCGCGGCTGGTGACGCTCTCGGCCAGAGGCCGGGCGACCGTTGAGAGCTCGCTGGGAGTTGCTCTTGCAGGCGTGGGCGCCTGTGTTGCCGGGCCGACTTTCCTTCCCTCCCGCCCAGAGACTCCGCTCCTTCGCGGCCCGCGGCCCAGGCCCGAGTCTGCGGTGTGTGCCCGAGCTGGGCGGCGTGACCAGAGCTGCGGGCCAGGCCACGCAGGCCTTCGCCGGCTGACGCCCGTGGTGAGCGCGGCGAGCGGAAGAGGGGCGCAGGGTCAGAGGGACCCGGGTGGGGGCCCGAGAAGGAGCCCGGCCGCCGCCGGGCGGGGCGCATGTGCCAGCCCCGAACGGCGCGGTCCGCGCGGTCCGGGGCAGGCAGTGGGTGCCTCGGGTGCTGGGGCGAAGAGAGGTGCACCCGAGGAGCGCCGCGGCCCCGGCGGCGCCCGCCTGCGGAGATGGATCCGTGTCTGCTGGGCGAGGGTGGCTAAGTTCAGTCTTGTACTCTCTGGTGACAGGCCCCGCTACGCGTCCGAGGCCGACCATGGCCCAGCAGAGAGCCCTGCCCCAGAGCAAGGAGACGCTGCTGCAGTCTTACAACAAGCGGCTCAAGGATGATGTCAAGTCCATCATGGACAACTTCACCGAGATCATCAAGACCGCCAAGGTGGGGATGCTGCCCTGGCCTCAGAGAACGAGGGAGAGCAGGGACTGAGCCGCTCTGCTTAATGGTTTTTGACCAGCACCCGTGTCTGTGGGGGCTGCACTCTGTGACCGGTGGGGATGCTGCGGGAAACAGGTTTTTGTCCCCGTGGAGAAAACGTTTTGGGCTGGAGTGGCGTGCTGTAGTAACAAACATGTCAACAGATAAGTAAATGAGCCAAATACTTAAAAGCCTTGGTAGAGTAATAGGGAATTTTGGCCTAGTTGCTGAGCTTCCAAGGCCAGTGCTTACTAGCCATGTGGGTTTGATGGAGACCCCATGCCTCTGTGCCTCAGTTTCCTCTGTGGTGTGGGTCCTTGAGATTAGATTAATTTATCTGTGTAAAGTAGTTATCACAGGGCCTGGCACAGAGCAAGTGACCCAAACCCTGTAGCTGTTGCTAATGAGTGTGAACAGGTGGCGGGCAGGCAAGAAGCGGGGCGGGGCACCTCTCCAGGCAGGCAAAGCAGTCAGTGTCTTGCCAGGGTCAGGTAAGTCCACTGACTGCTGCAGTAACACCACATGGAGCGGGATCTTTCCAGACCTCTGCAGACGTAGCTGGCTTAGTCAGTAATAGTAATGATGAGAGTTCCTGTTGATTTAGCACCATGTCAGGTTGTGCTGAGGGCTCTATGCTGTCCTGTGCAATCTTTGTAAGGACTTTGAGGCAAGGGCCCTTGTCCTTTCCACACCTCAGAGGAGGAAACTAACATCCAGAGTTCTCAGCAATTTGCCCAATCACTTGGCCAATAATAGCAGAGCCAGGATTGTCTCAGGAGGTCTGCCTCTTATTGTTGAGGGTGTCCTAACACCCTTGCCCTGCCCTGTCCCTCACAAGGCTTGTCAGAAGCCATGCCCAGGTTGACAGCCAGGACTTTAGAGCCAGCAATGCTGAGCTGGCCTCCTGGCTCCTCAGTTTATTTCTGAGACAGCTTGGGCTCAGTGAGGTCTATCCCAGCATCAAGGTAACCTGTCTGTAAGCAGGAACAGCAGCACAGCTCCTGTGAAATTTCGTGAGAGAAAATGGTCAACCAGTGGTGCTTAATGTGAGGCCTAACATTCAGGAAATGGACACTTAAAACATTCTTCATCCTTTATTCTGTAGTTCCAACAGTTTGCTTAGTGCCATCAAGTGACACTAATCTCTGGCAAACAGGGTTTTACACCCCCAAAAAAGTTCTGGCCAAGGCTGCGCATAATAGTGCATGCCTGTAATCCCAGATACTTGGGAAGCTGAGGTAGGAGGATTGCAAGTTTGAGGCCAGCCTGAGCAACTTAGCAGGACTGTGTCTCAAAGCATAAAATAAAAAGGGCTGGGATTGTGGCTCAATGGTGGAGCACTTGCCTAGCATGTGTGAGGCACTGGGTTAATTTCTCAGCACCGTATGTAAATAAATAAAATAAAGGTCCATTGACAACTAAAATAGTTAAAGGGCGCAGGGTGCTGGGGATATAGCTCAGTGGTAGTTCCCAGTACAGGGGGAGGGGGAAAAAGTCTTGGCCAAGTTAGTTAAGACACCTCTCTACATCTGGCAGTGTCCGTTTGTCTTGGAGAAAGTGCCAGTTGTCTTCCATAGAAAAGAACAGAGTTCATTGAATCTCGTGATTAGAGCACCAGCGCCAGGTGGTAGAAGGCAGGATACACTATAGCAATGTGGGTATGGGAAGCCAAGTCAGGCCAGCAGTGGGGACTCCATGACTGCCAACTGGGCTGATTCTTTTTTGTTTGCCCCCAGATTGAGGATGAGACGCAGGTGTCTCGGGCTACTCAGGGTGAACAGGACAATTACGAGATGCACGTGCGGGCTGCCAACATCGTGAGTTATGTGGAGAGCACGACTGGGACTCCAGAGGGTCATGGGTTTGTGGTTGGAGTATAGGTCTTCTGCCCTCTTTCTACCTGCAACAGAAGGACAATGCAGGGGTGCTGGGTCTCATCTGTTGGCAGCTTTTGAGAATGGGGTCGGGGCAAATCACTTCTCAGGAGATTGTCCCCAAGAGAGCTGCTGGGAAGGGGCAAGGCGGGTAGTCTGCTAAGTCCATTCTGTGACTTTGGGTGCCAGGAAGATAGAGATGCTGCTGATGTGAAAGTTGCTTGAGTCCAGATTGAAAAGGCACATTGCCGAGGGAACCAGCTGTCTGTGCAATGTGATCCTCCTGGAGTCATGGGGAAACCCAGCTAGCCAGAGTTTCTGCAGGTGTGCCCATGGATGAGTGTGGGAAAAGGCCCCCTAGGAATCCTGCCCAACTGGCAGCTGTGCTTCTCAGGGAAGAGTAGGGCAGGAGGCAAAACAGGATATAGGCTTCTCTATGGGGTTGAGTTGGATAAGCAGGATGTGCTTGTGCCTGACTGGTCAGATTGGAGATGGGTCCTGTGGGGGTAGAAACAGAGGTTGATGGGAAGGTTTGGGGAGAAAGCTTATCTCGTGCTGTTCAAGGCGGGTCAGCTTCACAGATGACCCTGTGCGGTTGGGTCTGTCGTCCCCACCTTGCAAACAAAGAAGCTGAGTCTCCCAGGGAGGCACTACTGGTCCAGGGTCAACCACAAGACCCCCATTCCCTCAACCTGTGACTACCCTGATTCTATGCTGCAGGTACGGGCAGGAGAATCCCTGATGAAGCTGGTGTCTGATCTCAAGCAATTCCTGATCCTCAACGACTTCCCATCGGTGAATGAGGCCATTGACCAGCGAAACCAGCAGCTGCGCGCTCTGCAGGAAGAGTGTGACCGCAAGCTCATCACCCTGAGGGACGAGGTCTCCATCGACCTATACGAGCTGGAGGAGGAGTATTATTCGTCCAGGTACAAATAGGGCTGGACTCCGTGCAGGAAGGAGCCTGCCTACTTGGGCCTGGCCTGGAAAGTCTCTCTGTTTTTTCACAAACGTGCCTGGTCTTGGCTCTGCTGCCCATGTTCCAAAGCAGAGTCCCTGGCCAGCATGATCAATTAACAGACAGTTCACAGCCACTGCCGGGGCCCTGGTCTCTCCCTCAGTGCAGTGGGATGAGAATCACAGGACATCTGGTGTTGGGGAGGTTGAGTCTGGAGAACAGTGTCCTAGGGGCTGGGCCTAGCGGCTCTTGGTTCTTGAATCCATATGTAGATGTGGCAGCCAAGCCTGGGCTGGCCCCTCAGCGTCCCACAGGCCCACATCCATGTCCAGGATGCCACTGTTTGCCTTAGGATGCAGCTACAGGTGTATGCTGTTGAATCCCGTGGTGTGGAGGTGGGGCAGCCATGGCAGGGAGGAGGAAGGAGCCAGCAGACTTCCTTAGCAGCCAGGGCCTCATGCTTGGGTGCCTGGTATCTGGTCTGCTCAGTCTTATTCATGGAGCTGGAGACTCCTGCATGCCAGCCTCAGCAGTAGTAGGACCCATCAACCTAGCCAGCATGGGGCCACTCAGAATCCTAACACCTGAGTCTGTGAGCCTGAGGGGTCCCACAGAAATCAGAGTCCAGTGTGATGTATATGGGGGGAAGCTCAGGCTAGACACAGGGGCCTTGCAGCTCTGTCCCACTAGCTTGGAAGTCAAGATTCAGTCCAGCAGTTTCAAAAACTATCCACTAAATCTCCTCCCTCCCTGCTCATGAATTTAAAATGTAATGGCATAGTGAGTGGTACGCTTCTGTAATCCCCACAACTTGGGAGGCTGAGTCAGGAGAACCGGAAGTTCAAGGCCTGTGTTGGCAATTCAGTGAGACTCTCTCAAAAAGAACTGGGGGGATGGGGTTGTGGCTCAGTGGTAAAGCAGTTGCTTGGCATGTGTGAGGCACTGTGTTTGATTCTCGGCACAACAAATAAATAAATAAATGTCCATCAACAACTAATAAAATATTAAGGAAAAAAAATCCAAAGATTTTAAAAAAAGGACTGGGGCTATAGTTAAGTGGTAGAGCATCCTTGGGTTCCACCCCCCAGTACAATGAAAAAAAAAAAATAAATAAAATAAAATGTTCCTTTCTGACCCACAGAGGCCTTGCTACGGAGTCAAATGGCCTGTGGGGCCAGTCTATGTCTCTCCCACAGGAAACCTGTCTTCTCCAGCCAGCCTGCCCTTCCCATGTCCCTGTGGTGAAGCTCTGGCCTCTGCTTAGGTGTTCACTTCAGCAATCTGGGCTTCGCCATGCCGGGGCCAGGGGGTTTCATCCTCCCCTCTCCTTCCTCTGTGCCTAGTGACCTGCTGGCCACTCTGGCCTCCCTCTGCGTGGGCTGCTCCTGCCTATACTCTGTCTGCTCACTGCTTGCTCTTTCTGGCTCTGCTTCCTTTTCCACTCCTGGGGATGCCACTCAGTGCCCGGGTGGTTCTGAGCCTGAATGCTGAGGGCAGATGCAGAGGCCAGAGCCACTGCGTTTTAGACAGCTGTGGGCACGACCTTGCTCTGAGTGGTTCCTGCCAGGACTGATGAGCCACTCCTTGCCTCAAGTATTCCTTGCGAGGTGGGAAACCACAGAGAGCCCAGCAAGTCCTAAGGCCGGAGCAGCAGTGTGGGGATGTGCAGGGCCTGTTTTCCTGATAATCATCCCGTTTAGGTCAAGTCGTAGGCAGGGTCTCTGCTGTCAAGGCTCTTTACAGTCTGATGACCTCCCTAGCCAGGGAGGGGATGGGCAGCCAGGCTGGGAGGGGACCTTCAGAGAGGCCCATGTGGAATTGCTCAGCAAGTTGAAAGTTGGAGGTCCTGCTGAGCCTCTCCGGATGCAAGGGTGGTCCCTGTGGCCCCTCTCTCAGCCAGGCCTGCTGCAGAGGGGCAACCACAGATAGAAGGGAAGGCAAGTTGGGGTGGTGTTCATGTTCTTAACTCTGCTTCCATCTTGCTTTCCCCTCCCCTGGCTTTCCTCTTGCCTGCTCCTGTCCCTCCCTGGGGTTTCTGGTGGTGGAAAAGCTCAAGTCTTTGCGAAGCTAATGACCTGCCTCTGTGCGAAGCTTACTGGAGGCTGGACCTCGACACAGACTCCGCTGATGGTCTCTCAGCCCCTCTGCTGGCGTCCCCGGAGCCCGGTGTTGGCCCTCTGCAGGCTGCAGCCCCTGCCCACTCACACACTGGTGGCTCTGGCCCCACAGAGCATGCCTGAGCTTCTCAGGGCCACTCTCCCCAGATCCCTAGTTCATCAGGAACAAATCCAGGGTTCTGCCCTGGATGTTCACCACAGCCTTGTTTCTCTCAGCCTCCACTTCCAGTTGAGTACTCTAGGACCCCCTGTGGCCTCCTTTAACTGGCCAGGCCAGGGTCAGCCCCAGGACAGTTGGGGAAAGTTGTTCAGGGTGGCCCACCATGTCTAGCTGCTACCTTCCTGACTGACCAGGTCAGAGAAAGTTGGTCTTGTCGAGGACCTGGACTGTGGGGCAGCGATGATGCAGGATACCAGGAAGACAACCTGTGAATGTATTTAAAATTGGGAGGGGAGCTAGGTGTGGTATGCACATCTGTAACCCCAGCAACTCAGGAACCTTGAAGCAGCAGGATTGTGAGTTCAAGGCCAGCCTGGCAAAAAAAATGGGGATGTAGCTTAGCTCAGTGGTAAAGCACCCCTGGGTTCAATCCTCAGTAATCCCCCAACACACACACACAGAAAAAAAAGGGAGGGGAATGCTTAGTGGAGAGCAGTAGCCAAGCCCTTAAGCCTTGGCTCCTGTGCAGAGACCTGCTTACTGCATCTTTCCCCGAGCACAGATGTACCTGCTGTATGTAGACTGCCTGCCTCCGGAAGGCTGTGTGAGCAGATGGCCCACTCACAAGGCAGCCTGCCAGGGCTTCTTCCTGAATTCTGTTATGTCTGTTTTGCTACTTTTGTAATGAAACTTAAAATAAAAATACCACCTTGTGTGTTGGTTCCTCTCTTTCTCACTTCTGGTCAGTCTAATACTGCCCTTGGACTCCTAGCAGCTTCTGCATAACTCCTTGCTCTGCCTGGATGGCTTTGGGCTCCAGCCTCCTGGGTGCTCCCAGTAGGTCTTGAATGTTTGGTGAATGAATGGAAAACTTGCTGTTGCACATCACATGGTTCGGGAATCAGTACTTGGGTGTCATGTACTTCTTAATGCCACTGAGTCTGTGCTGCTACACCTGCATTTCAGAGAGAAAGAGGACACAGGCTTGCAAGAGGTGAGCTGTGCCTATGGCCACAGAGTTGGGAAGTGAAGTGACAAACAGGATTTGAACTCTTAGGAGCCAGACCTGTTAGGTGCAGGGCAGGCTGAATGTCAGCTGCAGGATAACCTGGGGAATTCTAACTCCGCTCTGTCTGGTCCTTTATCACCTGTTTGTGTCAAGGCTCAAAAGTCGACCCCCCACCCATCTGATGCGACAGAAACCCACATTTGACCCCTGTCGCATCTGCCTGAAGGCAGATGACACCTGTAGCAACTACTGTGATCCAATTTTGTAAGCCAACAAGGCAGCTTGCACACCAAGAGACCCCATTAGATTTGGACTACAAAAACTCCTGCTGGGCCCCCTCTCTTGCTCTTTTTTCTCTCTTTGCTGCCCCACTTCTTGTCTTTCCCCGCTCTTTCTCTCTTTTTCTCACTGCTGCAATAAAGATCTCTTGGTCTCTCCCAGTGTTGTGGTCACTTTCAAGACCTAGTACCTTTTTGGTACCACGCCTACCTTTGACATGCAGAGACTACAGTGCTAAGGTGGCTGCAGTGGTGGTAGACCAAAGACTAGGGCTGCATCCAGTGGCTATCCACCTGCTTCACCTCCTTCCCATGAGGAAGATCACTGTTCCTGATATTGGCAGCCCAGGATCCAGCTTTGAGGAACTGCAGCCTGTCACCAGGGAGCCCCAGACCTCAGGAGCTGGCAAGTGGGAAAGTGGGGGGGGGGGGGTCAGAAACTTGCTCCGAGGGAGTTTTTATTGATAAGATGTGGGGTGGTCTCCAGCATTTTAACTGTCGGAAGTTTCTACGGAGCCGCTAAGGAGAAAAGGAGTCCCCTACACCTGGAAGCTGAGAGTTGGGGGAAGGGGACTGGAAAGAACTGGCCCCGATGAGGGTCTTGAATAACCTAGAAACATCTTTCCAATCATGAATTTAATGTGCTGCTTCAACACTATTTCCCATTCAAAAGCGGAGGGGTTTCTTCTGCCTCCACATCCCGCAGTCTCTCGAGCCTGTGTCGGAGGGGTTGTCTCCTAACACGCCTAACGCGTGTTAGGGCAGTCGGTGGCCGCCACGTGACCAGCCCCGCTCAACGCCGGGCTCCAACGCGCGGCAGGGGCTGGGCGGAGTGAGGAGCGCCCGTCGGAACTGAGGCGAGCGGTGGCCCCGCGACCCCAGGCTCCGTTTTGCATTAGCGGGAGGTTCTTTGGTCCTCAGAGCGGACAGGCCAGCGCCGCGACGTGCGCGAGCAGGAGCCGGGGCACTCATCCGGGACGCGGGGGCGCTCAGCACTGAGCCGGGGGCACCGCGCAGGCCACACCCCTTCCGGCGCGGCCAGGCCCGACCAGGCGAGCGCGGGCGCGGAGGCAGGCACCGCCAGACGAGCGCCGAGCCGCCGCGCCGGGCCCACGAGTGCACCGCCATGGCCTCCCTGCAAGCCAAGGACGCCTACTTGCAGGACCTGGCCAGGAAGATCTGCGCCCCGCACGGCCCCGAGCCACCGCGGCGCGCGCGGGGTAGGCGGGCCGGGCTGGGCCGGGATCGGGTCGGGTCCGAAGTCGAGGTCTGGCTGGGATCGAGGTGGCCCGGGGCCTGGCGGGGTGCGGTCGTGGTCTCACAGCTCCGCGGAGGCTCGGAGGAGGGCAGGAGAGCTCGCGTCCCGCCCCGCTCCTGGGGTGCTCGTGGGTGCGAAAGCTGCCCTAGGAGCAGGGGCCAAGGCAGGAGGCAGAAGTCCTTGGCCGGAGAACGCGTCGGTCTTGATTTCCTTGGCCTGTCTTCAGCGAGAGGAAGATCAAGAGCTCTGTTTTAAGGGTCTAGATTAGGGGCCGGATCCAGTCCAGGAGAGGGTCCGCTGGAGTCAGGACCAGGGGCTTCGCAGGGAGCCCCACTCCAGGCAGGGGCTGGGGCAGCCATCTGACCCCAGTTAGCCCTCAAGTGGACCAGAGAGTCTGTGAAATGCCGAACAAAGTGTAATCTACCTTACTCTTGGGCATTATCCTGACGCGTGGCCCCGGGGTGAAGGGAGCACCCCTGCTTTCAGCAAGCTCCCTCCTGCCAAGGAGGACCGCTCCTCCCCTGGAACTGCTGGGGCTGGCCTGGTGCATCTCCAGCTCTCCACCTGGAGTAGACTATAGGGAGCAGTGAGCAGTCAGGCAGAGATGGTAGTCAGAGGTGGAGGGAGGGAGGAAGAGGGCTCCTGACATGCGGCAGGAGAATCGCGAGCTCAAAGCCAGCCTCAGCAATGGCCAGGTGCTAAGCAACTCAGTGAGACCCTCTGTCTAAATAAAATACAAAATAGGGCTGGGGATGTGGCTCAGTGGTTGAGTACCCCTGAGTTCAATCCACAGCACTTAAAAAAAAAAAAGTAGGAATGGACAGGGGCTTGATTCCCACTCAAGTCAGCACACAGGATTTTGTTGGGCAGAGGTGCCATAACTTGCTGCTGGACATGGATGTGTGAGTCTCCCTAGCTCAGGTGCTGAGCTGGTGCACATCCTGGGCTTTGTGCAGGAGAATCCTTTGTGCTGGGTCCTGCACGTGGTTGTGTGCTAGGTTTCGGTGTGTGGCTGCTCTGTTTTTGGAGCTTTTGTTTCTGAGCACTGTGGCCTAGTGTTGCTGGCCCCTCTGTCCTGATTTCCTTCATGGGATCAAAGTCCTTGTGGGATCAAAGCCTTTGTGAGACCTTCTTGTTGCTGTGTGGGGCATAGAGATTGGAGTAGCAGCTTTTTGACACTTTATATCTCAGTTAGTAAAATTCAAGGCTCAGAAGCTTCTGGACTCCGAAAAAAGAAAAGAAAGAAAACACCAAAAAAATTCCGGGAACAGGAACAGAAGGCTTCAGAGCATAAAGCCAAGACCCTTGGGGAGAAGAAGTCTCCAGTGGCTCCTGGGACCAAGAAGCCAACAGCACACAAAGAGGAGCCTTCCATCTCCACAGGGGCCCCTGCAGGTAAGGGGCTCCAGGGCAATGGGGTGGGGCTTAGATGCAAATGTGGCCTCCTCTGCTCTTAAGTCACCGTCAAGGGCACTGGGTATTCAGAGCTTCCCAGAGAGTGAAAATCACAGGAATGCAATGGGTAGTAGACTATGGGAAGAGCATGGTGATCTGGGCTATGTGGACCAAGACCATGGAGGACATGGCTATGAGTTTCTCAGCATCTGGAGCAGTGAGACTGGTAGGAAGAATTTTTTTTGTACCACAGTGACCAGATATAACCATCCAATCCAGGAGGCTGTAGGGGCCAATCCACATTGAAGAGGTGGATGGAGTGGAATTTAATGGATTGGCCTGCAGATCCGCAAGTGGCCACTGGGGACAGGAGGGCAGTGAGTACAGGCTGAGGCTTAGGTATTGGGCCCTGGGGAAGGACATCAAGAGGGGCCTCCTTTTAGCCCTGTCTCCCTCCCTGCAGGTGGCCAGGCTACAGCACCTGATTCTGTCTTTGCCCTGGATGTCCTGCGCCAGCGGCTGCATGAGAAGATCCAGCAGGCTCGAGGCCAGGTAGGTGGGCCACCTCTGGAGCACTCATCAGTATGTCTTTGGAGTGGCCTCCCCACCCAGCTCCATGCTGGAGGTGGGAGGTGGCTCTTAGCAGGGAGCAGGGTCTGCCCTGGGGGAGCAGGTGCCTTTCCCTGCTTCCTGGAGAACCTCAGTCCCGGGGTCCCTGGCCTTTTGCTTGCTCCTCTCTCCCATGGGTCTCAGAAGCCCAGCCTTCTCCTCTGGGAAGCCACCTTTGTTGGCGCCACAACGGCTAGCATGGCCCATCTGTTCTTCTAAAGGTCACCATGAGATGAGGTGACTGCCTGGCACACAGACTGGCCAGCCTCCATTTTTGTGCTGAGTAGTGCTGTTTACTCTCTGACCTGGGCACCCACCTTTCCCTGGGACCCCTCCCGCCCACCTCTGCTCTGCAGACGGCTTCAGC